AATACAGTAATTGTAATTCTCAGTCGCTAACAAAGAAAACAAGCATGTTACTTCTCGGTCAGCCAATCAGGAAAGAAACAAAGACCACCGCGTCACGTGGTAAATTTTCCCGCGTTTAATGTTGGCTATGTGTTATTTGCGCCGGGTTGTTACTGGCACTGGGTCATTCAATTTCCCGCCTTTAGTGACAGGCGGAAGGAATAACTTTCTTTAATAACATATGCACTTGATCTTACTTCTTCTGCCCTTTACTGACTGTCTCGATAATCAAGGTAGAGTATGGATTCGGTGAATAACTCAGCAGAGATGACTGACTGGTCGATCTGCCTAAAAGGAACAAAGAAAGAGGTTGCAAGTGGACGTTTACAATGACAATAGGAGCTTAAAAGCAACACGCTGTCAACGAATCTTAACAACTTTAAGTTTCACTTTAACAAATGCCCAAAGACGCAAAAGGAAAGTTACCAAATTTAGTTTTGCAAAATAAGTTTCCACACATTTTTTTTGCCCACTTCTCAAGTGTGGTTTTTCAGTAGTATTTCGCATCAGGCATGGCGCACGTTCTCGCCAAGAACATATAGTATCTTTGATGAGGTTAAATAAATATTTATTTAACAGAGTTAACAACAAGGAGCGCGAGCGTGGTCAGCGGTCAGTCGTTTGGTTCAAGCGCGGTCAGCCTTGCTTGCATCGTCTCCATGTGCTCAGAACAGTGTTTTCGTGGCGGCCATTCTCTTCGTTTAGCCTTTGGATCATTTTTTTTACCCCCATCCCTCCCCCGACCTTGCCAGCCATGGGGGCGTAACGCTGTCTAGGAGCTGGCTGTGCCAAAGGTGGAAGCCCCTGGACATCACGGGCACCCACCTCCACTCTGCGAGGCAGTTGTTAACTATAAGTATAACATAGAGGTAACTTAACTGGGATACATCTACATCAGAAGACTGAATGAGGCATCAGTAAACTTTTCACATTGGATATCTCGTGTTAGTGGAGTCGGTATCAAAGTATTAATGTACTTACGTAGATTAGATGGGTCAGGAACTGGTAAATCCCCCGCATGATATGAGTGTCTTACAGGATCATGTCTTGACAAAATTCCCTCTTCACCATCATCCTCTGTTTCCTTATCGGCGGCAGCCATACTCTTTGGTCGCCTTCTAAACCGCAGATTAAACGAGTGACGCATCTTTGGTTTTCTGTTAAGCTCTGAAGCTTCCTCCAGTTTCTCTTCTTCTTCTCTTGCCTCGTGATCTTCAGTTTGTTTTCCTTCCTGTGCCTCCTCATCTTTATTATCTTCTGTCTGACTTTCCTTGACCTCTTCTTTATCTTCTAAAAGAGAAAGAAAGAAATTTGGTGACGTCTCACTTTAAGTATAGTTTCCATATAATCCATGACGATCTGCGGCACGATCGGACGCTGCCTGTTCGGACGTATTCACCACTCTCGCATTGCCCACAATACACCTCGCTTACACCTCGAAATTTTGCATAAGCATTGCAATACCCAGGAGAAAGTGAAAATAAATGTTTATGCGAATTTCTTTTTCCTTCTTTCTTTCTATTTTTTTTGGGGGGACGGTGGGGGGGATAAACAAGGTGTATTATCGGGCAATGAGAAAAAGGGCGAATGGAAATGATCGCAGACACTAATGGTATACTGTCAGTAAATGTTCCCACTTGCTAATGCGATGACAGACACGTCATGCCGTTGTTCAGTGGCTCGAATGGCGCCAAGTGCATGTCTGCGAAATGACTCAGGCCGGTCGGCGATCGTGTTACACATCCTATTAGCCTGCATAGCAAGCGTTTCCGCGCGAGTTCGTCGAGAAAGCTGGGACAAGAGCAAACAAAAAGGAATGAGGGGGGAGGGGGAAGGGAGTGAAGGATAAAAAATAAGGATTAAAGGTCGGAAAACATTTGGAGACAAGTCGCAGAGACAAATTGCTTCGTGTCTACAGTGGTCGTTTTGTGAAATTATTTGTCTTGCGACAAGACACAAATTCACACATTCCAACTGATTCGACTTTGCGAACTGTGGCGAAGACAAAATCCTGTCGAAGATTTCAGTGCACAGAAATTCTCTAGGTCAAGCCAAGTGATTGTCGCTGCGACTTGCCTCTGCGACCCGTTGCATCGATATTGCATCAACTTGCAACAACTTGTCGCCCGACTCGTACAAAAAAAGTGATTTATCACCGCGACTTGGTGCAGCGACATGTCGCCTGGTGTGTTCCGACACTAAAGGAGACAATAAGCCACAAACATCGCCATAAAAAAAAAGGAAGTACCAGGAGAGGGTACCTTCCAGCCCTCTCAGACGATGATTGTAAAACTTAAACATGTGCACGCAAAAATTTCTACTTACGCGATTTGGAGGCCTCAAGTGCTGTTAAATCCCCCGCATGGTATGAGTGTCTGACTGGGTCTTGTCTTGGTAAACCCGTCTCTTCACCATCATCCTCCGTTTCCTTATCAGCAGAAGCCATACTTTTTGGTCGCTTTCTAAACCGCAAGTTAAACGAGCGACGCGTCTTAGGTTTTCTGTCCAGTTCAGATTCTTCCTCTACTTTCTCTTCTTCTTTTGTCACGTGTTCCTCGTCCTCTTTTCCATTTTGCAGATGAACTTCTTCATGGCTTTCAGTACCTTCAGCTGGAGTTTCCTCCTTTTTATCACTTTCTTGTGTCTCCTCTCCTGTCTCTTCCTTTTCTTCACCTTTTTCCTCGTCCTTCTCTACTTTTTTGTCAGTTTTTCTTCTCTTAAACAAGTTAAATGACCTTCGGTGCTTCGGTTTTAAGCTTGGTTCTTCGGTCTTTTCTTCCTGTTCCTCTGGCATTTGATGCTCGTCAACTTTTTCGCTGTCCTCTTTTTGTTCTTCTGTTTGTTCCTCGCCTTTCTTTTCCTCCGTTTCACTTTCAGTCTCTCTCTTTTCCTCGATGCTTTCCTCTGGGACATCCTATGAAAATAACAGGAAACAAACTGGCTTTTGGACTTTTTTGGAGGACGCCATCGCTTCTTCTATTCGCGACTGAGACTTCGTCTCGTACCTCCTGCCTTGTGTATTATAATTATTATATGGAGGGTGAAATTGAGCAATTATCTTGGAACTTCGTTTGAGCATTAATTAATGTGTCCCTTTAAGGACAACAACGACTAACTGCAGAGTAAGTTCCATTGGCTTTTATTTAGTATTTTCTACAAATTTTAGGATCGTATTTTTACTCCATACAAACGATGTAATGTTACTGGAACCGTACTGTGGTAATACCACAGAGCCTGGGTGGTCTGTGGTTTGAATAAATTAGATTGTATTCGTGCATGCTTCATTGTTATGTAGATTTCTTAACAGAAAAGCTTAGCGCGAATCGAATCCGATTGCACATTCAATGATGGTTGACTCAAAGCCTGCGTACAACCGCCCCCTCCAGCGCTCAAACAAAATCGGGGATTGTTCGAGGGAAGGGTGGCGGCTGTACACGGGAAACATGGAGTCAAAGGGTTAAAGAAATCAACAGAACAATGGTAAAGGAAAAAGCTATGAAAAGTCAAAATTAAAAACTAAGGATTAAAGAGATTTCGTTGAATTTCATTTAATTTAATTCGTTTGACTACATAACAACGTATACACTGTAGATACTTGCCAGAAGAAACTTTTCTCTGTCTTTTAAAATACAGGCGAAGACAATAAAACGCATGCACCATACCTCTCCAGACAATTTCAGTAATTCTACAATGGCCCTCTCAGACTCGTCTTCCATCTGTTCTGTGTCGCGTGACGTTTCAGCTTCATCCGCTGCTATGACAACTGGGGATAATTCTGGTTCTGTGTGGAGATCTTCTGTTTCTTGCGTGTCGTTCACGTGATCATCATGTGTCTTGGGCTTTTGTTCGCCCTGTTCATAAGCTTCAAGCTCCATGGCCAGCTCGTCCAGGCTTGACTCAATAAAGCGTTTACGAAGCGGAATGTGTCCGTTTACCATACCAGACCCCACTCCGTTCACCAAGATCGAGGGTGACTCCTCTGATGGGGTGCTCTGAGCACTAGGTTTCTCAGCATCTGATAAAGGAATAGGCATACAGTCTGACTTTATAAGAGCTGTCAACTATTTCGCCTCTTTACACTTAGTAGTTACTAGATTTATGTTCAAGAACAAAGCAAGCTTCTTGGCCAGTAACCCAAGCATGGTCAACTGTCTTTCAAGTGGAATGTCATTCAAGATCAAGTCGCGACATAGTTGACTCCTAAAACGATTTATCGATTTACTTTACCTCTACGGTTGCGATAGATAGGGCCAGCAAGTTAGTAAGCTGGCTCTTTAAAATAAACATTCCGTACGAAATAACCATTCATTTCTTTACTGGCCAAAGGAAAAATCCACCCACAAACAAAATCAAATCTCTTAGTCTTAATTCTAAATCTTATAAGATAAACAGTACCATGTAAAAGTTCTGCCAAAGAGGTTTCATTAGAATGGTAACACCGGGTGATTTCATCCACAGATTTAAACGTTAGAACTACATACTTAATAAATAGTACCATGTGAAAGTACTGCTGAAGAGGTTTCATTTGAATGGTCACACTATTGGATTTCATCGACAGGCTCAAAAGTTAGAACTAGATACTAAATAAATAGTACCATGTGAAAGTACTGCTGAAGAGGTTTCATTTGAGAGGTAACACCATAGGATTTCATCCACAGACTCAAAAGTTAGAGCTACATACTAAATAAATAACACCGTTTTAAAGTACTGCTGAAGAGGTTTCATTTGAATGGTAACAACACAGGATTTCATCGTCAGACTCAGAAATTACAGCTACAAACTAAATAAATAGTACCATGTGAAAGTACTGCTGAAGAGGTTTCATTTGAATGGTCACACCACTGGATTTCATCGACAGAATCAAAAGTTAGAACTACATGCTAAATAAATAGTACCACGTGAAAGTACAGCTGAAGAGGTTTCATTAGAAAGGTAACACCAAGAGATTTCGCCCACAGATTTTAAAGTTAGAGTGACGTATGAAGGCTAGGACTCAAAGCCTGCGTACAGCCGCCCCCTCCGGCGTTCAAACAAAATCGGGAATTGTTCGAGGGAAGGGTGGCGGCTGTACACGGGAAACATGGAGTCAAAGGGTTAAAGAAATCAACAGAACAATGGTAAAGGAAAAAGCTATGAAAAGTGAAAATTAAAAACTAAGGATTAAAGAGATTTCATTGAATTTCATTTAATTTAATTCGTTTGACTATAACAACGTATACACTGTAGATACTTGCCAGAAGAAACTTTTCTCTCAAAACCACTGACCATCGGCAGAGTGGCGTCAAATACTTTACCATCTTTATCAAAAGTAAACTGAAACATAGAAGGGCAAAATTAATACTAAATTGTTAGAACATATGTATGAGCACCTTCAATACGCCTTTTGCAATAGCTGATCATGTGATCAACTTTCTGTAAACAGGAAAACAGTTCGTCTTTGGAATTTTTTTTAGCAGGAACTGAAAGAGCATTTTACAATGACGTAACCTGTAAATGCTCAGTCGTATACCTCAAAAGCAGCGATTGCGACGGCCGTGTATTATGTTTAACTTTCAATTTCTTTAATTACTAAGAAAATCTCCAGCTAATAATTCTTTTATCTGTCCGGTTCCCATGTCCTACCGCAGACAGGATTTTATAGGTAACATACAGGATAGTTTCGTTGGACATTGCCCAAGGGCCGACTGTTATTGCGGTCGTGCATTATATTCTGTTCACAGTGACTCTATAGTTTGATGAGCATTCGCCATACGAAATCAAAACAGCGGGTTACGATTGATCTCAACAGGTGTTTCGATAATCGCACCAAAAACGTAGGATTCAATTTATGGTTGTCACTAAGGTCTCACGCTGCCGGGTATATGCAATAGGGACCTTACGATCTCACAACGGCGACGTCCATTGTATCCTTTCAAACTATTTCGCGATAATCCCAAGTCGCACAGTTACTTAAAAGAAGGGAATTTAGGACGGAGCTGAAGAGAAAGAACCGCGCTCGAGTTCAGACAGAGATGGTAGAATTTATTTTATCGCTTTGCCATCCCCCTTCTCAAGAAACTTAAAATTTGGTCATTTCACGTCGTTGTCGTGCAGGGACGGCAAAGAAATTTACAAAAAAGCGTGATGCACGTGCAGAGTTGTTTTGCTCATTAAACCTCTTGCTATTTTTGACGCCCCCGTTGCCGTCGCAAGGTCCCTAAAATAAATACATGAACGTGTCGCCCGGTTTAAGGTACCCAAAGACAGTGGATCCTGGATTCCAGGTATTGGATTCCGGATTCCAATAGTTAGTGGGATTCCGGAATTCCTTGAGCTGAATTCCGGATTCCAAAGCCCAGGATTTTTACATTCCATAAGCAAAAAGTTCTCAGAATTCCGGAATCTGAATTACCTTACCTGGCACGATAGGAGGGGGAACTGAACAGCTAGGAGGTTCTTTCCGTTCTTTCTTCCTTCTACTTGCTATAAGTAACCGGGGGTCATGCTTGGCGTTGGTATCCAGGGAAAATCCCGATCCCCCGGCTCTTGGTGACAGCCCTGTCTGTATAACAGCGAACAGTCTCTCTGCCACACAGACCCTTAGAAAATAATTCGATTTTTCCTCACCTCTAAGCTGATATCTCCCTTAGAGTGCTCACTCTTTGAAGACTTGGGCAGGACAGGTAAGATGAGTCTACAAGTCTGGTCTCTGTTCACAGTGGAAAGCGGGACTATCACCTGGCCAAGGTAATCATCTATGTGTACAAATAGATATTTTGGTAAATAAAAGCCTTATTGTGGTAATTAATTATCATTCAAATAAAAGTTAAACATACAAAATCGAGTAAATTTGAAGGTTGATTGAAAAAATAGTCATTTAAAAATTTGTCATTTTCCGAATATGGGAGATGAGACAATTATTCAAGTATTTCAGATGTATCTCGGTACGTGTACGCGTACAATTTTATTTTGAGCGCGCGCATTATTTGTTTATTTATTTAATTGACGTGTATATTTAGTTCGTTTATTAACGTCTTAATTTTACTTTGCGTTATTTTCCTCACTTATACATTGTCCGTGACTGTGCTCACATGGTGGGTGGCTCCTCCTAAAATGTTCTGCAATTGGTATAGGATTTAATGGAGCCGAAACCAATTGTGGAATTGCACGCATTTTAGGCATCCTACTGATGAACAGTTGCGACACGTAGATATATATTTTTTAGCAACTAAGATAATTTGCAGTCTGTCTACTTTGAATTCAATGGCTGAGTGGTACCACCGTAAATTCCTCTATTACTTAATTTTCTGTTGGTGTAGGTTGTGTGCCCGGGGGGGGGATGCACACTCTGAATCTTATTATGAGCACGTGCTTTATGACGTCATGTTATAATGGAAGCTAAATGTTTGGATCACAACAATAAGAAGCTTAGGAAACGACGACGGCGACGGCGACGGCAACGAAAACGGCAAAAAAGCAATAAGTTCATATTAGCAAAATAAAAATTTTGCACGTGCATCATGCTTTTTTGTAAATATCTTAACGGTCGTCTGCGACATGAAACGCTCTAATTTCACGCACCCACTTGATAGAGTACAGCACCGTAGGAGAACACAACACAAAAATTCGGTTTGTTGTCATCCAGAAATTTTGCTACCATGACAAAGTGACGTAACGACTTCTCCTCTCTAATGACGTGAGCATTTAGTTGCATTTTTTAGTTTGGGTTGTCTTTCTAACTCATACGCCTTGTCAGTAACTGCTCACATTGTGGGAAGCCCCTTCTAACATAACCGAATAAAATTATTTTAGGCATCCTACTAATTAAATGAACAGTTTACGACTTAAACATATTTCGAACATCAACAATTTGCCGGTCATTCCCTTCAAATGGAGATATGTAACTGAGGTTTACTTTTAAATCTGTGGATGAATTCTTATATAAAGTGTGACGAATCAAATGGAAGCTACTGAGCAGTACTTTCGTACGGTACTATCTGTTTTCCAGGACTTTAAGAAATGAAATTTACGATTTTTTTAAAATATTAATTTTAGGATGAAAAGAGCTGAAAACTCTCGGTACACTGTGCTTAAAACAAACTTTATTTTCACCTTGTTCCTGGGTGGATTCACTGTCGTTAACATGGCCATTGCAATCTGTTTAAAATTAATATAATTTAATGGGGATATAATATTATACTACATTTAGGAAAATTTATTAGCATTTGATGTTATCAGTAGTACAAAAAGAAGGTATTTTATGAGTCCTTCAAACCTAAGAGCTGCCAAGATTTAAAGCTGCAGAATTTCATGATTAAAATACCTCAAATTTAGTTTCACTTAGAAGACCAACAAAATAAAAGCTGGCTGCTGAACACAAAACTCAAAAATGTGATTATTGATTCAAAACATATCTTAAAGAATTTTGTCAAATTTATTTACAAGTACTATTATGACTATAGGTCTTTTCACTGAAAAGTTATTTTCAATTAAATTGTTAGCTTTAATGCGTTTTGTTTTAGTGGTGACTTCGTTTTCAAACGCCTTAAAAATGCAGTATTAGGACATATTGAATTAAAAATCAAATATTTACAAGAAAATAGATTAGTCTGGCTAAAAATACTTTTATCAATACCACAAAAAAGGAGAAAAAGAAAACCTAAGACTTGCCTCTGTCGGTTTTCTCGTAGTCATATATATCAAGAGAAATCTCTTTCGTCTTCGGAGTGATGTCACTAACGGAAAAAAGTAAACAAAACATATAAAATAGGACGGTGTGAGGTGTAGCCTTCGTGTAGCCACACCCTTCCCCCGAAGAGGGAAAAATGGCGGGAGGGAGCGTCTCGTTTTTCCTTCTCCGAGGGAAGGGTGCAGGTACATGTAGGTTATATGATGCATCAAGGGGTTAGGCTCGATTACCATAAGCACTGTTTGGGAAAAGAGCCCGCTCTGCTGCCTCTTCTCAGGGAGTAACCTGCGTAGCCGACGGGATCGTTATTTAGCGCGAGTATAGTTTTGCCAGTGGAGTTGCGAAGCCGGGTGGAGAATGGAGAGAAGACGCAAAAACTCTCGCACGCGCAGAAAGGATCAAGACAGGACCTGAGAGAGCCTACCAAGGGGTCTGCCTTGTCCATTCCCTAGGCCTATCCGTTTTTTCTTTTATAGGCCTAGCGACGTGTCACGGGAAGGCCCAGAATGAAAGCAAACCACATTCTCCCCACAATGCTCTGTTTTCTAAAGGAAAAGGCGCCTAGGTCCTAAGTATCAAGCCTTCCAGAGGGGTTAGGTCGGAGATTTGAAGTAAGGAGAAATAAGGCCGGAGAATTGCAAACAGTTATGAAACAAAAGTTAGTTAACGCTAACTTAGGGCGCTTTCCAAAACTCAGAACTGGCCAGCTGGATTATGGCCCAACCAGTCATTTTGACAAAGAAATAGACTTTTTCCAAGAATTTTTGATAAAAACCCACCTTCGCCGTGGACTCTATTTAAGATTTGATTGATCTGGCTGGATAGTTTTGATCAAAAGTGAATTTCTCATCACGAGGGGAGAGGTCTGGCAGGTCAGTTCTGACAAATGGAAAGCTCCCTTAGCATTTGATAACCATGCTGATGAATAAAGTAAAAAGATTGCCCAAAGGATTGGTGTACCGAAGAGTATAAACAGGAACCTCCCAGTCAAGAAATGGAAACTCTTCTCTAACTCCATTTCTATAGCCTATTGGCAAGAGCGAGGGTTGGCAAATGCTGACTGGTTAAGGAGCGGAGAAGGTGGTATTAGAGAGAGTACTTTATGAGCGCTTTCCATTCAACAAAAATTCCAGTTTGAAAGTTTGGAAATTCCAAACGGTACATGTAATGGTACATTTGGTACATTTTGGTTATTGTTCTTGCAAGCAGGATACAAAAGAGCGGAACAATTTTGTCATAATATTATGGAAAGGGACATTTCGGTCTGACCGACCAAAATGACTTGACCGATCAAAGTGGACTAACTTCACAACAGAGGCCACCACCTATTTCTGTCGCCAGGGTGGCAATTGTGGAGCCCTCTCCTTAAAATGGCTGGGAAACTAAGCACCCCCCCTTTTTTTTCAAGGGGGTATTTGAAAGATTGTGGTAAACTTACAAAGTGAAATATTCATTCCAAAATGGGCTGTCATTATCTCTGACCATGCTGGTTCGCTTGCGTTGCAATGGATTACTGGTTGAAACAACACAATATGGGCTGACAGTACCTAAAACAAGTTAGATGTAAAAAAGGTGAGAAAAAATGAAACAACAAGCATGGAGAGATGTTATAGGTTTTTTTTTTTAATTGTTGTGTTTATTATAAAATGGGAAGAAAAAATGAAAGATTTATAACAAGAAGTTTCGGGGGTCCTCATGACTCCATTACCAAGTGAGATGTGAATAATATTACAATCGAGCAAATGGAGCTGGTTAAGTAAACACTTTGGTCCGCATTTGCTTGATAATGGAGTCATGAGGACCCCAAAACGTTGTGTTACATATCTTTCATTTTTCTTCTTAGTTGCTTGTTTTAACAAAACTCTGCTCATAAAATCATTATTTGATTGATTTTTATTTATTTTATTTTATTTAAACATAAATGACACATTTTGAATCATATTTTCAGGTTTCCGAAAAATTATTCTACTGCTGAGTCCAAGACACTAGAAATAACACTATTACATTATTTTTTTATATAGAAACTGCAATGACAACTACAGCATTATTTTGACATGGTCTAAAACTCTCACCACTTTTTTCCTTTCCACAGAGACCACTTGCTTTGATTACTGTAAAAAGAAAAGAACAGTGTAGTTCAAACGTAAGTATTGGATGAGGTTTTTGTGGTATCTGGTATAATCAAGCTCCGGTTATCGGCCCAGGCTAAAAACACTTCCCAAGACCTTGATTATTCCAGATATCACAAAATTAACTGTACCTCTTACCCAGTAAGAAAACAGATACTGGGTACAACATTAATGTACATTATTATTCATTCAAAATATTTCCCCAGTTCTGATTGGCTAAAAGCACACGCATAATTCACAATAACCAGTTACCGATGACCAAATTTGGACGAATTTTATGTTTACCGAGGAAATGATGTCAAAAATGCAGCCCGCTACAAGTTAATGAACCGTTAACCGAGAAGGCCTGGTGACGAGATTGAGTTGTTCAGAAATGACCAACAACTCACTTATTTCAAGAGTAAGAACTACTGGAACTAGGCGAAGTAGTGGCTAAAAATATAGCAAAAACAGCACGAAGACAACTCGGAGGGTGACATCTACTATTTGGAGAATATTGGTGGCACTGGACAAACCTAAACGTACACTATCGAAGATGAACTTAACATCGATGGAGGTAAGCATGTTTTACCTATGTTTTTAAACTAGGAATTATTTTGAAAGAATAATGAAACAATTATTGAATTCAGCTTTCGTATCATATGAAGAATTATGGAAATCTCGGAGGGTGTTATTAACACCATCCTCTATCTCCATAATTCTTCATAAGACACTCAGCCTAATTCATTAACTGTTAAATAATTCTTATTAGGTTTCTTTTCTAGGTAATAATAAAAATATAATCATCAGTCAAGAGACTGCCAGTTCAACAGAGTCTGGTGCTGGAGGGGTGGAGGGGTGAGGCTAAGAGGGGAAGGAGGCACAAATTTCCCAGGTGAAAGAAATTTGGGGGAGGGCATAATTTATTTTACTCCTACCCTTACAAAAAATAACTTGTATTGTTTCAAGTTTCACTTGCCATATCAAATTAAGATTGCAAACCCACTGTTATCAGCACTATACTGTGTATCAAAATAAACGAATATGAACAGTCTAAACATACATTAAAAAGGAGGTCAGGAACCTTTTTGTATGGGAAGTAAGGGGCGAAGTGTTAAAGTCTTGATGACAAAGGTAATGAGAGCCCTGATCATATTAATTTCCTTTCAATTCTCACAATACACATGAGGCTCAACTAGCCATGATCAAGAACTTTGAAACTTTTCAGATAGGACACCTTTTGAAATCTTCAAAATGAGTTGTCTTCCTAGACTCTCTAGCAGGTCCTCAAAAAAGAAAGATTCCCTACACCCTTGATCAAAGTTTAACATTTCAAGAACTCTGTGCTAACCTTTGACAAGGAGTTTGCCTTCTTCTCCAATGCATGATATGGATGACGGGGAGTTGAGCCTTTCTTTAGAACTGGCTGAGCCCTGTAGAGAAAATTTTGAAATCACTTGTTTCTCTTTCACAAAGTTACTGGTAAATATCCCCGGTCTGTAAAAATAAAGGACAGGCTCAATAGCATTTTTGTTGGGGTGCTTGGGAAACAGATTGTTCAACCTTTTGAATATGTAAAATCAGGATATTTTTCCCAACCGAGGAATAATTATTAATCACACATGTGCTGAAGGGGTGAGCTGCTAGGGGGAAGGAGGTTGGGGGCATTCTCCTGATCCCCTGAAACACGATTTCTAGTGTTCTGAGAAAACATTTTTTGTCTAATATGTTCGCATACAAGAACTTCATTTCATTTTTCTGCGTGTTCAGTTATTGTTCTTGTAAGCAGGAAACAAAAGAGCAGTACTGGGACAACAATTTCGTCAAAAGGAAAGGGACTTTTCAGTCCAACTGACTGAAATGACCAGACCAGTCAAAGAGGACCACCTTCAAAGCGGGTCCCGAATATTCCAGTCGGACCAAACCAAAAGAGTCTGTTCCATTTGATGTACCAACCAAAATTTCTGGAATTTTGGATTGAATGGAAAAAGCCCTTCCTTTTCAGTATTCAGGAATTTCCAAGTAAGTTGCTGAAAAATGGAAGGGAACCAGCTCATCGACCATAGCAAGGTGTCTGCTGTGCGATATAGCTGTTAGGAGCATGCAAGTTCACCAAAATGAATTAAAATAACAAAATGAATCATATTTTGAACCGTGGATAAAGATCAAGTTCACCAGAGCTAAACAAAACTAATATTGACTTGAGGCCGCATTCACATATATTTTTGAAATACAATGTGGAAATATTAACTTCTTTGTAAGGTAAAATTTTCTGACTGTGCTATATACACCTGCATGTAGACTGGTTGAATAGATGTTAATTTAATGTACTGTTGGTCGACATAGACAGATGTAATTTTTTGGAACTCAAAAATAATATTATCATGTCAATCTTTCTCAAATTATTTTCTAAACTATTTTGTAAAAGCAAAGGTCTCATTTCTAGTCACAGTATACTCAATGTTTTTTTTTTTTAAGGAATAAGTATGATTGCGGCACAAACAACAACTTCGACTTCTTCGTTCAACGCGAAATTCATTCATTCAAGTATAGATTAAATTGCAGACTTGCAAAAATGATTCCCTTGGTAGACTTTACGTGATTGCAACATATATTCTTGGTGATCCTTTACACTGTTCCTCTTTCAGATAGAAACACAATTTAAATTGAATCATTTGATTATATTCATTGAATAAAATGTTCCTTTTAAAGACAACACAAGGTGAGACTAGTGAAATATAAATTAGGAACACAGTTTGATAAGCAGAGCGTATCCTACCTTAGCTCGTCTCCTCCGTTCATTCATAAACACATACACATGAACATTGACAAAGTAGTTGTTTTCGATCTCAACGTTGGTGTGACTCTTCATGTTGGCTTCTTATAATTAATAACCACAGCTCCACAGAGGTTTATGTGGAAGGAGACTTTTAAGCAAAAATGTCGACTGGAACATCATAAAGCTTTCAAAGTGAAAATCTCAATGGGAAGTTTGACATTCAAGGTAATTACAAGCAGTAAAAATTTCAGCTGTCTGTCTGACTTAGCATTGTTTTTTACATTGTGACAAAAATACTCATCCAAAATTAAAAATTAAAAGTTGGTAAACAAACTGATGAATATTTACAGCACAAGCATGAAAAAGCCATCATCTCCTAGTAAGCATCTTTCTGAGGTTTTTCAAGCTTTCTTTTCTACAGAAATACATTCAGTATGAAACCATTCAAAGAAACAGTTTTGGAAATTAATAATTAATAAGAACTAGATTTGCATGACAAGAGATGAGCAGGTGGTAGTTTATATTGATATCTAAGAAAGCTTTTTTCTTCACTTTTAATTTTTCTAATTTTCACATTAATAATTCTAACTATAGGACCATAAAAATGTCCAATACATCTTCATTTTAAGGTTTAGATCCACTATAAGCCAGTATCAATAAAATTCAGCAAAAAACATACCAGTATCTAAGTTTCCTAGATAGGTCCATAAAAAATGTTTCCTGTAACCCATATATATATATCTGTTTTTGATTATAATTTAATATGACTCTATAGCATGGCTGTATGATAAACAAAAATAAAATAAAAAATCTTTACATTATGGTTAAAATAATTTTCCCATGACATCAATTAATTTCACTTTTTATAGAAAAGCCTAGTTATAACAAAAATTTCAAAAGCACAAAATAGAAGACAAACACACAGGCATTAAAGGTGACCAAACTATTCTGTGCAGCTGTATGTTACGTTAAATGGTCACATTATCACATTTAAGCATACTGAAAAAATAAGGGCTTCAAGTAAAAACAATCATTTTCTACTCCCCACACTTCCTTTTTGGAGGGGACATCTCCACCCTTTCAATTATTATTATGCCATTTCTCTCTCTTTCAAGGAACTCAATTGCCAAATTCGGAAAATGTGCTCCTCAAAAAAACTTTTTGGTGGACTAGCTGCTGGATGACAAGCAGTATGTAATCCACTTTCTGGCAAACTTGCATGTAGAATGACGGTTGATCTTTCTATCATCGACACAGGTAAATCTGACAAACCAAATGCTAGTGAGATAGGTAACTGAGAAAAAAAAATTCTGGTGTTTACAAAAGGCAATTTTTTTAAAAGTCATTTGTTGGCCAGTACCAGTAGTTTTTTTTTTTTTTTTTTTTTTTCAAATATTTCTTGAACAAATTTTGGCCTTCATATTGCATTTTTATAATGTTTGAAAATTACCACTTCCTCTATTTTCCCTATTCTAATAATATTATTTCTCAGTTCTAAATCTGTTTTCTCCTCTCTCTGTTGCCTGCCCCACAGACCACTGGACATACCTGTGCTACTAAGGCACAGGATTCCAACATAGGTGCAGCTTAATAATATTTTAAAATGAAGTAACTACAGCTGTACAAATTTTGGCACTTTATTGATCTCTAACATTTTATGCTGCCAGACGATGTGGAGACATGCACACAAAAGAGATTCACTTAAAGCAGAAAAACTGAGCTACACATGTATAATTTTCATTTTCAGTGATTTACAAAAACAGACTCTTCACTTTACAATATATGATGTGGCTTTCAAGTCTCACATTAGCCACTACTCTTGATCAAAAATCTGGTCCAATTAAATACCAAATTTACACACCAGGAACAATTACTACAATTCAAATGTACTGTACTGTTCAGTAACTTTCATTGAATGATTTTCATCTACACCTGCACCTGTACCAATTCAACCCTCTACACCCTAATATCAAAATTGTTATTCTCATTTGTTGTCCCTGTATGTTTTCAAAAGAAGTGGTGGGGAGAATTTGCTGAAGTATCAATTAGATTCATCTTTCTTGATCATGTCCTCAATTCTCCTGACCACTGTTTTATATATTATAAGGAGAAATTTCATGCTGATCATTATTTTGCCTTAAAGGGTTAAAAGTTAAACTGTTTTGTACAGGGTTCCTACTCTTTTGAGTTCTTCAAATTCCATGACTTTCCATGACTTTTTCCATCACCTTCTCAGTTTTCCATGACCTTATGTGTAGCTGTCATTTTCGAAAATTTCAAAACCTTACAGGTGTACCTGTTTTAGCATACATCTGTATTTTTTTTTACTTTACACACTTCAACAGAAACAAACTCTGGTATCCACCACATTGCATGCCGTTTGCACTGTTTTTAAATAACTCCCCTTCACGTGTTATTCTTGTTTTGTCATCTGCAGTAACTCATCTACCTAACAAAACTTTAATTTTCCATGACTTTGAAGGACCGACAATTAAATTCCATGACTTTCCAGGCCTTGAAAATGAAATTCTTAAATTCCATAACTTTCCAGGTTTTCCATGACCTGTACAAACCCAGTTGTAAACCATAATAGACAGTACATATACCACAAGAAAATACTGCTACTGCTGTAAAAAGCTACACTGTAGCTTTCATTTAAACAGTAACAGAGACTCACAAATTTAACATTTCTTTACATTTGGTCTGGTTCAAGGAATTTTCTTATCACAAAATGAAAGTTTCATCACTTATCAAGTGTCAAGCCTTACAAAACAGAAAATGGCAGACATGGCTTTGAACAACCCTTCTTCTGATAGCTTTCAATCAACTGTTTTGCTGCAGTGCTCCTTTCTCCCCCACTATTCTAAGACAAAGAGGTTAATTTCTAGGACCTACAGGTAGAAATGCTACTCACCAAATCTGAATTGAGCTTTTCCTTGGAAGTTGTATCTGCAGTGAGTGGAAGTGTAGTGATGGTTTTACAAATAACTTCTTTGACTTTCTCCTGAACTTCCGCGCCATCAACCTCACTGTCCTGATCGAGATACAAATCACAGACAACAATACAGTGAGTTAACTACCTGGAAGATTGAAGTACATGACTGTGTACAATTTTGTTCAATTCTGTGATGGATATATTACTATCCCCATATCTTGCTTCACTCCTTAAATAACCATGAAGCAGTGATTTTGTTACCTCTGGGTGCTGCATCCTTGACAAATAAAAATCCCTAAAGACATAAAATAATTCATGGCACACGTCCCGTACAACGCAAAGATCGATTGATTGATCTAAACATGCATGTGTATTTGTAGAAATATACCATTCATGTAATTTCTGTGGCAGTTATTTTTCTTTTAGCCTTTGTTGTGCTTTAAAATAGAAGGACTATAATATTTCAATTTCAGTATACTGCAATACAGAGTTTTGGAGTGTGTCTTCAGATTAACTGTCTGGTTACATAAAGGACCAAGCACTTTCAATTTTGGACTAGTTTTTTTTTTTTTTTTTTAACTGGGACTCATTAGTTCTGGACAGGAACTCACGATTTTTCACAAGTTAGATGAGTACCAGGACGCACCATAACTATGTGTACTTGTAACAAAATCACTGATGAAGCCTTAATTTCCTTCATAATGCCCAGTAAATTGCCCATAACCATCATCATTGTCATGCTGCATCCATATGTTGATATATTGTATCATGTGGTGCGATACAAAATACTCAGACCAGCCCAACAGAGGGTACTTGGTCTTAAAGGCCAATATTTAAAAGGGAAATCCAAAGCTAAACTGAAATTTCCAGCTCAAATCAGAGAGATCCTCCATAGAGCGAGTGTAACAAGAGTATGCATGCATATTCCCTGGAAGAACACACTGTACACTGTACAAATTCTGAACAGAAAGCAATGCAAATAATTTGAAATTTGTATGAAAAAAGTAAAGCATTATCTACATGTAGTAGTAGCAAAATAGATCTAAACAACAGCCTAACGAGCAAAGAATCTGTAAGCCTACTGAGTACAGACATTAATGGCTGTTCGCCAGCAATTGGTTCATGGTCTATGTCCAGGGGTGTACACCCCTGTAAGAATGAAAGGAGAGATTGCCATTCCCTTTTAGAGGCTTTAATTAATTAAATTGTGGATTAATGTACCACTTTGGGGTGGTATAAACTAAAATTACAATATTGTTACAGTACGTTGTTTGGGTAAATTTTAAAGGCATCTAATTAGCAAATTAGGCAGAAAATCATTAAGGCAACTATCAATTTGTTATTCAAGTGAGTGACCATTTGCTGTATTTGGAAATAAATCCACAGTGGTGGGTTTGTCAGTGGATTTGTTGTTTGAATTATTACAAACTGTAGTAGCATGATGAGTGGAATAAGGCCCTAAGTGCTTTCTGATCCAATATTCAATTCCTTTTGATTTGCAAGCACTTACAAGGCACATTGAAAGAAGAATCTGGCAGCTTATACATTATCAGTTGTCACTTAGACAGAGAGGTCATTTGCTCTTTCAGCTATATATACATCAACATTGGCTGGATATTGGCCTTATTCCCTTTTTTGGGATATGCTTAAGTAAAAAAGGCATAATTTTTTTTTATTTATCCAAGGATCTGAAAGCATTCTAAAGTGCACGATTAGAAGCAAAATGAACAACAAACTTCTCTACTAGAATTTCAAGAAAAAAAAAACTTCATCTTCTTAACTTCACACTAGAATAACTAACTGATGAACAGCATACAAGGACTATCCATTTGAAAATGGCAAACTGTAACAAACATTTTTGTGCGAGACATCACTTTTCTGCATTACAAAATGATAATTAAACTTAATTGTTGCATATTTACCTTAACTTAAAACAGTTTATACACTGTATCTCACAAAACGATTGTTACATTTTAAAGTAATCAGTGACTAGCTTAATTAAGATTTTTTGAACCATTCTTGAAATTATGGAAGCAGAAATCAGAATATAATTACTTAATTCATAAAAAAATGGAAGACATTAATAACATTGTTAAAGTGATAAGTTCTACAACATTTACTGCCACAAATGCTTCAGATTATTTTTTACATGTATCACATGGATTCACAGTCTGCAACTGTCTCTTTTAAAAAGCTGATATCTCATCAAAAGCACTATATAGTTGTACTAGCCGCTATAATTATTACTAAACAATGTAAAAGCTGTGCTTTAGTCTTCTAAAATTAATTGAATTGGAAGATGAGAATGAATACAGCAGTGCTTGAACAATAAACTAACACAGAGTGTCACAGCAAACCTATTTTCTTCAATTTTCTTGTTTTAAGAGTACCAGTCATATAGGCGACACAGTGGTGTGTAAAGACTTAAAAGAAACATGTTAATTTGAAAACTTACCCCATCCAAACCAGAGGGGTCTGATGATGTCTTAATAACACACTGCAGTTTGGTTTCCTCGCTTTGTTCTAAAACCTCATTGCCAATCCCTGCTTTAAACCACAACACTGCAGTCAACATTTGAGGACCCTTTCAAAATCACCACAACCAGTAGAACAACACAATAGAAACAAGCTCTTTGTAGAATCAGAGACAATTTTACCTTGCTTTGAAGATTCCTGTCCCATATTGGGATAGCTGCAATTTCCTTCAAAAACTGACTATTATTAGTAACTTCTTGAGGGCAAAAGTTGGTTGTATTTCAAATGATGTCTGGCAATATTTCTGTCAAGGTGAATAATTTATGAGCTGAAAGCTTCGTGATATTTACTAGTGTAATATAACAGAGCAGTTTCAGCTGAGTAAGAGACAAGAGTTAGGAGTCTGGGTTAAAGTTGCATTCCAGAAACATTAAATCACCTTTGATGATATCAAAAAAGGTCAATAAAGTCTTTGAAGTGAAACAGAAAAGTTTAAAGATATCATTGACATTAAGCAGGTAAGACCTGTTACCTTGAAAAGAAATCTTCAACGCTAATTAAACACAAAGGTATCAGTGACCAGTCCACTGACTTTTGTCTTGCATTTATGTTAGCATTCATAGTGCCAACTTAAAGTAAGTTATTCCACCTTGAGTTCTATCACTCTTGTTCTATCCTTTTTATCCAAAAGACAACTAAATGATTGTTTACACCATGAGCAATATAAGAACGTCCTATCAAGCAAAAGCATTCAAAAGTCGCACAGTAATGTATGAGTTATAAAACACCTTTTCTATTCTTACTTTGCAATATAAAATTCAACATAAAATAGGGCATGATTAAAAAATGGAGTGATGGAAAATACTTGGTTCTTTTTAATAAGAAGTAAAAATAACGAATTAATTGCTTTTACATCAAACACCTTTTGATTTGTAATATTGTGGCATTATAAAATTTTTCAACTTCTCAATTTTTTCTCTTCCAACATTTCTCTCAACTTTCATTTCCATAACAATATTAACAAACAAAATAAACCACAAATAAGACATAAAACTGTTAAAATTAAACAACACATGACATAGTATTGCACAGAGTTAACATTGGATCCACAAGATCTAATTTAATTTTCAGGTTATAAAATAAAAACAAAATTCAAGTCCCTGAACTCTGACGAACAGTAAAAGGCTAATGGCAAGGATAAAGAGTTTGTCTTAATGAACAAATGAAATTTTCTTCATTATCAACAAAAATATGTGAAAATAAGTGAGATTTTAAATTATTTGAGTAATAATTTAAGTTTTTAGGAATAAAAATAGCAAATTATATATCTAGCTAGATGGTTCAATTAAACAGTTTTGCAGGTGGTATAACAGGTACTTGTAAACACTGTTGTATTTTCTATGAAAGAAATATCTCTACATATTCAAATGTAACCCAATGCACAAAAATTCGTTTCATTTTATCTTCCTGGTTAATGGTACTGAACATACCAAATGAATATACAATTTATGCAACTCTAAATAAAAAAAGTGTATGCTGACCATTTTAACAGATTCAGTTCTGTTCCATTTTGATTTTCTGTAGGTTCCCTGTGAGTACATACACACAGTAACAATAAATTCTATTACTAGTAGTAATCTCAGATTAGGAAGTGCGTTTGAGCTTGTTTAGGTTTACTGTCAAATGTAACATTATTTCCTAATAAATTGATGCTGCAAAACGCTTCCTATATGTTTTTTTTTTTTTTAAAAAGAGACAAAACGAAACAAAACGACTACGAAAAAATGAAAAAAGTCTTACCCAGCAGGAGTCGAACACAAAACCTTCGACGTGTAAGGACAACGCATTATCCATTGCGCCACGCAACCATTATTAAGAAAATATACATCAATATAATGTTGTATTTAACACTTTTGTGCCCATAAGATAAATTATTCAAGATGGCGCAGAAAATGCAGACGTACAACGAAATGAGTACTACAAAAGGTCACCCTTGAGTACCACAGGAATCCCAAGATTATGTGTTGCATTCTCCTAACGTCGAACACAATTATATTTTTATTCTGAGGACAAAATGCCCTCAAAAAAGCCCAAATGACCCAATCGGCATACACTTGCATGACTGCCTTCAGAAAAAAAGATTGTGTTATTTGAAGGCTCAGACAGCACTTCCATGCTACATTTTCACTTAATTCCCCAACATTCATTTCCAGGAGGGCAGAGCTTATAGCTTAGTACCCTATTATGTGATATTAGACTCGAAAAGCTCAAAGGAATACAAACAAAATAAATCATATATTGTAAATGTTGAGGTTCACTCATAAATAATATTATTTCATTTAATTTTACATTATTTTGTTGTCTTCTATTCAATTAGTATGAGTTTTAATTTTAAAACAAAATTGGCCCATTTAAATACATACATACATACATACTTTATTGTTAAATCCCCAAAGGGGCTTTTCAGGAACAATGAGGCCACAAATAATATTATTGGCAATCTTTTCAAAATTTCTGAGGAACATTGTCTTCTTGTGACCTGTGAAGGATTACCCACTGCCCCATCAGCGTTTATAGAAAACAGTTTCGTACCTTGTCAAAGCATTTAGTTGCCATGGCAATCTCTGGAACACCAATAAACTGTATAGATACTTCTACCCTTGAAAGAGCAGTGTTCAACTTAAGGGCAACCTTAAAGAAGAAAACAGAAGACTGGTTTAATTATCTCAATTCTCCAGACTATCTGAAGGTATTTCATTTAAAGTGATATGCCCCCTTCCCCTGTCGCAAAGCTTCACTCGTTGCAAAGCAGTGCAAGTTGTGTGACAGAATTTAAAAGCACTATTAAATTTTAAGACTTAGTGGTATTGAATTGCAGTGTGGTCAAACAGTCAAAACTGTCCATTTCTCAAGAAAAATAAAATATGCTTGACCAATGAAGAAATAAAAAAATCCTGTTTTCTTGAAACTTGACATGAGAGAATTGGAACTCAATTCTTTTGTCTCAAAGTTCAAGTTATTCACATTTTCAAACAAGAGAATCATGTTTTGAGAATCAGGTTCAGTGTCGGCCTTTAGTTAATACTTTTGAGCAGTACTGTAAACAATTTTGCTTCCATGATTTTATGTCAGGGTGATTGTGGCAGAGTCAAGACTGACTTTTTTATCTCAAAGAGGCTATACACTAAGCAGTTCATACACACTGTACATGTAGTCATATTATAATACCTCTCCAGCTAATTTGAGCACCCTTGTTTCCAGCATTGAAGATTTAGGCCGATCATCAGTTTCTTGAAGAACTTGAATTAAAAAACCAAGGTCTGCTGACTCCACATGAAATGTTATGCACTAGCAGGAAGACAACACAGTTTATTAAACTTTATATTGACAATTTTGATGATAATAGCTTTATAATAGTGATGATGATGATGATGATGATGATGATGATGATAATGATGATGATGACAATGATGATGATGATGATGGTGGCGGTGGCGGCAGTGGTGGAAGTAGTGGTGCCAAATGATGATGATGACACAGGGTGCAAAATTGTGACCAGCTGGTCACCAATACAACTGAAAATTTAGCGACCAGAATTACATGGCTAGTCACCAGAAGGTGACTTACTTTCAGTGCCTTGTCAATGTTTTGAACTGACACTCAAGGAATTAATTTTGTCTTAAATGGAAAAATTTTCCCTTTGATTTCCAGAGGAATCTTACTTCTTGTCTTGTCAAAGCTTTTTATCTCTATAGAAAATAATTCAGATCCAAACTGAAGGTAAGAAATCTAAAAAGCATTGACTATTTACAGGCAAATGAAATCATCGAAGGCGAGAGACTGGTATTAAAGAATTATTCTGTTCTGCAGTGACCTGGTACAGGCAACATGTTGGTTAGCTTAGCGCCTAACTGCTTGCCAAAGCTTTGCACTGGTAAGTACATGCAAAGGCGGTCACGTTAGAATGTTCAGTCTCCAAACTATCTACCGTAAAATTCCGAAAATAAGCCCTGGGGCTTATATTTTTCAAAAGCCCTTTTTGAGGGGCTTATTTTTGGAGGGGCTTATATTCGGAGGAGCTTTATCTACATCTACGGAGGGAAATTTGCGTTCCAAAATCGATTGGGCTAGCCTTATAGTTGGAAGTAAATTTACCGTTTTGGCTTTGTTTTACTTTGTATTTGAGGGCAATTTTCCAAGTACAAGCCCCCGGGGGGCTTATATTGGGAGGGGCTTATACATGGAGGGGCTTATTTTTGGAATTTTACGGTATTTAACAAAAAGTCCTCTTCAACTAAGATACCCAACCCACACAATCATTTAATGCTTTTTCGTACATGGCAGTCTGACATAATTTTGCATTCACTCACGAGAGTTAATGCTTTAAGTGAAAAAAAAATCCATTAAAAACTTTGCAATACAATAAATAATATTAAAATGTATTGTAAAGAGATTTCAGTGAATATTTGTGTTATTCTAATCCACATTTTTTTTACCTGCATATTCCCACTAACACACAAACAGTACACACTTGTTAGTTTTGGAGGAAGACAGCCTGGGCTTAGACCTTCGATAACAATCCTCTGATCTTTCTACAAGAGAAAAAACAATGCTAAAAAAAAACACAAATTCAGCTGAGTGAATCAAGTTTGTTTCAGCACCCTTAGTAGCTTACTGCACAGATGAAAAAAACACTGGGATTAGTAATTTAAGATCAAATTTGTTGCCTGAAAATGACATAAAAAAGCGAAATAAAAAAATATGAAGCAATTCTCTTGCAAAACGTACAAGCCCAGATTAAATCAGACCTAAAGAGGTGGATTTTTTCAAAATAATATTATACACTACAGTTGGGGAGGGCAGGGATAGGAGCCTAGACCCCAGTTGATCAAAAGGTTGATAACGCTATCCACTAGATAAGGTAATTGGATTGCCTTACACTCATCCACTGAATAGCAATTTATCCAGTGGATAGTGGTATCCAACCTTTTAAAAACCAGGGCCAGGTGAATAGAGGGCAGGAGGGTACAGGAGGTGGGAGATGTAAAGTAAAGGGGGGGTGGAGTTCGAACAAGGTGGGAAGTGGGAGAAATAAGGAGGAATTTATGCAATATTAAAATTTTGCAATCAAAAAGGGGCTTAGGGGAAGAAGAAAAGAAAAAACAGGGGAGCTGGGAATGCAAGGTATGGGAGGCAGAGGGTCTGGACCCCCTATCACCTCCCACCCCTAAATACCCTTTGGTACTATATATACCCCCTATAACTCACAGAAGAAAGAACCATTCCCCTTGGGTGACCTTGTAGCTCTCAGAAGACCTCACCGGATTACAGTCGAACCTCGATTATCCAGACTTTTCAATTATCCGGACTTGTTTTCCTGGTCCCTCTTTTTTTTTCATGAAGATTAATAAGATGCAGTAAAAACCCGCAACTAAGAACCTAAAAATTAAGAACCTGTTAGCCTAAAATTGGTCATTTATACCCCCTATTAACAAGAACCTATTTAGCCTAAGAAATTTAAAACAGGTTCTTATTTTCTAAAATCATACTAGTACATTACAGCTGCATTGCAAGAATCATATTTGAAGCAAAAAAAGCAGATTGCCATTGTTGCAAAAATGTTTTTTAAAGAAAAATGAGTGTGAGGTATGTTTTTTGTGGGGGTGGAGGGTGGGGTGGAGCTGAAGAAAATAAAAGTATAAGCTAATGACAAACTTGTTTGCAGCTGTGTTTTAATTGTTTTTTCTCCAGGATGAAGAACCCATTTTAAGAACCTAAATAGCCTAAAATTCTGTGAACTACCATTTATATAAGAACCTGTTTAGGCTAACTCCTAAAAATGTAGGTTCTTAGTTGCGGGTTTTTACTGTAGATCTTGAAAATTTGAAACGATTAAAAGTTTGTTAATCATTCCAAACGTGTGTTTGAAACTCTGTTTAATCTGTTTTGCTTTGAAAAAGAATGAGAGGCATTTAGCTGAATTCTGATTGGCTCGATTATTATGTTGCTAAGGGAATGTCATGTTTGATTATGCATTGGTTGTTGTAAACACAAGACCAATCAATCATAAACTCAAACCACAGCCATGTCTACTCAACGAAAGCATTCCATTCTCTTGATAAAGGATAAGCAAACAATTACTTCATGTTTGGAGAAAGGCGAAAAGGGAACAAATTTAGCACTCGAGTTTAAAATCGGCAAACAGCATATCAAAGATGTACACAAAAACAAAGGGGAGATCCTGAAATTCACCAGCAGCATCGAGACAAACGAAGGATTGAAAATACATAAATACTTACAGTCTGTACATAAATTCAAGTAAGAGCTAATTCACAATAAAATTTTGTTTTCTTTTCTTTTTTCCGCATGTTTACATTTTTGTCTGATTAACATTCATATTCAACATTATTATTCGACGAGTGGGCATTAGATATGAGATGGTAGATAGCCAACGAGGCACGCAGCACCGAGTTGGCTATATAATCATCTCATATCCAACAAGCGTGGGTGGAATTAGTGTTTTATTAAAACGCTCACAAATATCGAGAATTCTTCCCGACTTTATTTGTAAACACAACCGATTTTCAGCTTCCTTTTAATTTTGAGCAGACACGTATGGTTACCATATTAGGAAAGCATGGCATAATGGCTCATGTCATGTACCATGATCGCTAAGCCAATCAGAGCTCTAGCAATGCATTATCCAACAATTCAGTTTTTAATAATTTTGATTATCCGGACTCTCAATTATCTGGACTTTTTACTCAAATCCCAATGAGTCTGGATAATAGAGGCTCAACTGTAGTTGGGGATACAATGAACAATGAATAAACAAAATTAACAATGGAACCAAGCTGAAAACAACTGACTGGTCACCAATCTTCTCTATTTGGCTCGCACACGAGACTGAGAGACAGCTGGGGAAAAGTCTATGAAAACAAAAGAGCTGCAACCCATAGGGGTCCAATTAAAAAGGCCCTCTTAGGGGGGGTACATATGTCCCTCATCTGAATTTCAAAAGTGGTTGCTTCATGTATTGAAGAGGAGGCCATGTCACTGTCGGTATTTTAGTATTGTATTTGTGATTTTCCTCGTCGCTGTTGCAGTTTCGAACCAATGACCTGTCATTTGTCGCTAACTGATCTGTTTTATGTCGCTGTTTCAAGGTCATGTCGCCTGTCGTAATTTTACCGTAACAGGGCCTCATTAAATTGGAGGTTCTGATGTGCTGCAAGGCTACTGTTTTCCTCCCCAAAGATGGCAGAAATGCAGGGCAAAAACCAATAGATTTTTGATGGTTAAAAAACAATTTCAATTCAGCACAATGAAAATGATTTTCCATGTTTGCAATGAACTTGCAATGTTTGCAACGTCGTTGTTGTTGCTGTGACAGTATTAGGCATCTGACTGTCTTAGTGACAGGGTCAGCACTAAAAAAAGAATTGTAATTTTATTCCACAGTCATTGTTTACTTAACCAATAATGACAAAGGGAACACGTTTTATAATATTATTATTAAAGTATGCTTAAAAGAAATTATAAAAAATCACGACTTCCCTAAGACTTGGATTTAAACAATATCAATGTTTACAAAAAGCCAAAATTATTGCCTAACCCATGCTATTAGGTCAAACCGGATGGTTCAAGAAATTTCAACTTGCTATTTGGGAGCTTTAATTTAACTAAGGGCAAAATTAACTCACACAAGAAACTGTTGACAGGTAACAAACAGACATAAGTTTAAATTTATGGCTACAATGTAAAAGCGTACGACTTAAACAGAAGGTCAAGTACTTATTTGAGATGAAAAACAAAACACTACACAGGTAGTACGGTCCCTCCGCTTCGTCCGCTGCAAACAAATAAACAAACAAAAGGATGAAATATACCTTTTTCTCTTTCAGAAGCTGTTTATTCAAAGCACGTAGCCATAACTTCACAATCAGCGGCGTGCGATCTTTGTTTTCATCGCTTTGAGCATGAAGATAAAACCAAGCTAGGGTCGAGTTGATCCATTCGCATGATTCGATGGTCACGGCGCGATCATCTTTGGTGATCGTTCGACTTTTGCGGCCTTGATGAGCATCCTTGTCGCCATTTTTACTGGGTCTCTGAAGAAACAGAATGACTAGAAACAAAAGTAAAAGATGAACGATGCCAACGTAAACCTTTACTGGAAACGACAAGTCTTGAACCACTTGCTGAGTAGACATAACAATTGTTGCTTGGGGTAGATTGGAATTCTTCAGACCACACTGTCGTGCTTTACGAGTAGATCTTTGAAATTATAATGCACTAGTCACAAGGGTAACCCAACACGCCGATTGCAAGCCATGAAAATCCTTGCTTAATCCTACTAACAGCCGCAAATCTTTCGCGTCGCGTCTCGTTGGGTACTCAGATTACTTTGGCGGGAAGATGGCGGAACCTACTTGTAATTTTCACGAATCACTTTCTGTATTCGAGTTAGACTTAGCCACGTGGAAACAGCGTGACACGTGGTATTCTAATCTTTACACTGTACTAACGACCATTTGTCGTCCATGCTATAAGTTACTACGCCTGCTTCATGAATGTTTTAAGACTGCAAATGAACAGACGCTGAGCTTCGACGAAGACCTATCTTCGCCATGATACGTCTTGGTTACGGTGAACTTTCCTTCACTAATCCGATCCCAGCTTGTTAATCATGAATATCGATACATCATACATTTTAGCCCTTACAAATTTTGAAGACCATAAGGAAGGTTTTTAACCCCTTGTACAGCATGCCATGGCTATTTTCTCAATCTGCCCTAAAGGTAGAATTTTGAGAAGGCAGAGGGTCTGAGACAAGAAAAAGAGACTGGAGCCGAATTACCTTTGGCTTGGACTTGGGAAATAAAGGAACCTTGGCCCTTGGCCTTGGGAAGGCCCTGGGGCCTGTTTCTCGAAAATTGACGGGCCCGCAATGCTGTTGCACTAAACATGATAAAACTATTAGTTAATGAAACAAAATGGAGTAGTTTGCTAGCCAGGACCCGCGCTCTTATTCTTTATATTTCGATTTGAAAATTTGATTTCGGGCCCGAAACGTCAGGGGCACCCAACGACCGTTTTCTGTATAATATCAGTTCGGAGAAGCAAACATTGCCTAGAATTTTCTATTACTTGAGGAAGGCTACAAATTTCTAGATGACCGTTCCATTCATGTACAATTTTCCAAACTTATATGATAAATTCCCTACGATTTTCTGAAGCTTAATTTTTGACATTAAACTCCCCAAGTAATGCTGTCCTTCGTAGAAGAAGGAAACCTAAAATTTTCGGATTCAAAAATGTGATTGAGATAGGAGTCAGAAAAGTTCGCACGTTCGTAAAACGATAAATTGCATCTAACATTTCAGGAAAATAATACTGAAGCCCTTGTAATTTCGAAAAGACTCAAAGTCCCCTAGGCTGATCGACCAGATACAAATTTTGTAGCACCGCTCAGAATGTATTTCTACAGATCTAAAACACCTGCTAAAAGTACTCTGGATAGCCTAAAGGTCTTTTCAACGTATTTAGGAGGAAATCATCGTTGGGTACATCCTCGAAGACCCAGGGGTAGTTAGTTGGGTTGATAAAATGTTCGCGGTGAAAGTTTTCTGTAAGATCGAACTTTCACCACGAACATGTTATCGACCCGACTAACAACGAGGTTGCCCCACTAACTGCCGTCTCCGAAGATGCGTTGGGTCTCCTGAAACGTTACCGCGGCTTTCGAGAAACGGGCGCTGGGCACATTCCTTTGCTTCACGCGAAAGAGCAAGTCGTGAAGAAAACGAAATAGGAAACGTCTAATCCGCCACAGGCTGGTAAATCTCGCGAGAGCTGGTTTGTAAGTGAATTATTAAGTGAGGATACAGTTAAATAATTTCCGATGAAGTGAGGTAAACATCAATGATTAATTATCCCGTGTATTTTTTATTCAAATTTCAATACAAAGTCACAAATTAGTACTAAAAAACAACCAAAAAACAGTTGTACATAAACTTACATATCTTTACTAAATCACATTAAATCAACCTGGCCAAGGGATTTTTGTCGGAAAAACGGAAGGGAGCTGAGGGGACAAAATAAAAGCCTTGGGAACGAAATTGTCACGTCATGTAAAATCACACCTTGAGTTAGAATTCGAACTCAGGGTGCGATTCGAGGGGTACTCCCTATAATGACCCCCTTAGAGATGCTCCTCTGAAAGAAGTACCTTTTTCAGGCTTCAGGTATTCTGAAATCTTGACTAGCTTTGAGTCAAATGAAGTTAGATGTGCTTCGTTTGAACAAAGTATATCTAGTTTCTTTACGGTAGTCTATTATGCAAGGAATTGCGTGCACTTACAGTAGAATATAAAATGAAAAAGAAGAAGAGAGAAATAAAGAGAAACATACCAGTAAAGTAAGATGATTATTGTACAAAAATTCCTGAATAAGTAATAACCTTCGCCTCCGAAACTTGTTTTTATAAGTCTGATAATCAGTCTTCCGCTTTCACTTTCACAATTCCTGACAATGCAGTTCATATTTGGCGGAACTCGAAGATCGTGTAATATAAGGTACGTGGAATCTTTTTTGATACTACGTGGAGTTGTATGGGCCAAAAATGACCGGACAAAAACAATTATTACAGAAATGAATCAACTAAACAAGTCAGTCAGATTACCACAGAACAAACTAAGGCAATGTCATGCGTTTCACTGTGTTTTTCGCCTCATTTCAACATGGCGAACAAAAACGCGATTATTCCCGCAAGTACTGCTGCTATTGCAACCTTGTCGCCATCGGTCAAACTTTTACCTTTCTTTAAACCAATTGCCTCCACGTACATGTTGCAGAAGTTTTGGCAGTTGTTACAAAACTTGAAGTAGCTGCCAAACCGTTTCATCACAGCCACAGCCTTTGCAATCAAATCCTCCCCCTTGGCGTTAATTGTACCTAGGTACTCCATTTTCGACTTACTTGACGAGTCAAGTGGCCTAGTTACCGGGTAGATATGCTTCTTACCGTCGACAACTATGAAACCCAGCTCTACTGTTAAGAAATGTTGATCATTTGTGGTAAGAACGATCGATTTGTGTGCTCCGAAATCCCTTCCGCGAATTGAGTAGACTTTATAGGCCAGGGTTTTGTCAAGTTTTGGCAGAAGTCCTTTTTTGTTAAGCTCAATTAGCTGCTGCTTGTATTTCTCCAAATACTCGTCGCTGTCTAGCATCGGTTCAGCAAAAATATCGGTCAAAGACATAGTGACGAGATTCAGTACCCAACGAACCTCAGTATTTCTCAGAAAAGGAGTTTCTTTACTACTGCTGAATATTAATCAGAATGCGGTTGCGCAGCACGACAAAAATCCTATTGGATGATTTTCTATGCAAGTTTCGGAGAAAAGTTTCTAGAGTGTTTTCACATGACGTCACGGCGGCCATATTGGTGTCCCAAAACAATGAAACGGCGGCCATGTTGGTGTCCCAAACCAATCCTGTGGGAGTTGAACTCCTTTCTTATGCAACCGCTTTCTTTTGTTCCAATAAATTTGCATAGATGCTGGCCACGTGAGTGAAAACACTCTATAATTTTAAAATAGCATTTATGTCTACACTTTAATACCTGGCAAGTAGTGGTTTCTCCAGGCCTCCGGACGCGGCAACGTACCAAACTTGGTAGCGTAGCGTTTGACCTGAAGAAACCACTGCTATAGCAGGGTAACACTTAGCCTGCGAGCACATAGACCCGGGGGAAGGCTGCATATAAAAGTGACGAGGATGCTCGTCGGAAAATTAAAATAAACCCCTAGGGGAGACCAATGTGGGTGTGGCTCAAACCTAAACTGACAGACCCTAAAAAAGATCATTCTAAAACAGACATCTAAATAAGAGAGAGGGATCTAAATAAATGCCAGGAATGTTGCGTTCTTTTTTGAAAGTTATATTTCTGCGAAGTTAGTTATAGTGTCACGGCATTTTTTGTAAATTACTTTATGCACGGCCCTGGGCGATACCTGAATGGGCAAATATAGTGACTTAGCTTTGAGTCTCAAGGACCCTAAGTGTGACCAAAATCTGCAATTTACACCCCTAAGCGAGACAAGCATCTCTGTCACTCAGTTTATATGGGAGTTCCCCCACCCTCCTCCCCCCGGGCACAGAGAAACGATCGACGACCGGAAATACGTCTGTGTTCGCTGGGTAAATATACCGGAAACCTTTTCGGTCCCACAGGAAAAGTACCCAGTACAGTACGTTTGAACGGCAACGATACTTGCCGAACAACGATACAGAACTGGAATAAATAGTTCAAACACATCGACCATCGTATCCGAGCGGTTGGCCAAAAATGGTTTGGCGTATTATTTAAATCCCAAGCTCACTTCTGAATATTTACTTCCGTCTCAGTGGGTTCCAGTCCTCGCTCCTACTTATTAACTTCCGCTTCGATCCGAATACCCGTTCACACGGCGACTAAGAATGGGAGAAACCTGCCTGAAATCCGGTCACGTCCAACCTTCAAGATCGGCGCGGCACAGATTATCTCCGTTGCAGAAATCCCAGTGAAATCACCGATCCTATGTGTGAACAGAAGCGCCCTATCCGGTGCACCCGTTTTCGTGCCGGCAGCTCAGTTGTCCAATATCGAGTGAAAAGAGCCTCAATGAACACTGCAGTATACGATGTTGATACTATTACATTCGGCTCTCAGTACAACAGAAACGTAATCAATATCCGTTAAGGCAGCTTTTTAGGGAAGCCAAGAAAATAGAAACTGGTCCAATGACAAATGCATAAAAAATATGTGATTGGTTACACTGCAGTTGGATGTGCACACATTAACTGCATGGTCAGTACAGCAGGTTGCGATAGGAAACCGTCAGCTAGCAATAGGCCAGTAAAGTGGTTTATAAATGACCAGTAGCACGACCATCTTCTGTCGATATTTTTTACGTTTTCGTTTCGTTTGAGGAAAGATTGAAGTAAAATTAACGAGTTTACCTTGATCCGTCAAATGACCAAAATTTGATCGTCAACAGTCAAAAAGCCAAAGTTTTATCCGTCCCAACGTCCATAGAAGTGACTGTTCCAGTTCAGTTCAGGTCTAGGTCAACACCTAAAAGGCGCTTGGCTTAACGTGCGTATGGAGTCCAAGTACCCGGGAAATAAAAAACGCAGTTTAGCACCTTCCTTAAAATTAACAAATCTATAGGGAACAATTTCTTTTACGGTTATCTCTTTTTTACCCTATTTACGGCTAACGGTTGAAATTTTTCAATTTTTACGGCTATCGACTAAATTTTTGGCCGTTTTACGCCTACTGGTTAACCCCATTGAGACCCTCATAAAACTACAGATAACAGTTCACTTTACAACGCACTATTACGCTTAATATCAATAATTTTATAACAATACTAAAACCATAAACAGGTGTCGTCACGGCGTGAAGTCTTAATTAGAATAGCACTATTACAAAGGAAGACGTAAATTGAAACAAAAAATCGCACATTATAATTATAATTCTTAGAATGGCACTACTCGACTGTGCGATCAATGGAAAACTTTGCAGTGTTGACGGAGGACGGGACATCTGCCCTCTTTTTTCGTCCCCACCCCTGGGGATTTGACATCCAAGGCAAAAAGAAAAACATGCTAATGCCCGGGGATCAGCCCGGAAGGGGGCGGGGGCGCTGGCCATGGGCGCAGCTGGAATTGACTGATGCATAAATATTGCCTAACTTAAATTCGCTACGCAAAAATACAGCACTAAGGAACCGCATCTGTTCAATTAAAACCTGCCTCCTTTATTTAGAAACAAAAATATTATCAATACTGAGTATACTGGGTACTTTCTGAATATCGCAAAAATTAGTTTTCGCAAAATACAAAAAAATGCCAATCCGCAAAAATAAACTCCGGTGAAAATTTCGTCCCACACAGACGTCATTCGCGCGCTACCCTATTGATTGGCGCCAAGACTATTTTCCATAATATATGTTCTCTTTTAGCGTTTTGACGTTTTGGGGTTGCCTAGAAACAGTTGTGCGCCATACACTTTTGAGGATATATGATTAGCAGTAAACCAATCAGTTTTGAGTCGCTTGTCACATGCATTGCGTGTTTCCTCGCGCCTCTTGCCGACCGAGCTTCTTTAACGAAATCTCTGCCTCTGTTAGTATTAGAAGGAAAGTAAGAAATCAAGTAAAGATTTCAAACTGGGGAGGTGCAACAATAGACTTTTTGTAACAATAGACAGTGTTTGCGACTAGCCTCTTCATCGGTGTCATGCATAGCAAACCAGTTGGTATCATAGTTCGTGTGGTTGATCTTAAACAACGTTCAGAAATGTCTGGGCAGTGTGATTTTCGGCTAGGCTCCATTTCTGCCGCTCTCTCGGTGAACTAATTTTTTCCATAGCGAAAATCTGGCTTCTTGCCGGGGATTAATATTTGAGATTTTCAGGAGGTCGTGCTCTCGAAACAAGCAGAGATGCCACTGTTTGTAAAACACGTTGCCGGTAAATAACAATTCCCTGTTTTTCTCTGACGTTACGGTAGACATTGCCATGCCTAGTCCCTGTACGTCGTCTTCCCACGCAATCTCGGTTAGGGCATTTCGGTGGCGTATCTGAGAAAAAAAAATCGCTCGGACACGTGACCCGAAACGCATTTGCCGCGCGGAATAATGAGGCTTACGGACAAGGCAGACAGTCGTTCTGTACAGTCCTTCGCTATCATTAAAAACACTGGACACAGGCATTTTGTTGTTGGCCGATTGCACACTAGAGCTAGAAATGGATTGTCCGTCTAAGACTAGCCTGTGTGCAGTCGCCCACAAACACCCCTTCTCCGATTTTTTAGGCTATCCGAAACGGGTAATCCATCTTCAAACTGTCCACCAAAATTGACGGATAAAGTCAGGCGGATTCTTCATTCAAAATTAAAATCATTTCATTTTCAAATTAAGACGTGTTACCTATCTGACTCGAATTACCAAACGGATAACCCTTCTCACACGAATAATCCGTTTCTAGTGTGGAAACGGCCATTTCTGTTATAAATGAATGTCGATCCCCAGCCTTGAGTCAGTGGGCGTTCGCGTGCCTGCTTTTGCTTTTTCACAAAGACTATTTTCAAATTGACTATTGACATTTCTATGCGTAAAATAATATTAGAAGTGGAATACTTTATAGAAAGTATGATCTATCAAATGTTAAACTTTTTCAAAAGAATAGCTTATTTCATCTCGAGATGATTCTAAAACCTTTATTTTGCTTGAAAGATACAAAAAATATACGTTGATTAATATTTAACCCTTTGAAACAAAAGAAATAAATTATTAACTTTTTTGTTAACCGTAACTGGAAAAAATTAAGCGATAGCCGTAAAAGAGCCAAAATTTTAGCCGATAACCGTAAAAGCCACAACCTGCAAATGCCCCACCCCCGGGACTGACAAGGCGGGCAAATGCCCCGTAGTAGCCCGGGGGCAGGCTGGGCGCAGCTGGAATTGACTGATGCATTACTCTGCAATGAATTTTTTCGGGAAGATGTTTGAGGAAATTTCAGTTTATTGGCAACTTGTTTTTGCCGCGGATGGCTGGAAAAATCGCAAAAATTAGAACCAATAAAAATTTCGTGCCACACGGTAATTTGCAATTTTGTCTGAGTTTTGTCATTTTTCCCATTTTAATGACAAATACAGGAAAACGTGACATTTTAATGGCAAAAGTCAGACAAAAGTGAGGAATTCGCCAATGTTAATTTCAGTTTCTTTGTCTGAGATTCGAGTCTTTTAATAGTTGCGTGCGCGCAGCGCTATAAAAACTTCTAAAATAGATTTATGTATTTACATAGATTTATTTTATATATGTAAATAGTTTTTTCCTATTTTCATGTTATGCCTAAAAAGCAACCACGACGGATAAGGAAAGAGAATCTTTCTCAGCAAATTACAAGAAATTCTCTCGAAAGCTCGCGCTATTAATGCCGTATTATTACGTCATTTTTGAATTCACCAAAAAATTATTTACGCCTACTTTTGCTTTCTGCTTAAAATGGGCCAGACTTTGTCTTGTACAAGTTGTAAATTCGGAAGCGCAAAAATCGCTCCACTGCGTACTTTACCCAGTGCGATGAAACGATCCAATCCCTCGATTGTGGGACAAAAAACTTTCAGCTTTCATAGACCATCGCACTCATCGCCGGAGTGGCTTTCAGTGGAACTCTCCAATTGTTCTTCTTTAGCTACCATTTCGTTAGGGTCAGTTAAGACGATTTCCTCGAAACTGAGAGGCGAGATCACAAATAATGAAATAACACAAGAAGAAAACAAGGGAAGTTCTCCTTCCAGTAAGAAACATCCAGGTAGGTTTTAAACATAAAGGGGAGAAAAGCTTTCATTCTCAAGTTCAAGTTCATTTATTCGCACTTATTCAATTACAATACAACAACAAAAAGAAAAAAAAAGAAGAAGTAAAAACAGAGCTAACTATACATTGAATTAAAAATAGCAAAGGGAAAAAGTGCGTAGCAGCCAAAGGAGCCAAGCTTTCGAGTTGGCTACTACCACAGAGTGCCGGGTTACAAGTGGGAGGAGGTTATACAATACTTGTAAAAAACGCCTTCGTTGTGTTGTTTTAAGTCCTAGATCGTCGATATCACAGTGTCATGTTTCTTTGAGATAAAATTTTGGGACTTTTAAACTTCGTCGAATCTTTTTTTGAGGTCGAGAAGACTAGCTTTAAGCGAGTCGATTTCCTAGCCGATTTCCTTTCGGATATTGGGAAGAAATTCTTTTGCCCACAGCTCTTTCAAACTTTCCACAGTTAATGTCATGCTCTGGGTTACCCGGCTGCGAGCAGAGAGGCTACATTTTCGCTGTGTGAGCTGGCGGGCGAAAAGTAGCCTCTGCCGACAACCGTTCAATTTTCTATCGTACATGCGAAAGCAAAATTAATCGTCTGTCGTCAAATGGCACGAGTTTTGCGGGAATAAAAAAATTGCGACAGCTCTCATCTGCTACTCAAGACTCACGCAAGATTCACGCAATGTTCTAAACTGTTCAAGAACAGGAAAAACCCGTTTTTTTTAACTTATTCGTCCTGATTTCTGGACGGATTTGAACGGTTGTCGGCAGAGGCTACTTTTCGCACCCCAGCTCACACAGCGAAAATGTACGTAGCCACTGCTCGCAGGGTGGCTCTGGGTTAAATTCTGTACAGTTAAACTCTTAAATTCTGTAAGGTTCAACTCTCCACGCGTTAAACTCTCCACCCACCATCTTCGCGTTCGTTTATTCATTCATTCATTAATCCATCCATCCATCCATCCATCCATTTATCCATTCATTCATTATCCGGCTACACAGTAATTTATACACTAATCTACATAGAGTCCACAGAATGAACGAAATGAATGGATGATTGCATGCAAAAAGATAGTTGCATACTCGCGGACACGATTTTCGCAACAGTTTTTTCTTTCTTTCCTTCAGTTTTGACTGTTTCATTAGCCCTTTCTTATTAGGTATGCAGCTGTGTTTTCCTTTGTCATTTACATTGTTTCTTTACTTGACATGCCTCAATTGTTCACCTTGACACCTTAAAATATGCAAACACGAGTATTCTACGAACCGGCTGGCCCCAGGGCTCAAAACTGATTTTCTGTCACATAGGTCTTCTTACTCCAGAACCGGATGAGGATCTTTTGAATTCTACGTTATTACCGGACGAGGCAGCTCAGGAATTCAGCTCTTCAATGCCTCAGTTGATTGATGGAAGACAGTCACGTGTCGGGGAACTCAGGAGTGTACCTCGAGTCTCGACTCCGAGACCATGGGAATCCGGACTAATAATGGTGAAGCCTTACTTAGGTGAGACAAAGCGCTTCGGCTTCACCGTATACTGTAGATACACTGTAGATAAATCGGTTACTCCAAAAGATTTCGTACTATATATATGGGTAAAGTTACGAGCGGGCAAGATGAAGCGAATCCGTGTTCTATCGGCGACGGCGAGCGAGCACTGACGACCCATCTTGCCCTCGCGGGATTTCCCACTTTAGTCCCGCAAAAGAGGCCTCTTTTTGGCCACATCAGTAACAAATCCTTTGTTAACCAAGTTCGTTCGGTCAATACGGCTGGATATTGGCCTTAATCTCTTTTTGCGTGCCTATTGACCTTAGTCAATAACCAACCATTTGACCTCACGCTTGACTCTCTTGGTTAATAATACAAATCCTCAACTTCGTTCCCTGTGTTCTCTCCTACTCGTCCCTCTCTCTCGCTCCGTACGGACGAGTTGGCCGCACCCAAACAGAGCAATTGACTGCGCCTCACAGAAAACCTGATTCCAAAGCTTACACATAAACCCGGAGAAATACGTAAGTGTGCACCTAGCTACTAAGAAGTTAACTAACATGCACTTTTCCTGTACACTCAGCATCGTAAATAATACCAATCACAGGAAGGTACTGTCCATTCGCTACTTTAGATCAATAGAAACGAGAGGGGAACTGAAGCCGAAATGCGTCCCGAAATTGTTTCTGGGATCGCTACCGGACAGCTGTTAGTTAATATTTCCCCAGAAGTCTTTGCGTAAGATGGCTCCAACCAGATTCCTTTTTGTTTCTAAAGTGGCGAATTGAATGGCCACACTTTAGGATCCGATTTCATTCACAGACTCTTAAGAACCACCGTTGTACAGCAAAGAGCCATCTTGGCTATAATTCTTTTGACATATTTTATTACAGTTGCTGATAATGACATTCAAGAAGAACCTGAGCTTGTCTGCAAACATGGAATACCCTTAAACGGAGCGATCAGAGATTCCCACAAAGTGAATTGCGTGAAATGTGAAAGACCATTTTCCAGAGGAGGACGGGCATTAGCGGGGATGCTCGCTTTTCGACGAGCTGAAACAAAACGACGAAAGAGTAAGAGGATTTTAAACACGAAAAGGCTTTCTGCAGAGCAAGAGAAACGGAAGAGAATGGAGGGGGAATATGATGACGCTCTTCGCCGATTTGCTGAAAAACATCCAAGCAATTGAGAAATCTTCAAGCATTTGTGAGTTAGAGTGAGGCTGGAGCGATGAAGATACTAGTTCTCTTGTATGGCTGGTCTAGAGCCAACAGAAAGTGCAAAAGCCACAGAGCACAGATTACCCACTGTTATTGGCTGGGAATAGTTGGGTGTGGTATTGTGAGGGACACAGGTTTAACAGTATCACGAATCAACCGTGTATTGGCACGCTTTAGAGCCAACAGGGAAGGTGCAAAAGCCACACAGCACAGATTATCCAATGTTATTTGGTAGGAATAGTTGGGTGTGGTAGTGTGGGTCACAGGTTTACCAGTATCACGAATCTAACGCGTCTTAGCCTTAAAGGGTGATTGCTGACGAGAAGATAACAAGACAAATGCAAACGCTGCAGAGTACCGATCTCATGTTGTAATTGGTTTTTGCTGGCGGCCGGTAGTAATGTAAAGGTTTACCACGCTTTCTTGATTTACGCGCCGGATCTAGAGACACAAAACCGTCAAAATAGCACAGATTCGATTTCTTGTAAGGGTATTGGCCTTGTCAGGTGCGGGTGAGACCGGGTACTAAGAGACTGTTTGGGGAGGCTGGCGCTTCTTTTATTGGCTGAAACGAGTATTAACATCAAAACAATCCCATAGTGCAATTCAACAAATCACCACCCACGCCCCAGTCCTAAGCACAACCTCACAAATGTCCATAGGCTGGTGACCTGTGGTGATGCGAAGATCACAGGTTTACCAATTAACGCGCCCTTAATGACGTACAGCTGATTGTTTACTAAGACATAGGCAACGTTTTTATAAAGGTTAAGAATCTTTAATTGAACAACGAAGGATATGTACATCAAATAGTGATATTAATAGTAAGTAAGGATTCTGGACACTCAGTTTGTAAATGAATATAAATAAGAATTGTTAGTTTCTATTTTACATAATATTTTCAAGGCCTTATTATCATATATGTATATAATTGCTATTTATAAGGGTGTGCAATATACACGATAAAAATGTACAGAGAACGCTTAGAGAGTTGAAATATAAAACATTTTCTATTTTCATTCTTTTAAATTTTGGGCAAGTGTGTTTTATTCAGGCCCTTATACTACGTTATTGAAAGCCTTTTCATTTTTCCTGGGCGGACCTAGGCATAGAGTGTAAAAACCAAAAAGGTCAGGGCTAAGAGTAAAATCGCGAAGAATTCCTGAAAAAGAGACTTTTTTAGTTCAACTTTGGAATTACTCGCCCTAGTCCCTGTCCTATGAGGTTTCTCTACACTGCCGTGTCTGTCCAGGAGACCCTGAGAACCAAGCTTCGTTTAATGAACAGGGGACTAATAACTTTAATTGTTTAAAGAACGTTCTATGGTGGTGCGATAGAACAAGGACTATAGTTTTTTTTTTTAAATCAGAGCTTACATTTCCAGAGATATGCTGCTGTCGCACAAAATTCACAGTCATAATCAAAGGTATGATAAAAATCCTCCCCCGCCAATGAAGATTACTGAAGCTATCAGAGTACCACTCGCGCGACTTCGGTTGTGATAGGCCACGAATTCATCATCTGAGAATAAATTTATCTCAGTAACTTTTAACTTTCTTACTGCTAAGATTCCATGCTTCTGACGAACCATACACTCAACAAAAGAGGAAGCAATACCAGCTTCCTATTGGACGCAACATCAAACGAGCCACTTCTTGGTTCAATTGTATCTTTGTTTCCGAATGCGCCAGTTTCAGTTGCGTTTTTGAAGGTCTCTTGTTTCTTATTGCATTCGTCGCCAGAGCAACAGTGGACGCAAACTTTCCTCGTTCCAGAACCCGCCACCTTTACTTCCCTACATCCGTCGTTGCATGAGTAGCCGCGCAACGAGTTGTCAGTTGAACAGCCAAGCATTATTGGTACAACGCTAAAATGTAGACAAAAGAAGCAGAATTATTTGTGGAGAAGGCTGAAGAAATAACTAGGGGCTTTTCTTTCAATGGGAAGGTCCAAAAACGGATTTTGTGCCTCTTCTGAGCGTTTAATTCAAAAGAATCCATACTAGGAATGAATTCATTAGAGAACATAAATCCGGGTGTCTAGGATTTATGAACCATCAACCTTATTCCAGCGGCTTGGCGGGCGGTCTAGATTTGAAAATATGAGGCTGCCGTCACGTTCTTGCCTGTTCACGCCAATGTTGGTTGAACGAAATAACGGAACCTGAGATCAAGAGACTAATCTTGGATCCTCCCAATTAAAAAAAGAAACGCATCCAACAAAAGCGACGCAGATTTTAAGCGCTAGGCGTCTTATTTTACAATGCGGACTTGTGTCACCAGCTCTGCCGTTTCTCCGCACCATTATGTGGGTTATGTGGGGGGGCTGTTTGATATCGAACTTTATAAAAAGATCGTATTTTACGCCCCTGGTTAGTTCCAATTTGCGTACAGAATGAAAAATGTTTCAAACTAATATCATAAAAAATGTTGGTATCACAATTGTAGACCGCCCAACGCCAACCTTAACCAAATTAAAAGACACCCTCTTATACACGATAAACCCATGCCATACCCTGTTCAGCGGGACATACCCTTGTAGGCAACATAAGGGAGTGCCACCCTAGGGATCGATTACTAGGCTTTGGTTACTTTTACGAGACCGTTGCTTTTTAGAGGAAAAAGCTAACTTTGAAAGAGCAAAACTACGAGTTTACCGGACAATACGATGAATGTATACGCCAAATGTAAAATGTAGAACGAGAAAAAATACATCGTAGTTATTTTCTGTGTCATTCTCACTTGAATCTACGGTAAATTGGCTAAAATCCAAAAAATTACTAAGAAATGCTCCGACTGCGATATTCGTAATTCGTGCGTAAAAGATGCATCCAGAAATGACCAGTATTTCGACAGTTCTCGTTCTTTTTTGTTGAACATGCGATATATTTTTTTTCTGTTGCATTACTGACACGTCATTTTGCTCGCGCACTTATTTGTTTCTCCCTACAGAACCGGTCCCCTAAAATTAACGAAAGCCGATTATCGCCTAGTTTGGTGCCCACTTTTACGTTTTGTTTCAAGCATCCTAGTCATGAGACCTCATGTATTTATAAGGAAGGAACAGCTGACTTTGTCGGATGCTCGTTGCCATAGTAGTTAATTGTCCTAATAAGTTTTTAAATTTGATAAGATTCGATCAGCAAAAAATCGCCTATTACTACGATTTTACAAAACTTACCTCGAGTTTGTTCCTACAGTATTATTCTTTTTCTCGAGAGTGACGGCGAGGCATCTATCGCCAGGAGGACATTGTCTGGTTGTCATTTTATCATTAAGGCATTCTCGCCCTTTACATTGCAAGCACCGAGGACCATTTTCAATTGCGGCCAGCTGGAGATATCTTTCTAGTGTCCATACACAGCACTCCGTCCCAGGATGCAAGCGGCCACCTGAGGATGAGTTAGTTACCAGTTTTCGAACATGTCCAACTTCCAGACACACGTGCTCGCAAGAGTACAGTTTGGTCTCTTCGGCTCCTTTTGCGTCCAAAATGGTTTCTTTTAATGCCGAGAAACAAACTTCTCGTCCGTGGAACTTTGCCTTGAGGTTTTTGGCCAATGGGTATATTTGTCCATCGTTTGATATTTTGTGATGCAGGACTGTTAGAAGAAGCGGTTTATCTCGTTGGAAGTTGACTGACGCTCCCTTGAAGTGCTGAATGCGTATCGTGACAGAATTTGCGCTACCAGTTAAACCGTCACGCGGATTGCATGACGCCTGAGGAGCCAGTGGTTTACAGTTTGCCAGATGAAGACAGTACCAAAAAACAAGGAGATAAATAGAGCCTGGTCGTTGTACAGGTCTGAGATTCATTTTTAACCTCTCTGTTGAACGTCGTTTCATCTGATTTCTGCTCAAGGAAAGTCGATTGCGAGTATTTATGGTTTCCGAGCCGAAGGATCCGCCTTTACTTAGCCAATCAAGTGACACAGGCGTGATATGCTACACTCACTTCCGATTATTGTTTACGTGGAGTGTCGCCTTCCGTTTATGACAACACAAACGATACTACGCCATATAAGTCCAGTATTCAGCCCCGACAAAGATCATATGAGGGTTAAGATTCTCGGCACAGGTTGATGGTCAAGTTGCGCAGCTAATCTTACAGGCTACTGACAGAAGTAAATAAAAAGGGATTTTTAAGTAAAAATAACAAGTGTCTCATTGGTAAAAATAAAAATAGTAGTAATGACCTGCTTGAAGACCATTCTTGGTGAAGTGAATAAGGTATCCCTATTTGTCGTTGTAAGATTCCCCCTTGGTGCTTCAATTCCTCGCAAAAACCGTGATATCCCATATTCCAAACGCACGGCCCCTAAACCATGTTAATTTCAATACCTGAATACATTAGATTTTTCAAGTCAAAGAAGATGGTTTCTCTGGCCGTGTTAACGTAACTTAAATTACGTTTAAGAAAAAGCAAAAAGCAGAAGCAAAAAGCAAAACCGACAGCGAAACAATAATGCTGCTTTTTTTTTTCCTTATTTGTTCATAATGCGTGACTTCCGCTGATTATGTCAAATTTAAAGAACCAGGAAATTCATGAAGCTCGTCACATGTCAGATTGCTTCACTAAAGCCACGAAAGTTAAACTAACCTTAAGTCTTAATAAAATAATCCTGTTCAATATCTGATTCATCAACACCTCAAGTTCTCAGCAACAGCAAAATACCGAGGTTTTAAGCTGGAAAAGAACCATGCAATTTAAATACATTGTATGTCGTTTTCAGTTGTGGTTTCCGCACATTTTCATTCATTTTACGATTGGTTAATCCGGTAAGAGTACACTGAATACGTGCATAGGCACTTTCCATTCTTAAGAGATGGCAGTTCCCTTCAATGTAACGCCATCGAATTCTATTTCATTAACATTTTTCCCCCTCGAGAACACGTACGAAACGAAAAACGTAGTATTTTTTCTCTCTCTCGTCCATTGCAATAAAAATACCATCCATCCTTTTTTAAAAAAGAAATAAAATGTTTCTTAATCTAGTTTCCTTCCTTGACAGGACGTTTTACACTCACTTCCCTATACATATCGTGTAGTTTTATTCTCTTAAACCAGTATTGCCTTATGAAGCGGGAGCGAGACCTCTTTCGCTATTCATTATGCTTCTTCAGTGTATCGTTGTCACTATTGACGACTTCCATTCAGTTTGTTGAAATATACCCGCTTACATTACCTTCTCATCCCAGGGGCATAGTCTTCAATCTTGAAGAGCCTTTACTCAATAAACGGTAATTATATGAACATGTCTTAGAGGGCGCCATCCCCGGTACATTTTGAATACGTACGGTAACAGCTTTTGTAAATCTTTTTTTCCCTTTCCTTTCCTTTTTTTAATATTTATGTCTAGAGTATTGTCAGTTTGTACTGAAGTCGTTTTATCCTGCATGCGATTTATTTACATCAGTGGAATAAATAGATTAGCATAGTAATCGGTAATACCTCATAACTGGGCGGAAACGCTTTTCTGTTGCGTTGTTGTTTAAAAAAAAATTGAAGATACAGTAAGTCATAACACACAGTGCTGCATTTTAATGGCATAATGTTGGATACAGTGTCATATGAAGGCTTGTTTTGTTACAGGCAAGAGCATGGACAAGCCGATTACCGAGTGTGCGTTGACCTTTCTTGGTCATTTCGATTTTTTAAAAAAAAATTACTTTTAAGCGTGATTGTATGACCAAGTCAGGAGGATTTGCCAGTTGCTGCGAGATGACGTCATCGAATAACCGCCCCAACCCACGCATCCCGTGTCAGAAGAGTTTTAGCCCTCGCTCTCGCCCAGTAAATTCCCCTGGCTTAGAAAGGGGTTGCGCTCAGGTACCGCTTAAAAAGATAAATACTTCAGTCTCTCGTTATGGCTAATTCCGGCTTCAATTCCTGCCTTAAAACGAAGAGATGTTGGTTTCTTGAGGGAAGAACGAAACGGAGACGGGACGAAACAGAAAAAAAAGAAAAAAAGAACTTTTTCAATGAGGCGTGATTGAGTAACTAGTTTTTGGTTTCTGAGTTTTGCCATCCACCGGGCTTTACAATTGGTGTATTGTAAAACTTCAAAATGGCAATCCTTGTAACTGTACAGTGAGTGAAAAAGGAAGACAAGAGTTAATTAGACTTAATTTAGACGTTAATTCCGTCTAAATTTTTTTTCAATCCTGATCCAACGAGGATGCTTCTGAGCCGCTGGGAGCGGAGACTCTAGCTGGAGAGGTATTAGAAAAATATTCAGTTCCCACTGGATGACAATTCCGATCCGTCGCTCCGCCGACCGCACTCTCCCCCTCCCCAGTTCGTCGTGCGGCTGGCTTCTATTGCCGATTTTTTGAGCCCCTTTCGCTTTTCTTTTTTTTTTTTTTACCAAGGGGACCTGGTCCCAGGCCGGCTAAGCCAAACCTCGACAGTCAACACATTAACATCTGACGGCAAGCAGCTCGGAAGTACTCAGTATTACTCTGATAATTTAGATTGGAACACACGATTAGAATATTTATTTACCTGCTTTAATACTTCCGTTAATTCTGTAACGTGTCGCGAGGCCAGTGTCTAGCTACGCACTAGGTTCCCGACATTGAGTGACCAATGCTCAAAGACACCAAAAGTGCGATTTGTGCTGAGCACACGCGCTTCGAGAACTTTACTAAGTACATGGAATGACAACTCAATTGCGTAAGGGGGGGAGTTTAAGTGTAAGTCTCACTAAACGGTGCAATCTTATTTAGCTTAGAAGTAAAACCTGTACAAAGACAGTTGCAGACTTTGTTTAAAGGTTATAGCCAAATTAGCGATGACATAAATTCTATACTACAAGTTTCGGCATGAAATCACAATCAAAGTTCTTTTTAAGAATAAGATGAAGTACGATTTTTAAGCCGCGTGACTCCAGTTACTTCATAAAGAAATATTTGATCCTTTAAAAATTGAAAAATATATATATTAAATTAAAAAAAAAAGTTCTTTATAGATTTGGATTTTACATCACTAATGATGCAGTTTTGCTACAAGTTCTAACAAATATGAAAACTAGTTTTAGTTTTTGGCTATACAAGGAATTGTTTCATTGATTCTCGTGATTTTTTACCCATTTCATTACATAACTTTTGATTCTGTTGAAATGCAAAGCCTACTTTATTCTTGGCTTTCCCCTGTGCGAAAAAGAAAGGTGGTAGTGCTAGTACATTACTCAGCTCCGATGTGAAAATTCTGTCATAGGAAATACAGAAAACCTTTTAAGGTGTTAAAAAGCAGTTTCCGGTTCGCGTGACCCGTTTCCAGACATAACGTAATGACTATTTATAGAATCTGCGAAGGGGTGCATGTTGCGGGACGCCCCTCGCTTTATAACTGATATTTTGGACTCTCGGGTGGGGGGCAAAAATCACCATTTTACATCTTATTTGAGCCTAAGACGATTTTAAAACTGCAGTGCTGCATAGCATGTGGAATTATGAAAATACACCTGCCCTTTTTCGCCGTCCGGAAGCGGCAACATGATGAAATCCCAGGCGAATTATATTTATTCTATATTTCGGTATGCATCACCAAAACCTTCAACAGGGGCTAAAATAGACAAATGAATAAAAATACAGGATGAACGTTACATACGTATATGCGAAATACAGGAAACACATAGCCTGCGAATTTATTGCTTTAGCGCCCAGTCCAGTTTTTTCGCTCCCCGTCGCCGGGAATGTTTCCAAAAACATCCCTAGCTGCGTGGGACGATAAATAGAGGTGGCCGATTCGCTGCCAACTAAGAGACAAAGTGCATTTTGTTACAACACGAAAACGTAGTAACGTTAGTCTGGGCGGGTCCCGGTCAGCGAGAGGTAAAAAATAAATTAATCGAGGATAAAAGACAATGGAAGGACTAGATTTCGGTTGTAGCGAGAAGGTTGTTGAAAAGAGTAATTGGGGGCAGTATGTAATAACAGGAGCCCATGACTACTCATGGGCTCCTGGTGATAATAATGCTTTTTTTTTTTGGCCTCTATATGACGGACACCTCACTATTAATACGGTCAGGCAGAGTTGGTCCCTACCGTAATAATTTGCTCCTTTTAGATGACTCTTTATGAGACTGACATCTTTCTAAGACGGACACATACTGTCAGTCCCAAAGGTGTCCATAGATCGGGAGAGTGTTGATTGTATGTGCAATCCGGCTTTTTCCTCTAACGGCTGAATGTACGTGACCGCAATACGTGACCTACGTTACACTCACCCACACAATGCGTGACATATTTGCGCAACTTGACAAAAGCGTGCGATTTCTCAGTTCAGCTCTTGGCCTTTAATAGGTCAACTTGGGAAATAATTACGCAAGTGCGCTGGTTTTTTGCGAGTGAGCTTCAAAATCTAACTTTACATTTGACAGAAAACGAACAGCAAGAGATCGAAAAAGATAGATTTTCTAAAACCTGTGTTTCTGGTGCTCGCGTTGTCAGCTCTCTCAACTGCGGCTCCTCAAGGCCAGCAGTGCCTATCATGTACCATAGATAAAGCTATTGGAACAGATGAATGCAAGGACACCCCGCGGATTCGATACTGCAGTGAGAAATGCTCCTATTTTGTCATGTTGGGAAGAGGCGATGAACCCAACTACGATAAACCATACATTGTAAGAGGGTGCTCGACCGATGGATACATGAGGAAGTTTGGCTGTTCAAGCAGATGCTACAACAGAAAACACACCGTTGGATCAGACGAGTACTGGGTGTGTACGTTCTGTTGTACTGGAGACAAGTGCAACACAGCAGCCCTTCCGGGCATCGATTCGGGATTGCAGCTGCATGGAGGGCTTTTCACGACTTTGATAGCAGCTGCCTTCTCAGTAATTCTGGCTGGGAAGCTGTAAAACGAGCAGCAATGAGGAATGTGAAGTTCTTTCATAGAGGATAGAAGACTGTGCAATCTTTCTGAAGGATAAATACTAAATAAATCGTCGCAACAGACATGAGTAGGGAAGATGCACATTTTGTAGTATTATGTCTTTTTAACAATTTGACTTCGTAAAAGCTGCAGCAGCGACGATATGGTGGTGCCACAACTTCCAAAGCCAAAGCGAGGTTATATTTATTTTTTTGATATGCAAAAGGTAAAATTTTATTTTAAGTGATAGAGAGGTTTACGATCGCGTGACTTTTTAAAACGCATTAAACGTAAACAGTTCGCTTGTGGATTCTAGCACACGGTTTATGAAAGGTGAAATCATTTGCAAACGTGTATTACCGTCCAGTTGTTCGTTGGATCTTTTTGGTTTATAACCTCCAAAACAAAGAAAAAGTCCAGCGAGCACATGCGACGGCTATACGCGTAAATGCTGTAGGTGAATTCACTCGTAGCTGTTCAAAATAAAAAGTAATATTAACATTTTTGTACAAATATCGACTTTTGTAATAGGAAGAACAGTCAAACGCTATGACTGTTATTCGCGCGATCGCTGTATGACGTGAAATCCTCTCTTAACAAGGAGTTTTAAAAACTCTTTCGAAGAAAACGTTGCTCCTTGTTTAAAAGTTAAAATTATTCTCTTTTTAAAGGCCTTTTTGCGGGCGTTTTTGTCAAGAATATATTATGGAACCTGAATATTTTATCAGGCACCAGGAACTGTGTAAAGATGAAATTAACGTAAAAAAGGGTTGGAAAAATTATTTGAAAAAACTGAATAAACTTAAAAACAAAACCTTTAATCTCTCCCATCTATTGTTCTACTTGCCTGCGTGCAGACGTCTCCTATTTCCTTTGTTGCACGCGGAAAAGGGACGACGTCCCTTTTCCGCGTGCAACAAAGGAAATAGGAGACGTCTGCGCGCAGGCAATTGTTCTACTCGCTTATTCTTCTCTATAGACAGCTTTGACAAGGGATCCGCGAAAGCCAGAGGTAGAAGGGGGACAGCCTGTTCCAGGCGCTCAAATAGCAAGGGAGGCGAACAGAATAAAATTAAAAAACCGCGCTACTCTTCACGTTCTGAATGCCTGGAAGAGGCTCGTAGGGGAAGAGTGGAGGGGGCACCGAACGAGATTGGGAGAACGTACTGACAGTTACGCAATAACCCTCACCATCACACATATTGCCTGCGTGCAGACGTCTCCTATTTCCTTTGTTGCACGCGTGCATCAAAGGAAATAGGAGACGTATGCACGCAGGCAATCACACTTTCGAAGTGCACGCCATTTGAGGGCAGAGCCGCAGTTGCAATGCAAAGAACTGATATCAGACGCAAGACTGCCGTGATGACGAGGAAGAACTTCAGGCATTAGGAACCTTTACATTCTAAGACAAGGACGGCTACGAGTACGAGATTTTCACACCACTACTGCAGTGCGCGCACGTAACCCAGCGTCATTTTCGCGGGAAAACTTGATAGTCGTCTTCATTCTTCTACGAGGTTTAGCGGGAATGTTATCTCAAGATAACAGTGCTAACTTTTCGGGTGAATCAAAAGTACAAGGAAGTTTTCCGGGGAGTCTGTTTTTAGAGAATACGCGCAAAAACTTTCAGTCAAATCTCGCAGTCCTAGCCGTTCTCGTCCTCGAATCTAAAGGTCTCTATTGGCTCTTACGTTAGGATTTATGCCGCTTTCATGGCGGTTTAAATGAAGGAAAAGTTTACTCCACCTGAGAAGAAAATCATCATAATAAGGAGAATAAAAAAAATTATTAATTTGAACACTTTAATTCTTCATAAGTTCTCTGAGACATGACGTAGCATAACACGATGGTTCAAGGAAAAACGAAATTTTAACATCATTACAGCAGTTACCAGAAATGGAAAGCTCTTCTTCTATGTCTCCCTTTCTACAATAATCATCTGTAATGAGCCTCGGTCTTTTCACGTCTTCGCCATCAAAATTCGAGCTTCTTGGTGATGCACACTTGTTGACGGACGTTCCAGTTTCCGCGCTGGTTTTGTTTACGAATGTCCAAAACAAGTCTCTTGGGAACGCTACAAGTTTTCTGTAGGCACCAGGCACGTTGATGCCAAGGCTCCGCAGTCTATAAGATAAGAAAGCAATAAAAATAATTGTATTTTCTGTCTTGAGCATATGCTAAAATTTAAACGTTCTACCCAGACTAATGCCTCCAGCCATCAGCTACCTATCAATATCATCTTCGGGAACACAAGCATAACAAATATTAGACTGACTGAGCTTACGGCCCCCTGGTTAGCTCCGTTAAGAGAGCGCCGGTCTGCGAGCTCAAACTGACCCCAGCAGGACCAACAACCACGGTCTTTAAAAAACTGGCAAGAATGGATCATCCTGGATGTGATCTAACATCCTGGATGTTTAATATTTACAAAAAGCTTCCGGAAAATCCGGTTGGAAAGTAAATAGAACACGACTTCTCGGGTCGTTTTAGAGGAAAATTTCCGGAAGCAACGGAACGTCTGAAAAGGTAGTCCTGTTTTCCCGGTCGGAATGTTTCAAACGGAAATTCGTGTTCCATTTCTTCAAAGCCCGTCTTTAAAACCAGTTTCAGACTTTTGCGGCCGTTTTTCGGTAAAGGGAACTGATCTATAGAAATTGTAACCGCGATTCTGGAATGAAATTTACGCTTCCTGAATTTCGTTTACCATTTGCCCAAACCGCGAACCGACCGGTTTGTCCAAGTAACTGGTAAACAACCCTTGCCTCATTTCACATGACCGCGTTATTGGAAGGTGAAGTTAAAGCCGTTGGCCTTATCTCCTTCATCATGTCTTATCACCCGAAAGAGGACGTAATACGAAAAGAGTAGAGGACGAAACCTCGATACTTGGTTGATCTCTCATAGGGGTAGGGGACTGTAACCCGCCTACAATGACCATGTCAAAAATTGGCCAATATATCTAAGTAAATAAATGAAAATAGACAAAATTGACTAAAAACACAGCGGCAAAGATCAAAATGGATCAAAAGTCACGGCTTAACTGACACACGACCAAAGAAATCAATCAATTGATTAATCAATCAAGTCAAGAACCACAGTTTAATACCAGTTAGTGATGATACACCACTCACTTCCGAACAGGTTTTCAAACCGTCAGCCACTGTAACCAATAAATAGGACTACACTAACCCATATTCCACCTATTTATATAAAATATATACAGCCTGTAACATACCGTAATCAATATGGCCGTTCAGTTCGACAAGGAAACTAACCTGAAATTTTTTGTGGTTAATCCATCTGATTCCAGCCTTTTCTTGTAACTAAAATTTTAACAAGGAAACAAATAGTCCTTATGATTATTGATAGCCATCACCAAATGTCCTCATGGTTGAAAAAGTTCAATAAGAGACACATGACAAAGGGTTTACTATCAAGGAACAAAGCAAAAAATACAATAAAAATAATAAATAAATTAATAAATTAATTTAAAAAATTCGAAATGATCAATGTCCAAAAACCCGTAAATTGCCTGCAACCAAAACCCAAAACTCATCTTTCCTTTACATTTTCGCAATGCATTATTTTCCGACGTGGTAATAGTACAACACGCTACGCGGATTGAAACATTACACTCGCAAATCTCATTGACACATAATCAGTTCAGGAAAAGAAAAAGAAAAATGTAGCTATGACAATAAAGTATTTTTAACGTGTGGGCGCGAACGAAAGAAACATTCCGGAAAAAGACCTTGACAGCCTTCTTTAGGAACAATAGCATATATAACGCATATGGAATTCCAAGGGTGCCGGGAAGACAGGCGAGAAAACTTACGTTTCACCCACGTCATTTGCAGGATACTGAACATTATATCCTGGAAGAGGAAGAACAATGTCTCTTAAGCGATATACTTCTTGTTCGTGATTCGCTATACATTTCACGTGATCACGGCTCAAAGCTCCACTGTCATCTGCCAAAGTACAAGCATGGCTGCTGTAAGCGGTTTGCCTATCAAAACCATGCGCAGTTGCTGCCTTATCTACGACTAAATCTCCTTCGACCACTGCTGACCGTCCATACCGTTGTATTCTGTAGGAGGCCATGTAATTCCAGATGAGACTGCAGTAGCTATGAACGTATAATAATCGCATAGGATATGAAATGTTCAACAACGCCTTCCGACAGCCATCCTAGTGGAAAGAACAAAAGTTCCCTCGTCATGTTCCTCGATTTTTAAAACAAACGAAACTAGGTATAAAGGTACAGATGTAAGTACATTTGAACGAAATTCCTAACAGCAGCGGCTAAGCCTGAGGGGCTACTTAGCAAAGTTTTATACGGAGAGGATTCATCCCGAGGTCCAATCCCTCACCCTTTTAGATACTATTCTTACAAAAAAAGGCCCCCTTTTTGATTTTGATTAGGGAGAAATACAGAGTTAAAATACTCAAAATAGTGTTTCCTCTTCCATACACACCATGTCAGTGCCATGTCTGTGCAGAGCTTTGAGGACTAACGTTTCTCGGACTTTGTAACCAGGCATTTTACCCAGAGTACCTTGCACGTCAGCCGTCTGACAGTAATATCTGCGACGAAAAACAAAACCGAATGAATGAACAAATATGGGAAGAAGGAAAATGAAGAAAGAGGAAGAATGATGGTTAGAGAAGAATATACAAAGAAGAGACAAATAAATAGCCTTCGTTACAGTCGGCCAACGCATAGTTTAGACTTAGAGGGCCAGTTATTTAAACAAAGTTCAGCCCGTGTTTTACAAAAGCGCGTTCTGAGCCATTTTCAGTTTGCCCAACGCTTTTATCTTAACACCATCAGCGTGAAAAGTTTCAGGAAAGCAGAAGGAGTAGACTGGAAAAGCACTTATTTCATTCTTAAAATAACCCACTAAGGAAGATATCTGGAGGTGCAAAGATTTGCTAAACCGCCGCCTAAATTTAGCCTGTGTACAGACTGACCCTACCCTCAAGAAAAAACAGGGGAGGGGAGAGTGAGGGGGCTTTACACAGGCTACCTAAGTTTGAATTTGTTTAAATAACCGACCCAGAGTGTCTACGACGCAGCTAACCGATAACCAATACTGCAGAATACCCCGCCGTGATATCAACTTTTTTTTCAGATTTATTCTGGAATATTCATCGGCAGTTCAAAGAATAGCTGTTAGTTTTAATTGCCTCGCACACAGGGTTCAAAGAGCTTCCAGTAACGCATTCGAAAATAACAGAAATGGTAGGGTAATCTGTCGCAAGCACGTAAAAAAATTCTGTCCGAAAACACTGAAAAACTTAGAGCTCAACAAAGGAACGAATTACAAAGTACCTTTTAGCAATATTAACAGGATGGTCCGGACTATGATCCGATGGAGTCAAAAGCAACTTGACCGCCTTGATCTGCATGATGACAAAACACACGATTTACTCATTAGGTTTGGTTGGCACATAAGGCAATGACACCCATAATAGAGGCGTGCCATAAAGAAAAACTAGGATAAACTGTCCGTCACTGGGCATTATTGTCACACCAGATTACAAGGCTGCTTTCACGAGAGCAAAAGCTACCATTGGCTGCTTTCCATCCTGCAAAAAAATCCGGAAAGTTTGGTAAAAAAACTGAGTAGGGAACGGTTTGGTCCAAGTGAAGTTGCGGAAACATGGCGTGGTATCTTTGACTTGTCGATTGGATCCAAAGCCGAACCTTAACCTTCTCAATACTGAGTATTGCTCGCGCGTGAACCAGCCTCATTTTGCCGGGAAAACGTGATAGCCGTCGTCATTCTACTATGAGTTTTAGCGAGAATGTCGTAGTGGCAGGAACAAGTTATCAAATGTAAGAAGTTTTATCATTTTGTTATTGGGAGAGGGCTTAACCTCCTTCAGTATAAATAATCGAATTTTTTTTAGAACACGCGCAAAAACTTTAAGTTAAATCCCGTACACGTACTAGTTCTCGTCCTCAAATCTAAAGCTCTTTAAAATTGCCATAATTTGTACAAAAAGGGAAAGGAGGATTCTGGAAGTTCCTTGAGCCCTCCTATGGGTACGACCCTCTCTATTTTCAATAAAACAGCCTACCATATCTCCCTGAAGCATGGCCAGCCCAATGTCACAAGCATTCACTTCTTTGTCATCCAAACCAAACCTTTGAGGTCCAAAGTAGTTTAAGAATCCAAAATGGGACAGGGGAGACATTGCATTCTGCAAAAAATAAGAAGAAAACGTGCAATGTTCGTGATGTAGATAAACTCCGTGCTCAGGTTTACTCAGTCTAGTTTGATTCAGAATTTCCATTACTTCCTAGCCATAATCATTAATTTGAGGCAAAGAAAATTCTGATTTAACCTGGAAAACGATTTTACTTGCAACATACACAGTATTTTAGGACACAAGTAAAAAAGTGAAAATAATCATTACCACCCACCTGACTGAAAAAATAAAAATAAATAAATAAATCAAAATAACGAAAAAAAACTAACTGCCCTAAAACTGAAAACCTGCTCCTTTGCTGTCACCAACCTCAATGTTTTTCTTGCATTTTTCAAGGTTATCTTCATGGCTGTAATAATGTAAAGAAAAATAATAATATTGTTTTTATTGCTCCTAAAAGGTACATAAGAAACTAATAAAGTAAGACAAAATCCAAATAATGATCAAAGTCCCAAAACTGAAAAAACGTAATAAAGTTTCAACATAAAAATAAACAAATAAGACAAATAAATAAACAAGGAAGTAGAACATAAGCATTAGTAAAATATTCTTTCCATAAAGTTCACATTGTGTGGTTCCAGCTTCTTACTGACCTGGTAGATCATTTTAGGACATGAATAACTTGAAATATATCACTTAAGATTGTTCCTTTTGATCTTAACCAGGTTTTCTTTCTTCGAAAAGCGTTTTGGCTGTAATTTCAAAGGAATTAGACCGACTACAACTCGTTTTGTCCCTTGCTCGTATATTCGGCCGCCATTACTCGATCGAGTCTCCCTCAATATCATCAACGCGTGCAACAGCGGCAATTTTGCTTCACGAAGCACAAGCTATACGTTATTCTTCTCTTTGTTTTGCATTAATTTTGTGGTGGTAAGTTTGACTTGTTCTGCATGAAATGACGGTAATTCCATCAACATTACGCCCATGAGGACGAATAACAAATCGTAAGCTTGCCCTGATTAAGGTAAATTCACCTTTATATTCTAATTCGCTACCCCGCTCAAACGAATATAAAACATTTATCATGTAACAAGCAACCTCAATTGGGGTGTGTCAACACGAGCCGTGTGCGACCCTCTTTATTATGCCTTCATCAACAGAATGGATGGAAATAATACAACAAACAGAATGAAAACTCGGAAATGTAAAAAATTACAGCAAGAAAAACAACCCAACAAAATGATCTAAACTATGCTCGTATAACAGTCATTCAGTAAACATACAAAACGTGCTAAACCTTTCATATAGCAGCATGCAAAAAACTACGTCTAAGAGAAACCCCTGATCACTGGGTATTTAATTTTGAGGGCGTAGGGACGGTCGTAAGACGCGAATGAATATAAATGAGAACAACTCAAATATATATAGCCTACCGCTAATGAAGCAACAGAACAGCATACCATGTAACACCCCAAAGAAAAGGTTACATAACCCATGATAAATACATTTATATTCTAATTCGCTACCCTGCTCAAACGAATATAAAACATTTATCATGTAACAAGCAACCTCAATTGGGGTGTGTCAACACGAGCCGTGTGCGAACTAAAAGAACGGGAAATACGGAAAATTAAATACCCAGTGATAACGAAACCGACAACAATGAATGAACACTATCCTTAATGTAACCGTCTTTTGCCTTGTCTGATTTCCAACGGCCGTCTCTTTTAAACAATCTGTCAGGCACTCGAGCATTAGCAGCAGCGGAGGCACCTCCGGCCCTAAGGCTATGGAGACCGTAGTCTTGCTTGGGAAGGCCGATGGAATCGAAAGCGCTAAGCACTATCTCCCGCGCTCTATTATAAGACAAAGGAACAGACCCGCGCAATTTATAAGCTCCGGTACTGCGAAGAAAAACAACAGGGCGAAAAATGAACTCTTCGCTGTCTGCTGAAAAAGAAGCGGCCACAAAATATCGTTGAACTAATAAATAGGGACATGTATGCTTGAAAGTTTTAGCGATAACAACCCAAGCCCCATCCCTGTAAACGTCAGTCTTACTTCGATGAACAAAGATCCTCATAAAAGAATCTTCAAACTGAAAATCACACCTGCGTAACTGAACCAACTCGTTAAAGCGAAAAAACCCTGCATAACCTAAAACGCACAAAGTAAGCACTCGTAAATCAGACAAACTAGCTGAAGACGATCCATACTTAGAAAATAAAAGCTGAATAGCCTTGGGGGTCACAGGCTCTTTCTTTTTAACAGGGATAATGAGAAGCCTCTTAGCAGATTCTATTAAAGGTAAAACTAACGAGGAATTACAGGGGTTCGGTAGACCTGCCAAATCATGCACCCACTTGAGCCCATAATGGACTTCGTCAATAGTACTGCAAGAAGCAGATTCTTGAATCAAGCTAAGAAAGAACAATGAAACGTGCACACTAGAAGCGGGAAATATAACAATTTCTTTAAACTGAGAAGCCCATTTTCTCCACGTATTGAAGCCCTTTTCGTACTTCCTCGCGGTACTGTCGGCTTTGGATTTAAGAAGAACTGCGGGGAGATCTTGAACCAGTGCCCGGAGTCGCCCGTCTTCAACCTGTTGAAAATTAGGCTGCAAGGCATCTTTGAGAACTTCTACGAGGATAAGAACAAAAATATATGGCAAAATTCCTCAATACACGCACTGGGAGTCAATACAGCAATAAAAAATGGACGCTTGGTAATGCCTCTGACCGGATGCAAAACTATTTAAGGCCGAATGGGCCAACTCAAAAACCACGGTAAACAAGCCACTCGGCGAGCTAGTTTCATGCGAAACGAGGACAAATGAACCGACGAGCGGAATAAAAAACACGTGGGCCAACATAAAGCCACTCGGCTTGAAAAAACTAAGGCCCCTTAGCGCCAATTCTGACTGCCAGCACCGCGCTGTTAAACCTGTCTGAACCAATGAGTGAATCTTTGTAACACCCGAGGGCAAAAATCCCTGAGGGGTCGGCAAAATGAATGTACTCAAGGACGTACGGTTGAAATTGAATTGCATTTGCGAACAAGAAAGACCAAAACACATTAGACGGCCAATAAGGGACGACTAAAGTACCAACCGCACCGCATACAAGGAGATGCTGAACCGCCCTAGTAATGCAGTGGACGGGAGGGACTAGCCAATTATTCTCTCCACTCCACGAGATTGAAAATGCGTCAACAGCTTCAGTGCCTGGTACGCGAAACCTAGAATTGAATCTGGGAAGATGGGCGTTGGCAGCATTCGCGAACCTGTCGACTGTATGTGGGCCCCAAAGGCGGTCCAAGTGTGCGAAGAACTCGGGGTTGTATACCAGTCATCGAAGTCTACAATGTGGCTAATCGCATCAGCACAAGCATTAAGTTCCTGGGAACCCACTGGGGAATAAGTGTAATATTGTAAGTTCGACAAAAATAGAAAATATCAAGCGCAATAGAATGCAATTCTGCACTAGGACTCCCTATCTCCACAACACGAACGGCCCCTTGGCTGTCAGAATGCCACTTTACACACTTACCCCGAACCGAGGCTTTAAACGCACTTAAGGCAAATTGTATAGCCTTAAGTTCTCTCCAGGTAGAGCTCTTAGCTGCTTCGCAAGCAGTCCACATACGATGGGACACCTCATTAGTGCCCACAACAAAAGCCCCGCAGGCGACGTTGCTAGCGTCCGAATAGCTAAACAAAAGGGGAACATTATAAGGCAAAATAGGTCTCGTATTAAAACTAACGATATTGTTTTTCCAGAAAAATATTTCAGAGAGGCAATCATTATGAAGCCCGATATTAAAACGGGAATCCTAACTACGGCGGGATTCTATGACCTTGTAAAGGAAACGGGTTTTGAGACGAGTCAGGTTACCCAAAACTGGCGACATGGACATAACATGACCTGCGATAACGGCACAATCCCGAGCCGTAACATAAGGTGCGGATAGAAGAAATTTGTCAACCAGAGCGATAAATTTGCAAATACGTCTATCGGTAATAGAAATGGTACCGATAACTAAGTCCCAGTTTAAACCCAACCAAACAAGCACCTGAGTGGGGTTCCATAGTGATTTGGCGGAGTTGGCAACAAACCCCGCACTGCTTGAGGATGATTGCACAAACAATGAATTTTCCTTGGCCATAGGCAGTGAATCCCCTTTTCCGCACCCATCGTCGAGGAACACAACAATTTTAATCCCGTTAGACCTCCAAAACTTAACGAGTGGTCTGAGACACTTGGTAAAGACGTATGGGGCTGAGCTTAGACCGAACGGAAGTGATGCAAAACAAAAATACCGAACGGTACCAGAAAAAACCCAGGAGAAACCCAGAAAAGTTTGGTGATCCGGAAAAATATCGATATGGTGATATCCAGACTTGAGATCGAAACTGAAAAGGTAGTCGCCCTTATTAACATATGACAATAAAACTCTCCAATCTTCACACCTAAACTTCTGTTTCCAAACGAAATGATTGACATAACGTAAGTCCAGAATAAGCCTCTTCTTGCCTGAAGACTGTATAGAGACAGAGAGCGGATTAACGACATGTGGAATAAAGGGCACCTCAACGACGGCGTGAGTGTGGACTAATTCAGCGATAGCCGACTCCACGAAAGACGCATTATTAAGAGCTGACTGATTGTTAGGAAAACGCGCCTGACAAGGTGTGCTAATGAATGGGATCCGATAACCGAATTTAATTGCTGCGGAGCGACCGAAGGGAGCGAGCAGCAACATAATCAGGATTTAAAGGAAATATATAAAGGGGCGACGAATTCTCGAATTCATCACTTTTTACCACAATGCATTGCATTTAACCACACTTTTTACCACAATGCATTGCATTTAACCAGAGTGCATTGCGCCACGAACAACTCAAATAAAAACACGGGGAAGTAGTGCATCGTTCGCTGCTCAGTTCTACAGCACGGTTAGAGGTCTTACCAAATTTTAAGACACGCAGGAGTCTTTCAGATGAGTACGATGGTTAACTTGGAGAGTGGATTTCAATTCAAGAGCCTTTTTTGACTCGTCCAGGTGTTAAACCTGACGAGAAGAAGAGCATTTGCTCTTCGACTCCGCAACACGGGGAATATACAAATTCCAGCTTGCTAGAAGTGATGTGAAAGTGAGAAAATGTCATGCAATGCTATTCTTAAGAAACTGTATGAGCCGAAAATGGATGTGATTTTGACCATTCGCTTCAGAATAACAGCGGAAATCGAGATAACAAAACATATGTTTTGTGTCCTACTTTGCAGACCAGGACGTGTATCAGCGTTTTGAAAAGCATAATTATGTTCTTTCATTCATTCATTGCCATGGAATATGCGTTTACATTGTTTTTTCACTGTTAATAGCTCGGTTAATGCGGCTGGCGATCATCTTGCCGGCGGAAGTTTCATAGAAAAGGAATAAAAAGAAACACTTTTCCCAGGAATTACGTAATCAGCCTCCGTGGTGTAGTGGGTAGGTGTAGTCGCGTCGAGCTGAAGGTGCTGGGTTCGAGGTCTACCGAATTATTTATTATTCCTACTTTCTTTTTTTTTTTTTCCTTTTTTTGTGTTGTTGTTTTCTATAAATATATAGCTAAATAACTGTTACTTAATAAAGTGCAAGAAAAGTATTGTGTTTCCAGAGAAAATATCGTGCACTGTATATTAAATATCTGGATAATCGATCTCAATTTCTATTATTTCCTACAATTTACTGTGGGAAAACCAGAGTTGATAACCACTTGATCATTTTCTAAACAACGTTCCCACGAGTTCTTTCTATAGACTGATAGTAATTATTCTAGTACTTTCCAACATGTAAATAGGACATTCAACGTCATTCTTGATTCTTTTAAGTCTCACTGCCTAACTAATGCCAGTATCAACAGAATGTGCCGCAGCATTACTATCTTTTAGATACCCTAGTAGTATCGATAACAAAACTATTGGCACCAATAGTGTGCCAATAACTTAAACAGGACCTAAGTCTACCCTTAAGTACTGGCAATGCGGAATTCTGTTCAAATTCAAATAGATTGCGATCATAATCGAAATCGACTAATGAACTAGAGTCCCTTTCCCTGAAATACTCCAAATAAGAAGGATACATGTCTAATAAATTGACTAAAGCTAATATCTAACCTTGGAAAACAAGTTTTTAATTCTGTGGTCCTATTTACCTCCAATGCCCGAAAGAACAGAAGAACTAGGAAAGGACTGCCCCGAGCTTGAAGATCTGGCTTGAGGATTAACTTGACACTGAGATCTCCAATGACCTTGCTGGCCGCAGGCGAAACAAATATCGCTTGGTCTTGGTTTGCTGAAAGCGCCAAAAGTACGAGAAATAGGTCTGGAGGATGATGAATGTTGGCCAGCAAACGCGGTGGTTGCGGTAGATGATTGGAGTTGTGAATAACCTTGCTTGGATGGCTTCGCTTTCTGTTGGCGTTGGTTGCGTTTACGAAGGGCCCTCTGCTCGGCACGGCGGATACGCTTTTCGTCCTCTGACCCGCTAGCCAACTCGTCTGATAAATACTCGTTCACCAAATCCCAACCGGCGGCGGACTTGTCTGCCAGTCTGATAAGTTTGTTGCGCTTCTTGATGTCAGAGTCTAGTTCTTCCAGGTGAGTTTTAACAAGGTCTAATTTTCTCTTCCCGAGAGCAACTGACGCCGACTTCACCTTCTCTGCAAGGTCGGAGTTGAATTGAAACTGTTTCTTATTACCTTCGAATCTAAACGTGATCTTGGATTCTTCTTTAAGCTTTTTGGCCACAGAATCGGTATTACTGCACGACTCGTCTTGAATATCGCGCTTCAAGGCGCCCAACTTCTTGTCGAAATAATCCTTAAATAGAGAGAACGCGGACGCTATATCACTGGATTCTGAAGACTGGATTGGTACTGAAGCTTCGAGAGATTGAGACAAAGCTTGTTTAGGAAGCGAAGGCAGCAAAACGTCGCTGCTAGGAAAATCTGTGTTCGCTGGAGTAACGTCTTCAACATCAGACATAATTTTGAGGGCGTAGGGACGGTCGTAAGACGCGAATGAATATAAATGAGAACAACTCAAATATATATAGCCTACCGCTAATGAAGCAACAGAACAGCATACCATGTAACACCCCAAAGAAAAGGTTACATAACCCATGATAAATACATTTATCTGTTTCATTTAAAGCAAGAGATAAGCAAAAATTGCAGATCAGGTTACTTTGTGGTGGTGTAGTGTGTTTTAATGTTGCGAGGTCACTCAAATAAATGGAAACAGAAGCATACAAGCTTCTGATGGAAACCGTTGTGTACTAACCATAAATGGCCTCATTCTTCTACATTAATAGTCTTTCTTCAAGAAAATGAACTTTTCCAGAGGGGTTGAGGGGCCTTTGTCTCACTTGTGGAAATTTTGAAGGGGGCGGGTGGGCGTAAGTACCCTACAAAAATGGAAAATCCAGAGAGGTGGGTGGGGGGGTCCTAAGTGAAATTCCCCCCGTGGTGGGGGTCTGGATATTTTCTGGAACTACACATTATAGAGTAATGTAAGCTTTCCTACCTCGCTTTCCATTCCATATTTCTGATGACAACTTGAAAGTGATTCCCACTTAGTGCACCCATCCTGAGAGGCATCCTCACACCTCTCCTGTAACTACCAAATTCTATCCCTTCCAGGGAGGGGTGCCCTTCAATAGCACGCATCCTGTAAAAATATTTAAGGGAGCATTAAAGGCCAACCTCACTCCTATGGTGACGTCATATCCCTGTCTTACCTCATGACTCAGTATAAGTGGAAATGACAAGGGAATTTGCGTTTCAAAATGGATTGGCCTAACTTACAGTGGGAAGGAAATTTACCATTTTTGCTTTGTTTTACTTTGTATTCTAGCCTGAAATGAGCACATGACAGGGCTGTCATTTCAGACTATGTCCTAATTATGAGTAGTTTTTGTGTCACGCATTCCACACAGACCATTTTTGAAATGACCCAATTTAAAATGCTGTGTGGGATATCTGACCCACTTTGACTAATTTCTAGATTGAACTCTGTAAAAAGAGGTTCAGGTGGAGTCTCTCAGGGAAGGAATAACTTTTAGTACTTACTGTTCAGGGGTGACACCTCTGACCACCATGTACTGTGTAGTAATTGCTTTCTTGTCCTTAATACCAGCATAACTGAAGGCTGATGGTTGAATGTTTAAACATGCTGACAAACGCTGAATAGCTTCCAGGGTCTCCTGGACGGTTAACAAGAAAACAGAGTGAAATGTAGAAAGGACATTGGTGGAAATAATAATAAAATTCAAATTATAGTTATAATCACTGTATTGTACACATGGATAATTATTTTGTACTTTGGTGCAAACATAATGCTAGATGAACTGCATGGTCATATAGTTACCTTTTTAAAAGTATATACATGTAGTTGGTTTAAAACTGGTTTAAAATTTCAACAAGGGGCTAACTACCTGAGCTAAGAAAATACATGTAACCCTACCCACATCGACACCAAGGCTGCACTTTAGAGGTGGAGGTAGGGATTGGCTGAAGGAACCATGGCCATCCCTTTTTCTGTGAAATTTTGCAACATATTTAAAGAATACTCAATAAAATAAATAGTATCTATATAACTGGCATGTGCCCCAAACTCCACCTCCCCTTCCCCAACCCCTTCTGAATTTTCTGGACCTGCCCCTGCACTTGGTTGTACAATGTAAGCAAGAATATGAATAATGCAACCCCACCAATAGAATCAATACCAACCAATGATCACAATCTGGAATAATCAACTCACCATATTTCTTTTACACAGCACAAATCCAGTGTATTCAGGATCAATCTGTCTGGACAAACCACAATAAAAAGAAGAACAGGAGTGATCCTGAAGAATCTGAATCAGGTGCATTAATATACACTGCACTTTTAATAACACAAGAGAAAGCAAAGCTTAATCCTTAGTGAGCTGCATGTTGGAACAAAATCTATCATGTACCCTAAGGTCACTTTCGCACTACTTTTCCCTAATGTTGCAAAACTCTCTTCATTATACAAATTGAATCAAAGTCACCATCTAGACTGTGAGCAAGCTCTTTGGGGCCCTATGGCAGCAGGGCAGGAAAAAGAAGGTAGGCTTGCAAGAATGTCTCTGGAATTTGAATATCCTCACTTAAAAGTCATTGTGAATGCTGATCACATTATCCTTGGCATGTGTTTTTCAATGTTTGCTTACATTCATGCTCATTTCTGCTTCGCACTGATTGGTGGAAATCTCATAGCTCAGTCGACAGGGAACCACAGTTGAATTGGAGGTGGAATGAATTGAAATTTCAGAGGTCTATGTAGTTGGTCATGGTTGGTTGGAAGCTCTCCTTCCTTTTCCCACCGCGCCGCCAGAGCACCCCGGAGAGCTTGCTCGCAGGCTTGTCACCATCTGGTTGGGTGCGAGTCTGGGTAGAAGTAACACTCTAATTGTGATCTGCAATGTACACTGTACCTACAAGTTGATCACTAAATTAACACACCTACACACACACATTTTTCTACAATTTTCAATACCTGTGGTCATGTGTACTTTTCTGTTGGCATGGGGATTTAGCTCCTTTAGTCCTCATCCTTATCTGAATATAACTCTTCCCAACATTTCCTGCTATTTTATCATCCAGGTTATTAAATGTCTTACTTTCAAGAAATGATCCAAAGTGCTTCGCTAAAAGCCTATGAATCTGAAAACAAACAAAATACAACAGGTGTTTATCATTAGCCCCAATATCCACATACAAATTATCAACATTGATCTGCAAATCCCCGTACATTATTTTCTTTAGACAAGACAAGACAAGACATTTATTATCATTATATTGAAAGTACAATTTCTTGGCAAGCACTGTTAGCAAAAAAAATGCTAGTCAAGGTGTGCCTTATTAATTCTATTACAAATCAGATATTACAGATAATAATCAAAAATCAAAGAAAAAAAAAAGAAGAAATATCTTTAATTTAGAGAGTTAGTTGAGAGAATCTGATAAACGATCAAAGTAATTTCCCTTTGGTGAAAATGTTATTAATTCTCATAAACTTTTCACATCATTGCTCAATAATATTTTTTTGTTTGGAGAAGATTGATATGATGGCCACTACTGGGAGTTATATTATTATTGAAGGTCAATGTTTATGATCCTTAAATATCAGCATACAGATTGCCCAAACTGTTCTCCATACCTTTCCAATTGCACTGACGGGGAAAACTTGTTCAATAATCCAGACCTTTTACACTTGTTGATCATTTCCTAATTTTCTCACAACCTTCCTGTTTATTATCCACTCCCCTCAGGGCTTTTCTGGGATAATTTACATTACACTGGTTGGAGGACTTTTGCCAGACTGATTACATGTACTCAAATCAACTTAAATAACATAATTGATCCCCCAGCAAGATGGACTATTCTTTTTCGTACATAAAAGTTAACTGAACAGACACACTAACATACTACAAAGAAAAAAATTGCCATACCTTAGTTCGCTGTTGTTTATCTGCACTGCTGACATCGATACTGAGTGTAGAAGGTATCCTTCTATTTTCCCAGTGGGCAAAGCACAATAACCTGCATTATCAAAATTAAAAGAAAATGCCAAGTTAGTGGTGTTAACAATAATCACTACAGTCTAACAATGGACAGTGTGATGATGATGATGACAATGGTGGTTGCCATAATGACAATAACAGCATGCAGGGATGACAATGATAGATTGAAATAAGATGATGATGGTGATAATTATGATGACAGTAAATAGGCAAGCCATTCACAGCTTTGATCTTTATGGTGATGATGAAACAAAGGTGGTGGTGTCCGTAACAAAAATGCTTACGTATTAAATGACTACAAAAAAGGTAAATGAAGACTTATGTCTGCACACGGTGATGTTTAATAGTGATGTTTTTGGTAATCAGTCGAGAGTAAACTGTAGTGTGACAATGACGGAAAAAAGGCAGTCTGATGGTTCATGGTATTATATGACAATATCAATATGCTAAATCCTTCTATTATCATTATACAGTATGTGTATTATTGGCATAATGATCAATATACATGTACGCTCAAAATTAATAACTACTACCTGTCTACTTGATCCCTGTCATTAAGTAAGTTGCTGAATTCCCAATATACTTTATCATAACCAACAAGTATTAGAGGAGGTTGTCCCTGGAAAATGAAAGACAAAGTGAACTGGGAGGATAATGAAAAGAGGGCCTTACTTGGGAGAAAAGGACATCAAGAGCAAAGAAGCATGGGGAGCTTACTTTTAATTTACCTCCTGATCTGATTTTGTGGTCTCAGTAAGAAGATGAGGGAAAGCTAAACGGATATTCCTGTGAAGACCTGTGCGCAGCTCCTTTGAGGGTACAGAGCCTACAAAGACATGACATCTGTGTGAGATTAGTGAAACTAACTATATGTTACAATTTTTTATTTTTGATCAGTATTAATTTTGACAATAAGCTTACCAAGGGGGTTCTCATTTTTACTTATAAATTAATATCAATGTCAAACAATAATGTTGTATCAGTTTCATTGACAGAGGGACATAAACTGCATGTACCTCTTGTTTTAAGAGGGGGCATAAGGGGGTCCAAAAACCACAATGCTGCAAAGAAAAGAGTGAAAAAACTGCACTTAAAATTACTAAAATATGTCCCTGACCAGCTCGAGAGACCTTGTAGGGACTTGTAGACTTGCAAAACTGTACTTTAAACCAAATAGAAGCAGAACACCGTAACAGAACAACAGATTTTTCACCACTTACCGCAAAATAAAATTTCAAAACACCGCAACACCCGTTTTTGAAATAAAAATTACTGCACACATCCTTATGCCCCCTCTTTTAAAACCAGTTTATAAATGTATATTCATTAAAGGCCCTTTCTTGGCTAAGATTTTGGGCCATTGAACTTGTTTGGCTCCTTATTAAATATTTTTTTTTGGGGGGGGGGGGGGGGGGAACAAGTTTGTCTCATTTGCACCTCAGTCCCTGATGTCACCATAATTAATAATGTTACAATATGTGCATACCCTCTGGGGTCCACCAGCTTACCAAGAGAAATCCTCTTTTCGGTATCTCTATTGGTTTCAACAAACATAGCAAACTCTGAGAGTTCAATCATTTTTTCACTGCTCAGGCATTTCTCCAAGTTCTTCAGAGCCACATCTTTCAACTCTTCAAATGAGTCTAACATCTGAAATGTTTACATGTAAGACATAAGTAATATTGATCTTAAAAGAATTGAACATAGCCACTGATGATGAGACTCAAAGTTAGTACAGCTGTAAAAGCAGTCAATTAAAAAAATTTGTTCTAATGTTGCAATGTAAAGAATAGCTTCTGAAGCCCATTCATGAGCAATAATTTACATGTTGTAGCTACCATCCGTGCACTTAGTATTCAAGTTCCTAGTATTCTGCCACGCCCCCCTTTAAGAGGAGATGTGATAATTTTTTGATACCCATAGACTAGGATAATGGTTTAGGGATACTACAATGTCTTTGCATTCATTTTGGCACTTTGCTTTATAATGCCTGACTATTCTGTGACAGCTCTTTAACTAAGAGAGCAGACCACTCATTTTTAAACAAGGTCTGTATGAGAAGGACCCAACCTTTTAGCTGAAGGTTTGGATCTGCTAGTTCTTTTACCTGTGTGTACATTGAATGGTTAACTTCTACATGCTGACATACTGTTACGGGTAACCGAGTGATGGACTGATATCCCCTTTGGGTGGGGTGTGTGGAAGTGGGGAATGCATCTACTGTACACGTACAGTCCTGTCTTTTCCTCATAATTAAAATACGTCTAACTCTTTTAGCATTATTTAACTAAATTTCTGTAAAACCTGACAACTTTCAAACCAGTATTCTCCCTAAATTTTAGCTCAGCAGGTAAGGGACGATTCATCGCTGGTAAGGCAAAAAAAAAATTGTAAAGCAGTGCAAAGGACCAAATCTTGGTGCCATCTGACTCAGTGAGATCATGTATATCTTGGCAAGTTTACCAAGGTGAGATGTTGTGAAATCTTAGCTTATTACTAAAGACTCAAACTTGATATTTAGTGCCATTCACTGGACTATTTTGGGTAGAATTGAATTCAATTTTTCATGTTAATAGTCACCAAACCAGTAGCTCAGAGTTATGAGTCATCTCATGCCAGTGAAATTGTCCTGTATGCAGTAAGTGATGTTTTTGATCCACAGGCATGTGACACATGGATAATGCATGTGAATTGGTAAGGTATAAAACAGTACATGGATAGCTTACTGTTTCATGCTTTAATTTTAAATTAGCTGCCACTTTATAGATCAGCCTCGTTGGTTCATAAATAAATTTGTTATTTTACTTTGTATAAAATGTGTGCGAACTGTAAAGTACTATATCAGTTAGCTGAACTCTCAGTTAGTTTCTAGAAGGGCAGAGAAGCAGGGAACTATAGTTACAAGGACTAGGTACCACTATGCATAATGTCATACCTTATTAAAAAACGGCACGTCATCCAAACTTTTTTCTTCTTGTTGTTTCTCTCTCTTCTCTTTTTTAAGTTTTGTTTTGCTCCTGGATGACTGATCATCTTGCTCATTTTCCATAGCAGACACAATTTCACCAGGGATCAGCTTGACCTGATTTCCTTGGCTATCTATTTCAGTAACCACAAAATCTTGCCATCTAATAGCATTATGTTAAGAATGTTTTACACGATTGGCAATCAAACAGCTTTGTTGCATTCACTCAGACCCCAGGATAGAGAGACGGAGAAGTTCAAGGAAACGGGTTGATGAGAGAATCTCACACGAAAGGGGCAGAGTTACCTGTTTGCAGACCATTTTGGGCAGGTTTCAAAATTTATTTGGACCTTAAAAGACCTACCATTCCAAAAAAGACCGCCAAACAAGGACTTTAGGATAAAAAATAATGTTAATTCTAATTGAATGCTTTCCTCTTTCTTTATTTGACCTTCTGCTTTTAATTGGTGTCATTAAAACTCATGTACTGGTCAGCCTGCATATAGCAGATGTTACCAATACTGGGGGCACTCAGGCTGGTTCTAGGGGGCAAGCACACCAGATGAAGAGGGAGAAGAGAAAAATTATGCTTGAAGACAGGTTATTGTTCTCTCTCACCAAACAGTCATCTAGTGAATGTTCGCTGATTCATCCCACATGGTCTATGATATATAATTAATCTCATCTCTCATCCTCTTATGCTCAATGGGTAGATTGCATTCATGTACAATCATGTGAACTAACATTGATACCCTGAAGTGATTGCTAAACATTCAGGACTTGATACCAGGGATCTGAGTACAGCGATGGTGAACCACGGTGTTTAGGAGGAAATCTCCAAGAATTTCCCGTAAATTCTGGTGGTTAAAGGATAATGATAATGAGGCATGGTATGGGACTAACGAGTTATACAAGCTGTTAAAATCAACATGATCATGGTGATTCTACCACATCTCTCATCCCACCTTTCAAAGCAGAAAAGAATAATACTGTGTTTGCTCTAGTTCTTTTAATTAACAAAGCAGTAATCCCTGAATTCTGCAACTAGTACAGGGTTAGATGTTTGAGTGAGCTCCTACTTTCACCTTTTTTTGGTCATTGCAATTAAGGCACTTTTTGTTTACGAGACCTCAGATGATGCACAAGTGAGTCCATTTCAGTCACGTTAGTAAGAGCAAACAGCACATTCTTGTAGTTTACATCTGCTGCTTTAATCAAGAGCAAGCTCTCTGTGGGGGCTCTAGCAGCAGGGGGAAAAAGGCAGGAGACTGCAGGAGACCTGTGGAACCACAGACAACACTAGAGGTGGAATTCAAATTAAATAGACGTTACTGCAAGCAATTCCTCCTAGCCTGTAAGCAAGAGTGAAGAGCTTGCTCACATGCTAGTGTGTGGGCAGAAGTGAGCAAACAATAACCTGTCTACAGGCGTTATTTTACCCTTTTTCCTTTACCTACCCTCTTATCATTATCCCTAAATATTTAATAATTTCAGGATACGTTTTCTTGATCTGTCCTTTGAATCCATTTAGTTCACAACAGAGAAAACATTCAGCACCAAACGACATTTTGTGTTATTTGGCAGAAGCGCGAGGATGCACACGCGCTGGGTTACATAGCTTTACATACCTTCATATATGAAGCCCTGTCTTGTCTTGAGTGATTTACTGACCAGAAACAGTAACGGCTCACAAATAGATTGGCGGTCTTTCGCGGTGGTTAGTCGTTCCTGTCAGGAGTTTAGCTTGGCTTTTTCCCGTTTTTGTGGACCATAATGGAGCTTCTTAAATGTGAGTGGGGCTCTTGCGAAGAGAAGTTTGCTTCTCCTGATTTTCCTGAGTTTAGAGAGCACGTTGAAAGCCATTTGATGGAAATTTTCCCAAAATATCATCGAGGTTTCTCCGAAGACACGATCCCTGATAACTTCGCTTGCAGTTGGCGAGAATGTGGCTGGGATTCGCCGATGGATGCTGGCGATCTGATCCGCCATGTTTTCTTCCATGTTTTTCACACAAGAATAAAGCTTGAAGGCTTTAAAAAGCAACAAGAAATGAAACTAGCGCCGTGTGCTTTGGACGGTCAGAGTCGTAATCTCATCCCCGAAAACCCGGAGCCGTTTCTGTGCGAGTGGAAGGAATGTAATGTTATATTTAACTGCCCGACGTTGTTTTACCGGCATGTAGATAGTCATGCTATGGCTGTGGACAAAACTTTAGTGGAAGTAAGTGAAGATGGAAGAAAAAAATTCTCTGTAAGGTGCCAATGGGAATATAATCCCGGGGAAGGTAAGCTAAGGAATGAGTAAGCTTAAGCTTAATTATTTGTTACGGACAATGCCATCCTGTTTCTCTCGTGGCCGCCTCCTTTCTCTTCTCTCTACACAGGAAGGAGGATGGTATTCTTGTTTGACGCCATGAAAATTCGCCTCCAGCGAGTTTACCCCACAAATTTAATTGTGGTTAAAAGATCTTTTTGTGAGTTTTGGATACTTCCAACAAGCTATATGTACCAAGGAAAAGACTTTTGTAGGAAGGATGAAAAATAGACTATAAGAAGTCCATCACTTTTCTTAGAGATGGTAGAGCAAGCAAAATGCATGACCACATTTGAAAATCACCACCCATGAGAAAGCTAAAGTGATGATTTTCATGCGTGCTCCAGTATGCAGAGTATGGCAAGTGCACACACAAGCCTTTTTTGAAAAAGCTTTTTGCACACACCAAAATCGTAGCATTGTGTTGGGCCTACAAAGAGATGTGATCAGAAGCACAGTTATGATGTACAAAGGCTTAACATTGGCCGAAAATCAAATTTTTTTAAAAAAATACAGTAGGTGTTTCAAGTAACTCTAATAAGCAATAAAAAATGACAACATTACAAAAAATGCCATTTCAACAATTTTTGAGAACATTTTCCGCTATTTTTCTATTACCCATGATGCATTGCGACCACGCCCTTTTTACACAAAATATATTACATCTTAATTCCTCTGAGGGAATTTTTAAGCAGAAATTTCAGTTTAAAGCTACAAATGTATTTACAACAAAAGAAACATGTTAACTGTGAGAAAGCCAAAGAGAATGTTCTTAACACGTAATAGTTTAATGTGTTTTGAGGACGGTAAAACAAATAGAAGTTAGTGAAAACAGGCAAAAAGTGAAGGACGTCTATCCGCACGTGTTATGTGTGACGCCATGTTTTTACAGCAACCTTCACAACTCAGTGTGGATTTATTTTTTATGATAAAACATGGTTCCCCAACCTTTATCAGAAAATAATCTTTAATACCTCTGATAATCAAGGAAAGTCTCAAATGCATTCAATAACTGTGCGCTGAGATATTCAAATATATTTTATGCAGAGCGGTGAATTTTTCTTGTGATCATGACAACCGTGCTACTGATCTTTTGCACCTGACTTTCAGGGGTGTAGCCGTGATATTTTTTGCCAAATCTATCCTAACCTCTTGGTTCTCCCACTTTCCAAATCCCTTTCTTACACTTTTGCTTTCTCATCAGTATGGTGAGGTTATATACAAATGGATGGACTGGCAATTTGTCTGTAATCTTGTTTGTAGCCTTCCTTTTAAGTGAACTGAATGGAAAAGCATGAACAAACTAAAGAGGTCTGGGGGCATGCTCCCTTGGGAAAATTTGGTATTTAGGTCATCTAAAACAGCTGGAAATGCGCCTAAATCTTGCATCCTTTTAATGCTGAGCCTCTCTATGGGCAGGCACCCGTATTCTGGTATAAAAAATCGTATTGCACGCGGTGCATGCGGCTAAAATTGGCTCTGCATGCATAACATGTCATCGAGTTCTGCCATACTCTGCAGACTGGCGCACACTCGCTTGCTCCACCACCACTGGAAAATGAGGGACTATAATTTGGGGCCAACCTTGAAACTCAACTGCTCCCAGGATTCAAACCGAGACCATATTGGTGGGAACAAGTGCTCTCAGCTCTGCACCACCCATGCTCTCCAAGAGTTATTGTTATGAGTAGCTGTGGGTACACTAGCTATTTTGCCTGCAGTTGAAAAATGGTCTTGCCCATTGCCCATGGGGAAACCTCCTTTTTCTTTGATTTGGGGGTGGGAGGGGTGGGGGGGCAATTAGTACATTCAGTAAATTCCCATGGATCCATTAGAAAAGATTATTGCCCATTATGGGCATAGTTGTAAGTCCTGTGGTTTATCAAGAAGACAACGTGGGCCAACTAATCAAGAAAAATGGTTATTTTGTTTTAGGAGCAGCTTCGCAATGGGTGCTTTTGTTGTTCAGTGAGAATTCCCCCCACCCCTAACCGCAAGATAAATTAATGTTTAGCACTTTTTATAAAGTTTTTATTTCATTAACTTTTTAAAATATTTTTCTTTTAAGTGTGTGATTTTTCAACTGCAAACCACTATAAACTGAAGGAACATTGCCGAAGCCATACTAGAGAGAAAATTTTTGCATGCAATACTTGTGGTGGAATGTTTGCCAGCAGAACAAAGCTTGTAGACCATTTAGTAAGACAGAATTCATCTGGATGTAAGTGTGGCGTCTATTTACATGTAGTATGCTATTGTCTTATTAAGAATGGTAATAGGACTGAGTGAAGTCCATTTCAGTCTGTAATCGTACAAGTAATTATTAAGGAGTCCATTTTGTTAATCACGAGTATGATTATAGACTGAATTGGATGACTGGAAGTCCTGTTACCAATAAATTGTTAATTGTAACCATTACAATTATTTCTAAGAAAACACATTTATTATTTTTTTGTGAAAGAGCTTTTAATACCGATAATTTATCCAAAATTAGGGAAGATACCTTTGGGAGAGACACTGTCTAGTGTTACAAATTTTACCATTTTGAAAATCTCCAGTTTGGTAGGATAAGTGGTTGTTGCTATGGGTATTGAAATAAATTCTGTGTTGGTGAATTTAGCTGAGTGCACTTAATATGATTGGCTGATGTAACTGTCCGACGATGAGTGTCCGATTAAAGCCAACTGTCTTATTACATTGTCCCATTACAACCCTACACCATGATTAGTGAAAAATAAAACAGTTAATGCACCAATCAAATTTGAGGAAATTGTAATGGTTATGATTATACATGTAATCAAACTGATTGGGTTAAATTAGATGGAGCATGCTTGTGCTTGGCTTCCTACATGTAAATATACCCAGTAATACTCAAGTATCTTGGAATAAAGGGGGTGTATGTTAAAGATGTTAAGAGGTTGAGAATGATTTAACTTAATCTCATCCAGCTCTAAGTCGACGTCATGGAAATATTTAGTGGTTCAATTTTGTTTGACTTACAGTCAACTCTCTAAATGGTGGACCGATATTATATTGTAAGACATATATCAAGATACTGTACATTTAGAACTGTTTATCAAGAACAATAATCATTAAAAGAGAAACTGAACAACACTGAACTGGACACCACGTAGAGTTCTAAAGTGTGATGTCATAAAAAAATTAAATTTGTGAAATTATGGGATTTGTTGGGATATTCTGAAAGACCAACATCCAAGAGGCCTACTTGCCAAAAACTAGCATTGTGAGGCAAGTTGTCGGTGAGATATTAGCTTCTTTATGCTCTGATGACTCCATGCAAACGACTCAAGCTAAATTTAGAAGGATCTGTGTAGAGTCATCAGAGTATAACTGGGCCAATATCTTAGGGACAATTTGCCCCGAAATGCTAATTTTTCGCAAGTAGGCCTCTTAGACGTTGTCCTTTCAGAATATCCTGAGAGATGAACTGGACCTGAGGGCACTTAATATTTAAAATCAGAGCTGGTCAACAGCCCTTTTTGCTAAAAACCCATCTCTGCCATGCGTTATGTAATTTACGAATAGACTGACTTGGCTGGGCAGACCTGATTAATAGTGGAATTCTCTTTACAACTGGACTGGTTTGGCGAACTAGTTGCGATGAGACTTTTAAGTGTCTTTTGTGTTCATTCTAGGGAGTTGTCCATTTTATAAAATGTAGATTTCCTACCCTAAAGAAATCCTGGAATTGAAAATTTCAAACCCCAAAAAACCCTTCGATCATCCTCGTCACTTAGAATCCCAAGTACCTGCTGGGGAGTTGTCTTTCATTCAAATTTTATGTATCTTTTATTTATAACTCCTTAATATTCACTAAAATAACTTAAAGCAAAATAAAATTGGAAAAAGGATAAAGTTAAATCACAGCTCATGATAAAAAATTATGATGACATAATGCTATATTGTTTTCTTTTTCTTGAAGATGAAAGTTTCCAGTGCTCGCATTGTTTAAAGCATTGCGGCTCAGAACGCATATTACGAGATCACATGCGGCACCATGGTATGTAACAAAAATATCTCAATAAGTAGAAACAAGTAATGATTCTGTAGTTGCCATAGCACGTGCAGTTGATTGTTCTTTGTCTAACATATCCTTGATCAAATTGGAATTTGGAAATTCTAGTATATCACAACAGGGGAAAACCAATATACCAGTTCTCAAAGTAATGATTAAAAATACTGACAGTGTTTTTTTTTTCACTTTTTTCTCTTGTAGTTAACAATGTGAAGTGTCAGTTTTGTGACATGACCTGCCCAAATGCTTCTGCTCTTAAGCAACATGTGAAATTCAGACATTCAGATGAAAGACCCTTCAAATGTGATGTATGCAGTTACACGTAAGTTGTGGATCACTGATATTAAATTGCTGTCAATAACAATTCATTTATTTAAAAAAAAATCCTTGTCTTTTCTGCATTAGATGGCTAACAATTTTTATCAAGTAGAGTAAAAGATGGCAGTAACAAAATCCTTTATACTTTTTACCATGTACATAATAAAAGCTTAATGTAATATTATTGTAAAATATTTGCTAATTACATTTTAAATATTATATCCTTTGATTAAACAATTGAACAGGCCAGCATTCATATTTTGAAATGGAGGAGTTGTCATGTCTAAAAATGCCACCAGTTTTGTGTTGCAACCAATCAGACAGCAATTTTGAACGATGTAAGATTTTCAAAGGTACAACAAGACTCTTGGATGTACTTTCAACATGAAAAATCACAAAAGGCTGAATGATACTCTGCGGGAAATTGATTTACATGGGAATAGCCCATGGTAGCAATAACCTGGGCCTCCCCTTGCTTGCTCCCCATTCTAACCTGGTTGTAAGACAGACTTTTATTAAAGCAGAAGAACTCTAAACATGTACGCAAAACCTTCACAAATCCTACTTTACATAGATTAGACTATATCTAGATGGAAGGTAAACTAAAAGCCTGTAAGCCCCCTGATACCTGCACTCCACCGCATATGTAACATGATTTGCTATAATTTTAAATGTGATTATTTGTAAAGTTTAGATAAGAATTCATCTTAATAGCTATTTTCTCTTCAGGTGCAAGATGCCTTCAGATCTGGCACGCCATCGAGAATTCCACAATGCAGTTTTAGCATACCACTGTGATGTGGAGGGCTGTAATTTTTCTGCCAGATCCATGCAAACTGTAAAGAGACATCAGAAAGTAGAACACCAGGTTAGAACTACAGTGTCAAACTCCACTTTAGGGACTCCTGGTTAAACTGGACACCTCATTATTACGGACGGTTTATGGACATTATTACAGACCTACTTAATAGTCCAGTTTTGAGTTCGCTATGACCACTAAATAAAAGAAATGAAGACGCATTTTTTACAGGCTTAGTCTCAATCTGAATAAATATATTCACATATTTGTAAAAGAAGACCTGTTTATTACTCTGTCTATTGTGTATCTTCACATTTTAAACACTTGCTTGCTGGAATTTGGTAATTTTTCACTTTATGTCGAGGCTAACCCTGTGTGAACGTGTCGATAATGTTTGTATGCAGTGGTAATTTTTAATAGTGAAACTGGACTATATGGACATCCCGTTAATACAGACACTTTCTTTGACCCCCTTAGTGTCTGTATCAAGTGTTAATTTAACAGGCTTTGACTTTAATTCTGCTATGTCTCTCTTTTGTCTTTATTTGCCAGTTTTAATTTTTGATCCAATACAGTGTATGCCAAACAAAATTCTTTGTAAAAAATACTCTTGGAAAATTAGAAGATCAAAGCAATTCCTCTTGGTGATCATTAAGATTCATTGTTAATTCTTGGATTTTCTTCATTGTGCTTGATTATGTGTGAATATTGTGCGACATTTATTGATGTTGGTCACTCTTGGGACTTAAAGAGAATTTTTTTAAATCTTGTTTGATTCTCAATTTCCTTTGTCTTTTAGCCCTAATTCAGTTCGTAATATCAGAGCTAGAGGGTAAAGGAAGTTGAGAATCCACCTAGATTTTAAAAAAATAATAACTTAAATTTTATTTTTATCTATGAGACCTATGGTTTAATTTGCCTGCCTGATTGATTTTCTCATGAGTGCTCTGTCTCTGAACATGTCGTACTGTAGGGCCTGGGACCCATCACACTGAAGCCACAGTCAGGTTCAGCGGCAATTCCAGTGAAGTGAAATGGAATTTGAAAAAACAACAACTTACAACAAACAAACAAACAAAAATAAAAAAAAAAAGTATTATGCATTGGGTCTATTATCTTTTATTTTTTTTAGGGTATTGATTTATATCGTTATGAGTGTCATGTGTGTGGGCAGCGATACACCCGAGGATCTGGACTAACAAACCATCTAAAGAAGAAACACAAATTCAGCTGGCCAGCTGGTCATCCACGCTTCAGGTTGGACATCAACATGCACATTCTCTTTACTGGTTTCCATTGTCAAAGTGCCAGGCTTTCTCTGGCTGTACTTACATCATCATGCATCCTTGATTTTGTTCTGCAGGTTCACACACAAAAAAATCATTTAGTCTGGGTGAACACTGTAAAATTTGCCAGTATAAAATTGTTTGAATTGCCTTGAATAAAAAACAGTTATTCTCTGAAGTGGAGGTGGTGAGTGGGAGTAATTTACCCAGCCGCGAAGCAGAAAGGTAAATGTCCACCACCAGCCATGGACAGTCAAACAGCCCATCAAACAGCTGCACTGATTTTTGCATCATTGTTGTTTTCATGATGATTATGAATCTGCTCTGCAGAATCAAAAATAGCAAAATTGAAATGAGCAATAAACTGTTGCTGTTGCTGTTGCTGATGATAATGTTGTCGTTGATAATGATGACAATGATGATGATGATGATGATAACGATTTGGCCTATTGACTCCACACAGGTACAAGGAGTGTGATGATGGCATATGCCGCTTACAAACTGTACGCTTTGAAAGCCTCCACCTCTCACAGTTATTAAATGAGCAAGAGGGTCAAACTAACTCTCCTGTGGATAATGCCAGCTCTCCAGCAACTTCAGGGGGATCCCCAGAAACATCTGCGGTGGGATCTCCGTGTTCGAATGTAGAAGACCCACTTGAAGATCAGCGTTTTCAAGATCTCCTCGAACAATATGGGCTGAGTGATAATGGCAGTGAAACGCTAGTTAGAAAGCCAGACAGCTGCGCAGGTCCTATTAGACACTCACCAAAAGGGAGGCCAACTATGGTACACCCCTATGAACGACCTGACTCACCTGAGCTTGACCTGCCTCAAGCGTTGCTTGATCTACATGAGGCTGCAATCAGACTTGCAAATGCCGAGCAGGCAAATTGATACTTTTTGGCACCAAAAAGTATCAATTTCGTATCAAATGTAAAATTTTTGAAATGGATTGCCACAAGGCAGGGTTGTTTCTGTTTTTCTTGGCTTTCACATGAACAGCATCAGGAGTACTTTTACTTAAGGTTCTGTAGGGATGTGCTGTGTAGTTTATCAAACCACAACTGCCTTTATGAAGATAAAACCTTGCCACATTTCTGCCCTTTTCAATGCATAATAATTATCATTGATTTTTGCATCTTTGGTTTGTGACAAACAATGTGATTTGTTTTAGAGGGCAATTTGTATCATTATATTTTGTGGGCGATACACGTACATGATTTTTGTTGATCCCTGGTATGTGAGGGACCATTTGTATAATGGATCCACCACTGGTTTATTGTATAATTATGCTAAAACCTTGTCTGTAATACTATCTAGTTAAGAACAGTCTGTATGTATACAGTACTTTCCTGTGTAATGCTACACTGTATTGTAGTTTGGAAGCAAATTAAACCCCACACCTCTCCCCATGGTTAGTTTTTTAAATAGTAATTAGTAGTTATGAAAGATTTTATTCCAAAGATCACTTTATCATTAAACTGAAAGTCTCCGTGTCAAAACATTCCCCGGCCCCATAATAATATTTTCCTTTTTAGAGGGGAAGTGTTTCATGGAGCTTTTCAATAATTATTGTTATAGAATAAATTTAAATGGTTAAGTATTTTTATTTAAAATATTATGACAGCACACCTTTATTCTTAAAATAAACAGGTTTTTATCCTTGTCCCTGCTGTTTTAATTCACTGTCCTTGGTTTCTTGCCCAGAGTTTATAGCTTAAACTTTACTTAATGGATGTTTATTAATGTAATTTGATGAAATCTCACATTTTGTAGAGTTCTCTTTATCTGGAAAAATTATACTTGTTGTAACATCTTCAATCTTAATGTGTTTGTATGAAGTTGTTGAAGAAAAATTAAATTCTTTTGTCTGTTGGTATTCAAGTCATTGACTGATACACAAAGGGGGGGGGGGGGGGGGTTACCCCCATAAAGTACTATATGGGGAGGCTCCTACCAAAAGGGAACCTTTTTCAAGCTTCAGGCTTATAGGATCGGAGTGGAGGGATTTCATGAGTCGAAGGTTATGAAAGTGCAAGGGTATCTGTCATGTAGGTATCCTTCATTATCTTCATTCCATTAAAGGTTTTAGAAATGGTAAACAGTGTTCGTAAGTAGATATGAGAAAGGGATACTATTTTTCTTTAATTTGAGATGGAATGTAAAGAGATTGAAGGGGTTCATAAAATGGTATTTAAAAGGGTAAGGCATTGAACGTTAGGGCGGAGCCTGCCATGAAAACTTTCTTGAGTAGCCATCCCCACTGACCTTCCACAAGACCTTGAATTACTGGTACTGGGTTATTTTCCAAGAAAAAGAAAAAGAAACAAACAAGAAAATCATCACCCCCATATATAACCTGCCATCTGTAATTGTCCAAAGGCTATTATAAAAGACCCCTTCCCTAAAAAATTTGAGGAACTAATAAATTTCTGCTGTGAAATAATGTTCATTTCTTGTCTTCACCTTAGCTCTTTTTTTTTCTGTTGACAATAACAATAAATTATACACCATGCCAAAACTGATTTTTGATTGCCAAAATTTCTGTAATCAATTAGACTCTGCAAACATTTTTTCCCTTGAACCCTGATATAACAAAGCCCTAGGTATAACGATCGACCCAATTTAAATAAAATATATGGTAATAACCTCGAAATGACGAAACCCCTGACGAAACCTTATCAAAGCAAACACACTGTAGAGCACTGTACCAGCGCTCTTTCAACTTACCCTGTCATGTAAGGAGAATTAACATATCCTCCTTGGTAGCCAGGCCTTAATCTCCGCTTGGGAATCACAAGTTCCATTCAACTCGCGTGAGACAGCGTTCTTCCACTGAAATGGACATGTATTCCATCCAGATAGCCCTGTACTTTCTTTCTTTAGCCTTTAGTCATCGATTCTTGGCACGAGCTGATGATGTGGTTGGTTGTGGTGGTTTTGTGCAGTCTGAAGTTGAAATCAACTACTCCCTCGTGCAGGTAAAATATCGCATAAAGACGAACCTGTCAAAAAACGAAGTCCTGGGGTATAAGGAACGATTTTTTTTACCGCAGTAAGAGTAGATTTACGAAACTATATGAAAAAGAACCTCGATATGACGAAACCGAAGCAACTACAGAGTACAGGGCCATATTTTAAGGTTTATAATTTTAAACAGAAGTGGCTCGGTGACTTGATATATAGTCATGCATGACAAGTGTTTAAAGAACGAGAAAGTTATAAGACATATAAGCTTAACTATGAGACAGATATATAAAAAAAAATACGTAAAGTGCAAAATTTAAAGAGCAAGTAAAGGTATATATTTTTGTGGCTCGGTGGCTTGATGGCTTGGTAGTCAAGTTTAGCATCTTAAAGAACGAGAAAGGTATATATTTCAGTGGCTTGGCTGCTTGGTGGCTCTTCAGTCGGGTTACATAGTTTAGTGGCTTGACATTTTAGTGGCTCGTGAGTCAAGACTACCGAGCCGAGCCTCCGAGCTGCCCCAACGGATATACCCAGAAAATTTGCCTGGCTGTATTCTCGTTATAGCAAACAAAATGTTGCCAATCCCTTGTGCCTTTGTTATATCATGGTTCCACTGTGCAGAGCTTAACAGAGTTTTGTCATCATTAAATTTAACCTAATTGGTCTTGTCTTATTGTATGTGATGGATGCCGATTGCTTTTCATCTCTTGATCTTAATTTGGCATTTTATTAAACACCGTGCAAGAAAACATCTACGGTCCATTCATGCGTTCAGTATGTAATTTTTCCACTGTTTAGAACATTAGCATTCAAAGACCCCCATTTGAAGATTTACAATGTAGGAAATTCTGGGATTGGGGGACTTCAGAGATTTTTATATAGGGGAGCAGCCAAGTTGGTACCTTTGTTTTCTTTAAGAGATCTCCTTTTTTTCTGGAGGGGGACACTTTGATTTTCTATAATTTCTGGGAGAGGGGTTGCAGAGTTTAAATAGAGGGGTCCAATTACATTTGAAGCATAAATCTTGTTAATAATACATGTAGAAAGGCCAGAGTTATATACACTGTACAGTGAAACCTCGTTATAGTGAATATATACGAGTTGTAGTTAATTTTTTATCTCAGGTAATTTTTGTTCTTCTTTTGTTTTTGGGCATGGTAATGTATGCTAATGAAGTCGAAACAAAAGAAAAATAAAAATTACCTGAAAAAAAAAAATAAAATAACTACAACATATATATTTCCAGTCCTTTGGCCGTTTGTAAACATTTTGAGTCACTGAGATAAAGTACATCCTCGAAGACCCAGGGGCAGACAGTGGGGGCGAGAGAAAGTCTAAACGGGCGGGAAAATATGGCACAAAGAAAAGAAAAGAACGGGGAGAACAGCCCCTGGGGACAATGTCTTACCAGACCAGTTCCCAACGGTCGCTGCCGTTCTGCCTTCCGATTGGGCAGAAAAACACAAAAGTTTTCTGGCACTGATCAGAAGCCAGAATGACCACGACAGTTTGGAACTGGTCTGGTAAGACATTTTCCCCAGGGGCTCTTCTCACCGTTCTTTTCTTTTCTTCATGCCATATTTTCCCGCCCGTTTAGACTTTCTCTCTCCCCCACTATCTGCCCCTGGGTCTCCGAGGATGGATAAAGTATGACGAAAATTCAGGCTTGAACTGGACATGGCTCTGCAGTCTGTAACTGGCACAGCTGTTTAACTTACTAAGCTATCCAGCTCAAATGGTAGCTGGTATGATCCTGCAGATTTGTAATATTATACCTGTGAAGGATGACTGTGCACAAAAGAAAATGACTTAACAAGTGCATTGTGAAATTTATGCACTACAGTGGGCCTCGAATAAAGTCTAGTCCCAGAAAAAAGTTTCTTGTCAGGCAAGTAACTTTTAGAGCCCACTTGCCCAGTGGACTAGGGTCCAAGCAAGTCATATCGTAACTAAATCATTATAAATGTAAGACTAGTAATAACCAAAGGTTAGGGAGTGGAGGCAACAACGATTGGAGGTCCAAACGCTTTTGTTTCAATGCTGTGCTTTGCATAAGTTTCATTTGACCAAAGATCAAAACACACGTGATCAGAGTAGAAGGGGTAGAAGTGAAGAAATTGCATTTTGTGCATTCCATTCATACTTAGTGGAATTCCCAACAAATCCTGGCTACATACATGTACATGCGGCGCATGCGTAATCAAAACCTGGAGATTAGGATTGTGGGCTCCTCTTGTTGCCCACAATGAGAAAGAAGTGGCCCCAGATAAGGAAAATGGGAGAGTTGCTTGCCCAAAGGAGAAGCTATCATTCAAGTTTTTTTTTTTACGAGGCCTGTCCCGAATTTTTTGCACTGCAGAATAAAGATTTAAAGAAAGACCATCACGCACATTGGTGGTCTGTTTAGTACATGTATTAAATCTTTTAAAATATTCTGTCTTTATTTTTTCAAGCAATTTTGAGTCTCTCTGAAGCTGTAAGTTATTCTTTTCAAACTATGTTTAATATTGGACAACATCATTCACCTTAAAATTAATTTTGTTATTTAAACAGATGAAGCTGCTTACCAAGCAAGGTATAATCAAGTCTCAGACCGAATGTGCCCCAAATAATGGATACTTCCTTATTCCACTTTATGATAAGGTACTGACGTGTGATGTATGTCAAAATTTTGTTACTTTAGTTTGTTTACTGGGTATACAGTAAATAATGGTCTCTTATAAGCTCTGGACTTACACCCAATACAAAACTACACTGTGTGAATCTTAAAGTTTGGTTTTTTATTGTGATTGTTTTAGGGGACATTTGTTTTAAAGATTGAGCCACCAGTTGGATGGAGCTTTGGTAAGAAAAAATAGAATAAAGATTAATTTTCATTATTTTATTATTTTGATATGATACTTTATAGCAAAGTGGTTTTTAAGCAGCTTTTTTGTTTTTTGGATCAATTGAGGATTCTGAGTATCTGACCACCTACCCCTCCCCTCAGTCTCAATTTTGCCCTAAGCTCGCGAGAAGTAAATGTTCATGTTGACTGAGGGGAGGAGTAGGTGGTCAGTTACCCAGAAACCTCAGTTGATCCTTTTTTACTGTTAATGATTTGATTTTTTTCTGTGCAGATCCAAGCAGTGTTGAGTTGAACATTGATGGTAGCACAGACAAGTGCAGCAAAGGAGAAGACATTAACTTTATTTTTACTGGGTTCACACTATCTGGAAAGGTAAGTTTTGCCCCTTTCAATTCCCTTTTCACTCAGCATGGGGAGTTTAAGTCATGCATGACTTTCTTGTGCATGATTACGCTCAGAAAAAAAAAAAAGGGTAGCTCTTTTTTTCCCCATCATTCAAGATCAGCAATGTAACTGGCCTTCTCTATCAAGATAGATTTTTGAGATCCTAAAATTTACTACCATGGTAACATGACATCACACTTAGAACTCCTCTCTATTTAATTCCATGGTATCCTAATATTTTTGCAAAAAGTACATCACATGACTGCGAGCTGAAAAAGGGACTGTAATGTGCTTTCTGTCCTGGTCATGCAACATGGTAGAACTGGTTTATCATGGTAGACACATTATGATAATATTATTATTTCAATAGTTTGATATCACTTGTATATTTTACTTGAATGTGTTAATTAATGTATGGAAAATTACACAATGTAATAAACTAATTACTTGCAACCATGAATTCTTACGTTGATTTTCTCAATTTTTTTTTGAACCAGGTAATCAGTAAAGGAAGAGAAATTGGCCCAGCAGGAGTAGAAATTTCACTTCATGTAACTTCAGGTTAATAAAAGAAGTTTTTTAATTGAATTTGATTAATCTAGATATAATTACAACAGCCTCATTTTGGTCTACAGGTCTACGCTTTAACAGTGCACATGTACGTTGTAGTATGTGGCAGTTTTCACCCTACAAACTTAAAAGTTGAAGGCCAGCTTGAACTTTCTTGTCCTTTTTAGGTGACAAGGAAAGAAAGACTGTTACAACTGAAGGAGGATTGTAAGTAAAGAATTAACAGTAGTAAAACTGTTTTTGAGGCAAATGATTATTCAAACCTGAGGTACGGACAATGTTTTCATCAGATATTTAGACACACAAAAAGCAGCCTGCAAGCAGAACCTGATCCTTTTGACTACACCTTGATTGAGGATGAGAAACGGAGGCTCTGCCTGAATTGCATCAAGCTTTTGAAGTGGCCACAGCCCAGACTTATGGACTAGTTGATCTTGTTTTTACTTGTCAAACTGGGTTTTTGAGTGAAAGCATACATAAAAAAATCCAATGATCATAACTGAGCTTTCTGTACCAAGCATATGGCTATTAGGCTTGGGAGTAACATGGCCAAGCAGTTAGGTGCATTTAGCGTGTTGGACTTGCCAATTGGAGGCTCCAAGTCCCACCCTAACTGCTGGCTGGATTTTTGTCTCTCTGAGCCTGAGTTTAAATTCTTGGTCTTACTGGTACGTTTGTAAATAGCTTGCCAGTTGCCCCCTGTCAGATACAGTGTAGGATAGATGTTATATATTTACATTATAATTTAAAATGAACAATAATTAATTTATGTTTTTATGAATAATATTAATCTATGTAATTTCAATCAGTGAATTTCCTGGCCCTACTAGGCTTTTCATACTGCCAGGGCAAATGAAGTTTCATTGTAATAATAACATATTGAAGAGTCTAAGCACTAATTACACCTGTCCAATGATTCACAATAAAATCTTAGTTCTGCTGTTGTTTTTCTTGACAGTTTCAGTTTTGCCCGTGTCATGCCTGGAAAATACCAAGTGAAAGCCTCTCATGCCTCTTGGAATTTTGAAAATGTGAGTTAATTGGCAAAGGAGTAAAATCATGGTATCAATATTTAAACAAGATATTATTACATGTATATTAACATTGTAGGATGATCTAAATCTCTGTGATCACTTGGATCGTACATGCATGTAGCACATCTAAAGAACCAACGAATCCACCCTAGGAAAGGATTCATTGGTTCATTATTTTGATGTACCATTATATATCTGGGTGATCTTGGTTCACTGCTACCAATATAATATTATTTAATAATGGTAACCCATTAAGAATAATGGTGTGATTATTGTCCTTGAATTACATGTACCATGTTCAGCTCACAATTGCTTGTGTTTTCACAGGCTGAAACAGAAGTTGTAGTGAAGTCTGGCAATGTCAATGTTGTTGACAAGATGATAGTGTCAGGGTATGATGTCAAGGTTGGTCAGAACTCAATCTGTTGATTAGTCACTTTCATTTATTGTACTCCCTTTTTGCAATCTGCTTACCCTACCCATCTGTTTCCACTTAGATCACACAATATAAGATAATTATTATTCTACACAGATTGCTTTTTCCGCATACTGAATTGTGTATTATCTGCAAAGTTTTTCAAGACAAATTGGCAAAGAAATATTCCTACTCTACAATTTAAATTTTTTGGGCATCACCAATTTTATTTTGACTTTTAACTCAGGGCCATGTTTTAAGTGATGGTGAACCTATCCAAGATGTGGGCTTCCTGTTGTTTTCCAAAACCGTCACTCAGAAGGTATGTTAACGTCAGTGAAAGCAAAGAACTTACACATGTACATGTGAGATAATATAGATCTGCATCTTATGAATGAGGAAGGTTTTGTCTGTCTCATTCTTACCTTTGGTGGGGAAGCACTTCTCAGCCTTTGGCTTTGGCAGACAACCGTCTCCTTGATCTGCATTGTATTTCTTTATATCATACTCAGCCTTGTCCAGTAACATATTCCCTGTTAATTATTAATTTTAGTGTTAAGACAGGGGACAAATATATTTAGTAATAAAAAAAGAATTTATTTAGTGGTTACAGGCTGGGGTGTATTCCTATCAGAAATATTGTGCTATTGATTTTTAGTAAGTACCACCTAACCTGTACTAAATACTCGCTACTTGAAAGTTTAAAAAAATTGTAGCTGTATAACATTAATTAATTGTTAACTGCTGCAGTGTCCATTTAAGCACATATGTGTGTTTTGTGTGTTTGTATTTACTGTGGTTCAATTTTATCCTTGGTTTAAATTAAATTTTCTTTTGTATCAATCTCATCATGATTTATTTCCTTACCTAAACACAAAGGAAAATAACATTGAAACCAAGAATTTTTTGAGCCACAACATACATGGTACTGTAGACTTCTTGTTTCACTTTTTGTCAACTCGAAGAACTTGCCAGGCTGTCAAGAAATTCCCAGTGATGTAATAGAGAACATCAAGAAGAAAACAGACATTGATACACCCTTGTGTCGCGTCAAGTCAGGAGTGGATGGATTGTTTGTATTTCCAAGTGTACCAAGTGGCGAGTACACATTGGTGAGTATTTGACATTTCTTTCAGGAAATTAACATGTCATGTGTACCCACAAAGAAACAAAACCTGTTGAGACAACAGAAATGAACCAAATGCGAAATGAACCGTGATCAGGGCTACAACCTTACCCCAATTTATGGACAGCATGCAAAGAAAGTAGTGTCCGATAGCCCGGGGCTAGTGGATTTTGCTATCGCGCTAGTGAATTCTGTTTTTAACTTGCCCGATGGGCAAGTGATATTTTTTGAAAAATTCAAATAACAGAAGAACTGTGAAGTCAATTCTTCTCGTCAAAAAGCTTTTGGGGCTAGTTGAAATGACGTCTGGGCTAGTAAATGCTAGCTTCAGCTTGCCCGAATGGCAAGCTGTAAAAATGATTTTCTTTGCACCCTGATGGAACAATAAATATTTTCCAGCCTCATTATTTTCTCTGTAATGTACCCCAACTGCAGAATCTTCACTCTGTCAAACAGAGACAAAGTTAAACGTATAATCTGAAATGGAAACTTCGTCTGTGGTGCTTTCCCTAACATCCAAAGAACATCAAGCTAAAATTCTGGCCACTTGGAGGGTTCTTCACAGTTTCACTGTTACTGGCAGATCTCCACCCTTAATACTCCTCTTTCTTAGGTGTCAAGAAGGTCAGAATATACCCAAATGGAAATAAAGGTCTCATGAATGAGCGTTCCACTTATAAATTAATGGTGTGGAAATTAATTTTCAAGAAATTAACGCAACTTACATTGAGATGAATTTTTGAAATTCATGTTAATTTCATGTAGTGGTAATTTCCTATTAAATGGTATTTAATACATAATTATTATTATTGATGCAAGACACTTTTAGTATCTGCTTAGCATTCTAATAATTATGAAGTGAGTTAAGTGATCAGGGCTGTCATAGGCATAACCCCCAGCCTTTTGAAACACTAGGAAAATATGAAAAGCAAAATTATTTTTAACAGTTCAATTCCCCACTTACTAATTGCATCTGCTTGGCAACTTGAAATCATAGTGATAGGCCCTGAGTGATGAAGTGAAATCATTTTTTCACATGGGTATTATTTCACATAATATATTAATCAATTAATGGTATACAGGATACTATTTATTTTTTAATTAACATCTGTTAAGCATTCTAATATGATGTGAATTTGAAGCTCACAACCCTTATGTTCAGCCAAGTAACTTTCACAATTAAATAATTTTAAGTACTTTATTTCCCTTTTGTTTGTTCCAGGTTCCATATTATCAAGGGGAGCTTATTACATTTGACGTTGTTCCTTCCAAACTGACATTCTCTGTCAATTACAAAAGTGTTGTACTCAAGGCAAGTAAGAGATAATATAATTCACCATGAATCATACTGCAGAGTCAGCTGATCGGCAATGTTTATCTCTGCTGTTAAAAAGCCTATTTTGAACTTGTGCAATCATGTAATGTTAGAGCCAAATTTTCCAGAACTATAGTTTAGTTCAGCAAGTATATTAATTTGTCTTATGTATAAGAATTTTAAGAAATAGTTAAGTAAATATAATTAATCTTTATCATCCTCATCATCATCACTTGCAATGTAAAAACTCATGCTGAGAGTTTGAGATGGGTGTGGTGTCTTACATATGTATGTGTCATACTTCCTGATCAGCCAGCTGACTAGCGAGCTCTTTGCTAGACTCTGCCTCTGTTTCTTTGCGGGTATCCAAAATTTTAAGTAAAGGAACGTTCAATACAAAAGAACTAGTAATCAACAAAAGTGCTGTCTTTTGATATTAGTTCAGTCTCCAAAAAGTTTCTGGCCTGGCCCTTCATCAGTGGGGTTTCAAGTAATTTTGTCTGCCATGTGTTGGGTTCCCCTGCAATAATATTATACCATTATCTAAGGGACGGACCATTAGAAAAGTTATTGTGGGGGTGGGGAATTTTCGAGCCGCAGGAATTTTTTTTTTGTTATCAAATTCCTGGTATGAATTTTTTTTTAGGCCATAGCATGAATATTTTTTAGGGTTAATTGGCGTGTATGAATTTTTTTTCATTTAATTTTCCCTTGCGCGAATGTTTTTTTTGTACTTCGCTCGCCTCCCCCCATAAGTTTTCTAATGGTCCGTCCCTAAGTCACTGGCAGGCAGTTCAGGGTGCTGTTGATAATGCCTCCTGTCTACCTGCTGCATACTTGTAAGATGTTCCTTCACCTCACATGTAATTTTGTGACAATAGTGTAGGTAAAGAAGGGTGTTTGGCTTATACAGCATAGCCATTTCTTTTTACGTGTGTAAGTTTGTTGTCACAGGAGAATTAATTTGTTTTTCATAGACTCCTTTTCAAGTCCATGGATTTTCAGTCACTGGCCATATTCTTACACCTGAGGTAAAATAATAGGTAATTAAAGTTACAGTTTTAGCGGACAAAGTTGTCCTTGACCATTAAAACTGATGATGTCACAAGCGGTATCCGCACGGGCGGTTTCGGGCTCGCGGCTCAAGGGCGAATGGGTTAATTTATATTTTCTGTTGTTTTTAGCCACTTATGGCAGTGTATAATAATTAAATAATAGATAAATAAATAAATAACGATTTTGAGGTAGCACATCTACAAAGTGATTCTTCGTCTACCTGATTTCTGGTCGAATTGGAATTTGGAAATGTTGGTTTTTGAGGAGAGGGGAACACCGGATTTCTCGGAGAAAACCCTCACGGAGCAAAGGAGAGAACCAACAACAAACTCAACCCATATTATGGCGTCGACGCCGGGATTTGAACCCGGGCCACATTGGTGGGAGGCGAGCGCCCTCACCACTGTGCCATCGCTAGCTCCCTAATGAAGCAATGGCAAATAGAGTTTGAACCAAGGGTGAAATTGAGCCAAATCATTTATATTTTACATTTTAGGGCCAAGGCATTGGAGGTGTCAGCATTTCTGCTGGGGAGGGATTGACTGCGACAACAACTGCAGAAGGTGTTTATGTATTAAACAACGTCACAGCTGGAGGATACACAATTCAGGTAAGAATCTTCTCAAAATAGGTTTTCATGGCGTGAAGAGGCTAATTAAAATCTCTGTGAAGGTCTAAATCGAAATCTGGGTTACTTACCTGGAAATCCAGGATGGAAAATCTAACATTTCGCACCCCTCCGTTTGGAAAGTTTCAGAAAACATGGGCTTCGTTTTGAGACAATGCGGTTTTTGCTCTTTAGTCCGTTTAGCTGATTTGGGTATAATTTGTAGCGGTTCGTTTTGCCATCACGTCAAATTTTATAGTTTTATGTTTCTGTACACGATTTTCACCCGGATGGTTTGTGTAAATGATAAGCATGTACCCCTGAATCGTTACTGTGCCTTTGCTGCATCCCCAATACTGCTGCCGGTTTCGAAAAACAAGCGACCTGCGTTGTCTAAAAGAGAAGTAATGATTAGATGCCATGGTAACGGTCGTCATGGCATGAAGAAGCTAAAGCTTTGTTAAGTGCTGAGGTCTAATTCGAAATCTTATTCCTACTGTACCTTTGTTATAACCCCAATACAGCTGCCGGTTTCGGAAAACATGCGACCCGCCTTGTCTAAAACGTTTTAGGATTTTCGGTCTTCCTTCCACGTCAATCAACTTCAACTTTAATAGAAATAGTAATTACAATAGAATTAATCAATCAAAAATACATTTCCTTCATCTCAAAGGTTTCGCAAAGCCTTCGTCATGCCGGAGAAATTTGATAAGGGTTAGGGCAGAAATCAAAATTGCTGCCATGGTAAACAAGGTTTTGATTGATGTCGCAGGAATTTTCGCAGGAAACCCGAAAATTCAAAATGCTTTTTGACATTGCCGGTCGCTTGTTATCTAAAAAAAAAAGCTGTAAGCAATATTATATTTCTATTGTTTAGGCAAATAAAGAGAACTACTTCTTCAATCCAATAAAAGTCCAAGTTACTCCTAATACTCCCAGACTGCCAGTCATCTCACCTTTTGCGTAAGTATAAGACATAATTTTGACTGCATTCGTTACTTAACTACTTCTTAAGTTCAAATTCCACTTCCACAATAAACAAAATGGGAACCTCTCTTGCCGTTGATGGAAGTTGAGCTATCGCCACAACAACTTCCACTGATGTAGCAGTTTCTTATTTGGTTATTACAGGTGACAAGAAGAGCCCGCAATCCTAATCTCCAGGGCCAAGTTGTTCAAAGCTGGGTTAAGATAACCCAGGGTTAGTGCGAGATTTGAATTCAGATTTGAAAGCTTAAAAAGCAGTTCAGTCTTAATTCGTTTGGTCTACAAGTTGATAATTGGAAGCTCTAAAAATAACAGAGAAAATTATCCGAGAAAATGCTTTTGAACACAAGAAAAAGAAACCCGGGTTAAATCTAACCCCGGGTTAGCGCTGACCGGCGTTTGAACAACCGGGCCTTGGTTGTATTACGTATGCACCGCATGTATGTAGCCTGCTTCGTTTGGACGGCCTACACTTATTTCCATCCGCCAAACTGACGTTGACACATTAATGATTCGTACACAAAGTAGGGTTAGGGTTAGGGTTTGGGTTAGGGTTAGGGTTAGGGTTATATATTTCAATCAAACAGGTAGTCGTCACCAAATCCTCGGTGGTGTAGGGGTGAGAGTGATGCACTCCAGATCGGGTGCTCTGAGTTCGAATCCTACTCATTCTTTCCTGAATTGTTTTTTTCCTTAAAAATTGAAGACACTTTGACTTTTATGAACATTTCATCAAGAAATTTTATATAAGAAAAGTGAAATGTCTTGTGAGAGGAGGATGTCAGTTTGGTGGATGGAATCAAGTGACGACCCGTTTGGACTTCCACTAAGAATGAATGGAATGCATCGAGCGCAATCTGATCACGCGCGTTTAGAACTTCTATCGCTCGTAACTAATCACGGACGGCATTTGAGCAAAAGCGTTTTGACCTTCCATCGTTGTCGCCCGCACTCCGTAATTTTAGTTATTACTAGTTTCAGGAAGCGTTTGTTTAGTATTTAGTGTTAATTGGTGTATAGCGTAGCAAGTGTGTTGTTAATTCCAGGTGGCGTTGCCTAGTGTTGTGCATTGTGTAGCGCAGAAATGACGTTTTGAGTAGTGTGGTCACTTTCGTAGTTTGTGTTTTGTTTCTTTCTGTTCTGATATGTCACGTTTTTTTATTGTTGCAGAAAAAAAAACTTATAATAATAATAACAAAAAATAAGGCTGCAGGTTAAAAATAAAAAAAAACTCTATTTATCTTAATTTTCAATGTTTTAGGTACCATTTATGTGGAAAACTTAAGTTCGATGAGTTTCCACCAGGAGTTACTCAGGTAAAGTGTTTTTTTTTGTTTGTTTTTTGTTTTTGTTTTGTTTTTTTGGGGGGGGGGGATTGTTTCTATGTAGATATGCTTTGATACATGTTTAAAGATACCATATTGTTGCAATGTACTTCTTTTCCCGAAATTTCCTTTTCGTGGTTTTCAGCAATTTTAAAAAAAATGTGACCCACGAATCTCAAAAATTAACCACACGACCTTTAATACCCATGAGCACATGGTGCAACCAAGTATTGTTTACTTCAATTCCTAGAACACAAGCTGCGGGGGTTATTTTATGGTTGCAAAAATTTCTACTGTCGAACTGTTCAGTCAGTCAACCATTTCTATGCAATATGATTACTTTGACACATGAACTCTTCTGCTCCCCGAGTGAATGATAGAGTATTGTGAGGTTGCTTTTACTTCTGTGAACGAGATCCTTCAATTGCCGAAACCTCAGTACTTTCACACGGTACTTTTTTTGTTTTTTAGCATTTACATAATGAAATTTAAAATTTTGATGTATTTAAGGTGACTCGACCCAGTTTTTTGGGGGGCGTACCATCCTACTTTGAAATTCTCTGGTATCCCCACCTTTACTTTTATCGTAAGTCTAACACATAGAATGGATAACATATAGATCATTCTACAATATAACATAAAATTTTGGGCGATCGGAGTAAATGTCACGTGGTTATAATGCCACGCCCCTTTGAGGTCTGAGTTGAAAATCTGCTGTTGCCGGCATTTTTTCGTGAAAATCTCTCGTCTACACATAGTGCGCATTAGTGCCTTGCGCTGAACAGAGTTTCACCAAAATCGCAAAGACCCAATTCGAGAAATTCAGCGGTTTCCAAATTTAGGTCATAATTTATGCGAAAATGATAAGCAAACTTTACACGATTATATCTAATAAACTATGAGATTCATCCCTTTATTTTGGGCATCGTTATAACAGATAGGTCCTTGCAAGTCAGCAAAACGCTTTAGGGCCTTGTAAATGCGCGCGATTTCGAGCAAAGCAAACATATAGAAATTATAGTTTTCGCTATTTGTTGACGTTTGTCAGCGTTTAAGAGTCCTTCTCACGAAAAAAGCATTTTCTTAAAAATTCGTAGTTTTTTTTCCTTCAAATTTTTTCAGGGCCACAATTGATTAACTAACTACCCGGATTCTGTATTTCATGGTCATTGAATGAGATGACTGCCGACTATCTAACATCTAAATTTGTATCTCATGACGAAATAACTTCCTATCGATTGAGGAATACTGAAAATAAATTAGTCCTTCCACTGCCCCGTACCAATTATTTAAAGAAAAGTTTCTCCTATAGCGGAGCTAAGCTGTGGAACAGCCTATCCCATGAGTTAAGATCTGCAGATTCTTTACGTGTTTAAATAAAGTTATCCATCTATATATCTATCTATCTATCTATATATCTATCTATCTATCTATCTGTCTGTCTGTCTGTCTGTCTGTCTGTCTGTCTGTCTGTCTGTCTGTCTATCTGTTTCATCACCAGATGAAGCACTGAGAAAAGAGTTGAAAATACGATGCGCAGCGGAGTATTTTTGACGAACTTCGAGGTGTTTCATCTGGTGTTCCCCGGGGTACCAGAGGTTTTTCTCGCGTGCGGCGGGAATTTTCGGTGTTGGCCGAAGGCCGACACATCTTCGGCCGTAGGCCGTAGGCGCGGGTCACTATAAAGACTTGACAGAAACCGGAAACCGCGCTAGAAAAGTCTCTGGCACCCAGGGTAATCTGGTGTTGAAACGCTGTGTTGAATGCTTGATATTACTTCTCAAACAAAATTAAGAGAGAAGAGAAGCTTGTTTGCAAAGTTGTTTTCTCTTTATAAACGTACTAGAAAGTCCGATCTAACTCACTATTACAATGTACCTTTCTGTATTTTTTCGTCCTTCATGCAAGCCTATCTCTTTGCTATCAACATGCCATTATAACTTGTTTCTATTGTTTCACAGTTAAAGGGTCGTAAGATGATTCTGCAGACAGAGGGAGCATCAATAGCAACACGATCAATGTCGACTTCAGTTGATGCAAACGGCGCCTTTTGCTTTAAAGTTGCAGCAGGAGTTCATTCCATTCAGGTAGTCAAATCTTGTCACTGATATTTTTACTCACAGTGCATTAATTTGAAGTTGTAAGTGATAAAGCTCATAAAATAAGACGAAACAATGATCAAAAAATATATTAAACGTGAAAGTGTCTTCATATGCAAGATGATAAACATTTTTACAGAATTTAAGGGTGCTCTTATATTTGCAGGAACTAAATTTTGCGTTTTTTTGTGACTGGTCAGCAAATTGCAAACTTTAGTTGCCGCAATAATTTGTGCTCGCGAAATTCGCCCTATTTTGCATCCAAATCTTGTAGTTGCAGTTTCCAAAATTGCACAATTTTAGCACCGCAAGCAATGGTATGCTCACGGTACTCTCTTTTGAAACCCCTGTCCACTTCTCCTACTCTTTGCTTTATAAAGCCCATGCATATTACATCCACGTACCTGCCCAAAGAAGACGAGGCATTCAATTTGAATAGTTTTTTGAGGATTTAGTCAGTCGTATATTGCAGTGTGTAAGCGCCGCGGTGCTTATTAAATCTTTCACGCCTCAAATGCTGCGCTCATTCGAGGGCAGCGCTTATTTGAGGGCGGCGTTAATTTGAAGGTTGGACGCGGCAAAGAATTGTAGAAAAAACGGTATTGTTATTTTCCGTATTAAAGTAACAGAATTGACGTCTTTTGATTTTGATCATATCAGGGCCGCGGTGCTTATTCGGAGGCGGCGCTTTTTTTTTCCAAATGCGGCGCTTTATCGGAGGCGGCGCTATACGGTACATGTAAAACTTGTGCTGCGCGGCGCCAGATGCAGAAAAGAAGCTAAATGAGAAAAAAAAAATCTGCGTCAACGCTAATTCCTGATGAGTTATAAGGGGTAAGGAAGCGAATGACACAGAAACTGACGTTGTAGTTCGAAATCGAATTCAGGTCAAAAACTCTAATTGGTGGAAATCATGATTAATAAGGGTTAGGAGACAAAGGAAATTGAGAGCCAATTGTGGTTGAATTCATGGACCTGAATTTCATTTCGAACTACAACATTTATTTTAGAGTACTTCGCTTCCACGTTACCCTGGGTGCTAGAGGCTTTTCATGCACGGTTTCCTTTTTCGGTCAAGTCGTGTCTTCGGCGAACTCGTGTCGGCCTGCGGCCGACGATACGAAGCTCCTCGTCGCACGCGAGAAAAAACCTCTGGTACCCAGGGTACTTCCACGTCTCTCATTCGTCAGAAACTACATTTTGTGTGTATGCATGTGGTTGGAATCTTTCAGCCTATAATAACATTACAAGAAGTCAATGCGGGTCTGGCGTTAACACCTAAAGAGCAAGTAGTAACAGTGACTTCCCGTCCCGTGCTTGGCATAACCTTCTCACAGTTTAGGGCTACCGTTACAGGAAGTGTCAAGTGTATTGGTAAGTTACACGTCATAGCTGTTGGCTCATCTTATACCTGCGGGGGGTCCTGCCTATTTATAGATTTGTGCCGCTGTGAAGGGAAGGGTTTTCAAGCGGCTTTTCCTAGGTTAGGTTAACGAAATCAGAGGATTTTGGTTTAGAATAGGTATCGTTTATTATAGCAAGTTGATCTGTGGTACAACACAACGTAAGAAGAGTTGTATTTTCCTTTTCACAATTAATCTGGGATAGGGTAGGGATTCTTGGTGTCTGACCTAGAATTGTGTAAGAAGATTAAACTTGGTCGGGTATAGAGGTACACTCCCTCCCCAAAAATTTCGAGTTAATACCTGACGCTTTCGTTCCTTCTCTAAAACCGTATCGGATAGGCCTTCATTCTGCGATCCAGTTATGATAGCAAAAAATGATACTGTCTATAGTAAGATAAAAACAATTGCGGTTTAAACTTTTAGTACTGAATTAAAACTAATAGACCTTTCGGGATAAGCGGACCTGGAGTACTTCCATTCCCTGGACGAGAAGGTGGCACTTGTGTTGACCAAGCAGATGGCATAATCCTTCTTATGTCTTATTCTTATTTTTTCTTCGTAATGCTTTGTCGTTTGCAAAGTTTAATAACTGTTGTCCCCAAATTCGTCATTCTTTATGTTTGTACCGTTTTATCTAGAATTCATTTGATATTACATGGGTTATGCAACGTAGTCACGTTCACTATGCAAGACATGTTTAGCGCGCTCTCCCTCATGTTCCTTTCTTGTTTCAGGCGGGTCGTGTGCTGGTGTCTCTGTGTCACTTCAATCAGTGTCTAATCCAAGTTTACCAAAACTAGACACGAAGGTATTGAGCTAAAATACTATTTTTTTTTACCAAAAAGATGAAACAAGATCGCCCCCCCCCCTCCTCCTAACCTGAGATCAGGCCTAGTTTTAGCGGTCCTCATACTTTCTCTCTAACGGCTACCGCTAAAAATTTTCGTTTCGCCTTGCCCGCCGGAATGTTAATTACAAAGCGAAACGAAAATTGAGCCTGATCTCAGGTTATGCACCCCCGGCTCCCTCCCTCCAAAAAAATCCAAGAATTGCGATGATTGAAAGGCGATGATTGAACCAGTGGGCTACCTTCCCTTTTAAATTGTGTTTCAATTTGGTTCGAAAAATTAAATTTCTGAAATTTTTAGTCAGTTAGACCGAAACAATCTATTCAGGTATGGACTTAATTTTTGGATAACTTAAAATTGAAATCGGAATAGTCAAAATAAATGGGGTATCAAATTTCCGAGAAGACGGAAAAACTGTTCACTTTCAAAAGTGGACTTTCTGAATTTCAGTTTGAACTTGTCCATTTAGAAAGGACCGAAATCTTAAAGTTTGGTTAAGGGATCGCACCTTCAAAAGCGTTAATTTTTCTAAGGCCATTTTACATCCTTTTTTATTGCGAACGTTTGCCTCAAAACTCATAATCGTCATTGCCATTGCATGCTTTTTTCGCAAATTTTTAGGTTTCTGGAGGTTCCTTCGTCTTCAAAGATGTTTTCCCTGGACATTATAAAGGTACGAACTACAGCCATTGTGGGCCTCTATACCACAATGTATTAATAAGCAACATTACTGAAAACTAGTGTGTAGTCTTTGTCATACATTCAAAATACAACCACAGAGATCTGGATAAACTTATTTGCTTTTAAAGTTAGGTGTTATTGGGCCATTATTGCGTTTGACGTAGGAGAACGCATTCTGATCTGCTGGTTGTACTGGGTTACTTAGCGGTGACACTGCGGTTTTCATCGTCCTTGCTGTTCGTGTACCACTTCAGTGGCATCTTGAAGACCATATCCTAGTTTCGTTCCCTAAACGAGGGTAGGTGCGAAATCTTTGACATCAAAATTGAAAGGGTTTCTTTTCTCATTCAAATACAGTTCGTGTGCATATGAAAAAGTTTGCGCGCGGCCTCATGTTGAAAGTGATGGTTTCTGGAAATTGAAAATGGCCTGTAATTACGTCGATAACAACCCAACGCCTCGCGTAAAGTGAATATTTGTCCTTCAGGTCACTCTGTCTCCAACTCTGAATGTCCCGATCCCACGCTAAATGCTGAGCTTAGTCAGCCAGTTGCCTTTAGTTAAACTCAAGGATCAACTCTGCTACGTACAGACCAAAGCACTTCATAATCATTGACTTCTAGTTCTTGATAAGAACGTTCCAACTCCGATATATAAACGAATCGATACGGGACTGAAAAAGTCATTAGTTATACGGGTCGACGCTATATTGGGGTGTTCGTTATTTTGGGGTTTGTTGTAGCGGGTTTGTTCGTTGTAAAGGGGTTTTCCGTATCGAGGTGTTCGAAATTGCGGGATCTTGTTATTTAGGGGTTCGTTATATCGGTGCTCCCACTGAGATATAGAAATGTTTGCAGTAAAAAAGAATTGTTTGAAGAATTTCTCCTCTACATTTTTATGTGATAAGAGACATTCTAACAACGGCACTTTTCTTATCGCAGCAACGGTCCTGGAAGAGTCCTGGTGCTGGCAAAACGAAACTCTAGAGTTCCAAGTCTCAGAAACAGATACCAGTGATCTACAGTTCGTCCAGTCAGGATATATACTGAAATGTATCCTGTCACACAACATCACATTGGTATGTTATGCTGTATAGCTTAAAATGGCTACAAAGATTAGCTTAATGTGATGCTTGAAGCATCGCGAGACAGGAATGATATACAGTACTTTCGGAGATGTGCAAAGATAACTTTTCTTTGTTTGGGTCTTAGTTCTTCTCGCAGGGATCTGGTAAGGACAACAAGGACTTCTTCGACCTTCAAAAAGGCACCAATACATTTTGTTTGAAAGAACCAGGTAAACACGATCATAATCATTATGAAGCTATTTTGGTTTGATATCAAAATTCAGCCAACATGAGATGGCCACGTCTATTAACACATCCCTCAACGACGTACCTCTTCTAGTCTCCGGCAAAAGAGGACTTCGTTAAATGTCAATGTTGATTTTAGCTGGCAAGGGCGTGCGAGGGAAAGGCAGTACCTTCAATTCTCAGTTAATTTAAGAACCTGATGGTTGGTCCGGTCGCGAGAATCGAAGCCGGGAACTCCCGCTCTGCAGGCCGAACTAATCCTGCCAGGGTCAAAAGGGAAGGAGGCGCCCGTCTTTATTTTGCCTATGTATTTTGTCCATTGCCCTATGCAGGCTTGAAAAACAGGGGGTTGGCCTCGTCCATGGGCCAATTCGTGGGTGAATGAAAGAGGCTTGGAGCCGAGCGCACTGTAGCGCAAGTTCCAGGCGAATTCTTCCGACAAGCTTGACAGGTGACCTCACACCTCACACATCACACATCTTATTGCCCCCCCCCCCCCCCCTCCCTTCCCCCTCCACCTTTCCTCCGTCCCGGGTACCACATTCTCATTTTTTCAGTGCTCTGATGATAAATGCAAAAAAAAAATTAATTTGATTTGTTCTCTGACCTTGATTGGTAGGTGTATACAATCTCATCCCTCGTTCATGTCACCAGTTTGATCAAGAAGTATTTATCTACAACACGTAAGTCTTGCTTTCTCGTTCATATCACCAGTTTGATCAAGAAGTATTTATCTACAACTCGTAGATCTTGCTTTTTTTGCACGGCCATTTAGACAACTCATTAGAGACCTTAAGATACCCCGAAATCGGTGAACGGGTAACGGGTAGCGCCATGTTTTTTTCATTTTGTGGTGACGTCATCGACCTTACCCGGTAGAACCAGCCGTTTTTCCGGGGTAGACACCAGTTTACCCGTAGAAGATTTACGAGTAGCTGCAAGTCCTACATGATGGAGAAACGAGTAAGTTTTTAACACTTTTTAAGTACAAATGTAAATTGTATGACTCCTTGGCAATGTTATTGCAAGTCTGTTCAAATATTTTTGCCAAATTTGAATTTTAGCTGTAAAGAAAGCGCTTCAAAATGTATTGATTTTGGACCTCACGTGCGCAGGTTGAACTCTGGCACGATATCAATTTGTGGCGGTATTTGGGGGAATTTCTGAGAATTGCTCGAACGTTTGAGTTTCGCAAAAGAAATAGCATTGAAAAATTTAGCATGGGAGTCACTGTTGAAGTTGACAATCAAAGGAATTGTTTGGTGATGTGCCTCGATCAAATGGCGGGGTTTGCGATAACAAGCTTTCGGTCGAGGGACTTCCCGCCAAGTTTCTTAAAATCTTTCTATGATATTTCAATAAGCTTATGTATGAATGAATTATTTGTTGCAGCTTGTTGTTAAGATATGAAGTGTAGAATTTGAGGGAGATTTTGTATGCATTAAGCGACATGCATGTACAAAGTTAATTTTGCGTGCTTGTTCTTCGGGTATCTTAATCGAAATAGTCACGCACATGAACATTTTACGTGTACGGGTACACTACCCGTACCCGTACACCGATATCGGGGTATCTTAAGGTCTCCATTTTTTTGTGGATAGGTGTGATAGTTTCTCTATTCACCTTGAAAGAGGGTTTAAAAAGTTAAAGTTAAGTATAGTTTTCGTGTGATTCATTACCCCTTTGGGTCAGAAGTGGATACGCAGCAGTTATTGGGCGAGGCTACGTAACAAAAGCCAAATCCAATAATTATTATTTTTTCAAAATATTTCCTAGGTCAAGACATGCTAACCTTTAAGTGCCCGTCTTCAAAATATTGCCTTTTCCACGGAAGTTGGCTGTTTCAGGATGCCATAAACGAAAAAAGGGAAAAAAAGACAAATTGTGATCTCCACTGTTACTTTCCTTTATCCCGTATCAATTATCGGTACCACTACCTGTAAAGGATTTTGGTTAACCAATTTTCTCTTTTTTAGCTCGGCCCCATCAGTCCTTACACTGACTGCTGTAAAACATTTGCTGTCTGGAGTTATCAAGACCCTGACTGAAACAAACGACATCACAGTTAATATCAGGTCAGATTTAAAATTACATATATTCAGTCAACTCTCACCTAGCGATTTTCGCTGGATGTTCCGCACACCCCAATAATACGGACACCAGCTATATCAACCTCGTTCCCATGGTCCTCACCTACTCTTCCGCCGTCCCCTCTCTCGCTCCGGGGGACGAGTAGAAGATGACCCTGGGAACGAAGTTGCAGCTAAATCCTTAGCAAAAGTAAGTTTCAGAGGTTTGAATGACGTGAGATTGAGTGACCCGCAGCGGTACAAATTTATTGGAACCAAAGAAAGTTTTTACATATGAAGAAGGTTCAGCTCGCACAGAACTGGTTTAGAACACCAACATGGCCGCCTTTTCATTGTTTTGGAACACCAATATGGCTGCCTTATCATCATAATCATAATCGTAATAACGGGGGTGACAACTTTCCTCACTTGCCGCCAATGGCTGAATTGCAGAGGAACCAGAGACGTGAGATCGGACGTCAGCATGTAAAGGTGCACTATGCTGCTGCTTCAGTCCATGTTTGATATCATCTCACCCACCCAGACCAGTAACGGCAGATACTCCCTACTCTTTTTGAACAATATCGCACGTTTCTATTCCAATTTTCTAGTTTCTATTCTATTCCTTCCAACTGATATGTAAGGATGAAGGAGACAAGGCCAACGGCTTAACGTCACCGCCCAATGACGCGATCATCTGAACTGAGTTGATGGTCCAGGCGGGGTTTGAGCCCACGGCTTCCCGATCAGCAGACCAGCACTCTTCCAACTAAGCTAAGGGACATACAGCCCCAACACCGACGCAAACTCACGTGCTACACCGATAAGAACCTGACGAACTGACAACGAAGGCGCTAGTGAAAACCTCACCAAAATACTGACTCGTGTCCTTATTCGTGTCGCTTATTCCAACTCGTTCAGTCCTTTTTTAAAAAGTTAGGAAATTAGGTTTGAGCTGAAAGGAGAAGACTGCGCCCGAGCTCAGAAAGATACAGTAGAATTGTTCGCCTTGCCGTTCGCGTTCTAAAGAGAACTTAAAATTTGGTCATTTTACGTCATACTTTTTCATGAACGGCAAAGAAATTGGTAGAAAAGCGTGATGCTCGTGAAGATTTGTTTTACTCGTCAAACCTACTGCTTTTTTGGCGTCTTCGTTTTCGTCGCACTTGTAGCTCCGCAAGGTCCCTAATATGGCAAGTGACGTCACGTAAAAAATTTCTATTCGGTGACTGAAAATGATTTGTGTGCCACATAACGTGAATACTTTGTTATCAACAGGTCCCTTAAGTCTAAGGAAGTGACAACTATTAGACCATTAAAATTGGAAACACAGAAGCAAGAACAAGGAGGAGATCCAATCAAAAGTAAACAGAAAGATGTGAAACAGGAGCTGCTCTACAACTTTTCACACTGGGGAAGGTAGTTATTCCATTTCATTATTAAAATTTTATTGATCTGATTAATTGTTTATGGTTTATGATGTGTTCTGTGATTGACTACAACGTTTCATTAGTTATGGGTATAAGTGTGATGTAAAAGCGTTTTTTTTCAAAAAATAGTTAGGGCGACGCGTATGTCTTTGTCCCTACCAAGGGACTCCTCGGAGGCCTTTTAAACTGCTTAGCTCGTTAAACATCGAGCTAAGAGGTTGTTTTGCCTGATTAGTGGTCTAAAAAGACCCTGATGAGTGCTCTAACTGGGACGACGTGCATGTATATTTGGCTAGCTATGTTAAAAAAAACTAAGTGATTAGCATTTTTTTTTAGGCGTGGTGAGGAATTTGAAGTCACTCCTACCTCGTCTGAGCTTCTGTTTTATCCTCCAAGTAGAACTGTAACCGTTTCTGGTAAGGGTTGAACTCTTGTGTTTATTGACAAATACTGCTTAGTAAGGGTAGGATTGGCGCAGTGAGGAGAGCAGATTAACAAAACAAGATGCTGCCATAGCGTATACATGGGCTTTCCTTTGGGATTAGAGCCTTCGTTCAGTTTAGAGAAAATGCTTGAAGATATACGCTTACAACCATAGGTGCACAGCGCTCCCCGTTCAGTACTCGACAATAAGATATAGAAAGTATTTGCACAGGAAGCCAAAGTTATAAGATGATGTTTTCTCATGTCTGTTTTTGTTGTCCTTAGATGATTGTCCAGCAGCATGGGCCGAGTTTGAAGGTCGCCAGGGAGTGTTTATTGAAGGACAAGTCACCCCACCCCTGAGCGGTGTTGAAATTGTTATTTCATCAGCAGGCGACAGAGCTATGTCGGACATAAAAGTTCAAACGGATAATAAAGGGAAATATAGGTTGGTGCCTCATTTTATGAGTGCCCAGTAAACAAAAATCGATATAATTTTCACAAGGAAATGACCAATAATTGAGTGATAAGCTGAAAAACCTCGAAGTTTTTCTTTTAACTCAATGCTCAAAGTTTTTATCCGTAAACTCAAGAAAAAACTAAGTTATGTAGCGTAATATGCAGTACCACAGGAAAGTACTGCTCAGTAGCTTTCATCTGATTGATCACACCTAAGTACCGTAAAATTTCGAAAGTAAACCCTGGGGCTTATATTTTTCAAAGGCCCTTTTTGAAGGGCTTATATTCAGAGAGGCTTATGTACGGAGGGAGATTTGTGCTTCAAAATCGATTGGGCTAGCTTGTAGTGGGAAGGAAATTTACCATTTTTGCTTTGTTTTTACTTTGTATTCGAGTGCAAATTCCAAGTACAAGCCCCCCAGGGGGCTTATATTCGGAGGGGCGATTTAACGGTGGGTTTTTGCGTTACGAATTTGGGGGCCTTATATTTGGAAGGGCTTATACATTGAGGGGCTTATTTTCGGAATTTTACGGTATTTCATCCACAGACTCAAAAGTTAGTGCCATCTTGCACAGCATTATAAACAGAACAACAATAAAGTAGTTTTAAGTCGCTTTCATTTGAACAGTCACGCTGAAAGATTTTAGTTTAAAGCACCATCAATTGTATGATCACACTTTATAATAAGGGTTCGATCCATGTAGTCAAATATTAGAGCCAAATGTTTTATACTGTGTCTTCGTAGTGTTTCCCTTAGATTATTGTTTATGTTATTTTATTTTTTGGCAGAGTGGGTCCCCTTCATGGTGGCATTGAGTATTCTTTGGTAAGGGAATAGTTATCACTATAATGTAAATGTACAGTCAATTGTCGTTTTGTGGACACCTTGCTTTTATTCAACACCCCAATAGGATGGACTTGAGCTAAGTAGAAGCGTTTGGCTGAAGTAAACTACTTTTATTGCTTTTTCAACGATTGGACCTTACAAAGCACTCGGACTCAAAATGTTAGCTGTCGGATGTTTTTGTTTTGTTGTTGTTGTTGTTGTTGTTGTTGTTGTTGTTAATAAATTGACGTGGAAAATGTGAATTTTTACAATAACTGAGTTATTTCTCGCGTGCTTACTGGCTAAATTTTTTATCATCAATAAGAGGACAGACAAGTAAAATTTCAATTTGTGCAACACGATCATTTGCAGAACATGAATGCTTTTGGCTTAGTTTCGTACGTAGATGATTCATTTTCTGACTATCGTGAGAAATAGCTAGATCGCTCTGATGCAAGACTTGCATCCTGTTTGGAATATTGATAAAAAGCTCAAGTAGCTCAGTGGTGTGGTATCTGGTTTAGTAACCAGAAGATCATTGCAGGTTCGACTGTTGGGAGAACTCTGATTTTTCTTCATTTATTTAGTTATTTATTATCGGGTTACCTATATCTGTGACTAAAGAGACACAATTCTCATGTTTTGATGTTTTAGACCGCAAGTAAAGTAGGATATGCTCTGAGTCCCCTGACCGAGAAAAAAGGAGATTTTCAAGCCTTAAAACTGGGAAGAATTGACATACAGGTAAGAAGAGGACCAAGTGCTAGGGCACGCGACGCTAAAGAAGTTACAATCGGTGACATGAGTAGTTGAGAATTTGTCGACAACGACATTTCTTACGTTTTATGAACAACACCATCTACTTCACGGGAAAAAAAAAAATAGCAAGCGTTCCTTTTTCCCACTCCTCCTGTACAATATTGTGCCACAGTTCAAACAAGCTTGCTTTGTTTGGGGTGAGGTTTAAACATTGCTTTTTTTTTTTTCGAAATAAACCCTATTTGACCGCGACACAATTATGTCGACGATTGTTGTTTGTTTTGTTTGTTTTATTTTTATTTTTGGTGTTTCCTGAACAAAACTTACGCTCTCAAAGCAGAGAAAGATGACAACTCAGAAATGCAAATCACGGTTTTATTTAAGATCAAGACCATTTTTTAGTTGTTGAATAATTTCTTTATTCTGATGACCTTAACGTGTGATTTAGTAACATTTAATTGGATACTGGTTGCTCTTAGAGATTAACCGCTTAATAGAGTTCATATTTACAGTTTTTAGTTAATCGGACAACGTTCGGGTACTTTTTCAATTGAACGCTTTCTTCACTTTATTCACCACAGGTTACAGATGAGAATGATCAGCCCTTACCAGCAGTCCTATTGTCTCTGAGTGCCAGTCAGTTCCGAAGTAACAATTTTTCATTGGAAAATGGTACCATGGTTTTTGCTAACTTGGTGGGTTTGTCACGTTGTATCTTGCTCAAACTGCTGCGTTTTAATGGTTCTTTCAGTTTCCGAAACGTTCTTAAATTTTGTGCATCATGTGTTGTCTTTCTAGGGTCCTGGCCAGTATTTTTTCCGACCGATGCTGAAAGAGTATATCTTCTCACCTGCTTCACAGGTTTGTTTACTTTTTTGCCGGTGTACAATATTCATAAAAATAACATTTTTTGCAAAAGGTCTGCCAAGGAGTTTTTGTTTGAATGGAAACGAAACGGATTTAAAAGTTGGAGCCATAACTTGAACTAAGGATGAAACTGTAGTAAGGAATAATGTTTAAAGAAATACCTGGAACTGTGTCAACCAATTTAGCCACATTCAGTCATTGATTACTGGCCACAAAGGGCCTAAAATAATACAGTGAAAGAACATTATGACATAGCAAATACAGAAGAGAACACGGATGGAAAACGTTGAAGAACAATACCTCGATATAATTATTGTTTTGGTTCATTTTTATTTGTTTTTTTTGAAAATTCCTTTAATCCAGGTGTTCGATTTAACCATCCCTCGATACTGCGAAAAAATTTCCCCTGTCCCTTGGCACTTCGTTAAATCGAGGTTCCACTGTATTTCCCTCTGCCTTAGGATCAGGTATGAATTTTATTGACTCGAAACTGGCCAGTTTTAAGAACCATTAAACGTGTAGGTCTCTCTTATGTTGTGCTCTTCTGTTAGGTGATTGATGTGGGTGAAGGTTCCACCGTTCAGCTGCAAGTGAAAGGAAAGCGCGTCGCCTTTAGGTAAGCTATTGGAATACGAAATGTTGGTGAAAGAAAATCGGGCTGTTGAACTGTTAGTTTCGGGCACACAAATAGACCCAACCCATACTCACCTTTAACCGCTTCAACAAGCTTTATAATTTATTTCTGAGGTAAGGTAAAGACGCACACGAGCCATGGGCCCACACAGCCGGAGCTTATCCCGGTTTCATTAGCATGAAGCATGCCCAGGAGTATTGCTACTCTTCCTGGACGGGATGCTAGTCCATCGCAGGTTTACCCACCAGCAGTATGTCGCCGGTACCCATTTATACACCTGGGTGAAGAGAGACAAAGTGGAGTTAAGTTCCTTGTCCAAGGAAACAACGCGACGGGCGGGTCTTGAACCCCTGACCTCCAGATCCGGAGTTCGAGGTCTTAACCACTTGGCCACACACGCCTTCTTAAGCTTTAAAATAACCCCCCTTTAAAGTAATTCAAGCATTTGCGTCAAATGTTGGTAAAAACCCCCACTTTATTTAAGTGTCAGTGATAGTAGCACAAAAGTACTAAGAAGACACTGACTTTGTGTCTACTGGAAACGGGACCGCCATTTCTACGTGGCTATCCGAGCCACGAGAAGGTCTAGCAGTTTACACCGTTTTTGTGAGTGTTGTACCGGCCTCGGACGTCGAACCCGTGACGTCACTCTATGCAGTCCGGCCTTGCCGCGGTCTCTGATCCTTCAGGATGTGAAATGACTTTTTTACTAACATCGTGACTGTCATTTTCTCCTCTTAGCTGCTTTGGTTTTGTGTCATCGCTAAACGGCGAGCCGGAAAAAGGCATTGCTGTCGAGGTTTGTTGATGTTTTAACAATTTTGTCAGTAAAAACAAGACTTTTTTTTTAATGCATTTTTTTTGCGTTTTGTTTTCTTGTATTAACAAGGCCATTGGACTGGAAAGCTGTGAATCCTTTCAAGAAGAAACAGTTTCAGATGACGAGGGACAATATCGGTTACGAGGCCTTCAGGTCAGTTCAGTCAAAATGATTGAACTTTTTTTTTTTAATAGTCTGTTAGCGCAATTCAGCTAAGCACCTCCCCTTACTCGCCTCTTCCTGAAAGGAAGACCGAGTGTTTACTTCAACAATTAACTGAAATGGTTTTATTATTATTATTATTATTTATTATTATTATTATTATTATTATCATTATTATTATTATTTATTATCATTATTATTATTATTATCATCATTGTCAATGTTATCAATGAATTTAAATGCAATTTAAAGGATTTAACAACTAAGAGCGCCTGGGTGCCTAGGTCAGCGGTCTTTGGCATGCGCATGCCCGGTGGCTGACTACATCGATCATGTGATTCCTTGGCGCGTTCAGTTTTCCCTTCGTGCTGGGTTCTGTCGCCCATTTTCTTCCCCTCCCGCCCTCCCACTAGGCTTGTTGGGTTTTCCTCCACTGATGTTTGTCAGTGTGACGGGTGCCTGTTCCTTTCCTTTGGTGTGGGGGCTCATGGCTGGGTTGCGCTGTTGTGCCAGTCATGGGGGCATTATTTCAATCTAGGGGCTGGCTGCCAATAGTGGAAGCCCCTGGATACTTCAGGCACCCAACCTCCATTTTAGCGATGCAGTTGTTAATTATCATTATCATTATCATTTATTTTTTGTCATTTGTCATTTATTTATTTGTCCTTTCTCAGACTAATTTCAAAATAATCATAGAATAATTATACCTTGGCAGGAGCTCTCAACAAACCCATAAATTAAGTACGATTAAATGAAACGTTTTCAGGTCCTTATGTTATTAGTTTTAGTTATTGCGCATTGTTACTTTCTGGTAAAGGCGTAGGACGACAATAATTTTTGAAATTTCCGTTATATCAAATTAATCACGTTATACTGTCATGCTATATTTTGGGGGTAGAGGGATTGGGAAAAAATGCCCCAGTTAAATATAGTGCCAATCGTTTCTTGTTTCAAAAGGCTAACGTGCCTATTTTTATCCATCGTGATAGAAGTTACTATACATCCCCGACTTAAACTAATATCTTGAAAACAGACTTGCAACGTAAACCCCATTGTTGCCTGGAGTATATGTTTTAGTCACTGCCCTTACATTTATGTTGTCTTTTGTCACTACTCATGAACGTTCAAGACTAATTTAACCTAGACGATCACACATCTTTGAATGACATTATAGACAATTTCTCTCTATCCCATTCCGCGGAATAGGAGTAGCTATACACTCGAGCTGGAAAAAAGTGTACTTATAATCTATACTTGCCAAAATTTTAAACTTCTGCATCGCCTAGTCGGCAGCCTAGTAAACCCCCATTATGGAGGTCTTGTTATCACGTCATGGCGAAATTGCTTCTCAAAATTTAAGGTAAAAGACAGAGATTCATTTTCTCGCACCCAGTGACAGTTTCAGTCGTTCACGCGAACCTGGTTTTAGATGTCACTATCTTACTTTTTTCAGCCTGGCTGCATCTATAGAGTCCGAGTGAAGACTGGGGATAGTAATCCACATATTGAACGCGCCTCGCCGTCGTTTATCGACATACAGGTAATGGGTGTTTGTACGGCATACCGATAAGTAACACGCTTAAGTGCTGTTCAGTACCTTTCATTTCAAAGGTCACACTTAATAGTAACCTTGTACAGCGTTATAAACTATATTGAACTACTCTATTGTTTTCAATTCATTGATCAGAAGAACTGGATGACCCACGTGTTACTTTGCTTTTATAGGATACGTTCGATTATTTTAGACAAATCTCTTCGCCCGGCAATTTTTTGTATTATTGGATTGTTGTATTCATCTTCATTTATTTCCATGAGTCTTTAGATTTTTCCCGGCAAAAAAAGCCGAAGCAAGGGCTTTTTAGTATTTATTCCGTGCATTCTTATTCTGAAATACGATCAATCGAACGGGTCCTTAAATCTGTTAATTAATCATGCCTCTGCTTTTCTAACTAATGCGTAGCCTGAGAAAATAGCCGACATTTCGCGACGCCACCACTCCACCACTGGTTTCGCCGCGAAATGACGTCTGAGAAACGAGCCCAGAAATTCCATACTGAAGACGTATCACTACCCAGATCTGGGTATTGCTTTTGATTTGTTGAAACAAATTTCCCACGTGGCACGACCAATTAGGAGCTTTAGTCAGATCTGGGTAGTAACACGTCATCAGTATGAAATTTCTACGCTCGTTTCTCAGATGTCATTTCGCGGGAAAACCAGTTATGGCGCCGCGAAATGTCGCTTGTGTATTAAGGCTAACTAATGCGTGAAACTTCAATTTGTTTGGCAGGTGTCTGCGTCCGACTTGAGAAATGTAAACATGATCGCCTTTCGTCACGTCAATCAATTTGAGATCACAGGAAATGTTGTTACTGACAGGCAATTTCTTTCAACACTAAAGGTAGGTCGGCCTAACCCTGATTTCCTTGTACAGTAAAACCTCTTTTCAGGGGACACCCTTGGAATCAAGGGAAGTGTCCCGTGAATGGAGGATAAGCTGGGGTTTGTTAATAATTAACCAACATTTAAAGTATTTTTCTTTTATTCTGCCTCGGAATCTGCTGCAGTCGTTTTTTCATGCAGCTAGATAATGTGTAAAAAATCATGATAAACTCAACTCTGCGATTGTGGTTCACGGTTAAGCGAATGCTCATTAATTAAATTACTATTTCCCAATTTGTTATTAATTCTATCGGTTAATAATCCCACTCACATGTATCTCAGCGATCTCAGAGTGTATTTCACATTATTTCAGAGTAACCTGAAGTAGGATGGAGGAGAACTAAAGTCGCAGACAAAACTGGTGGATCATGCCAACGCTACCAACGTTGAATATATTATTTATTTATTTAAGTTGATCAAGTGCAAGTGACTGCCAGGATTGCAGATTGGTTCTTTGACAACATTATGACATGATCATATTGCTTGCATAGACGATACAGCATGTCCCGGCAGAAAAACAGCCTTTTGATAGATGAGCATGCGCTGAACCGTGAACCTGTTCCTTTAAATTCCAACAAGCGCAGTACACTAGTTTATGTTCTGAATGCTGTAGGTCATTGTTACTGGTGAACGCTCAAACTTATCGACGCTTTTTGTGGTCAGTCACTTTTGAGTGCTAAGGTGTCCTCTGAATGGAGGTTAAACCCGGCTTTCTTGAGCCAGAGAAGGTCTCCCTTTCCTCTGTCCCTTTAATAGAGGTAACACTAGATAATAACCTGTCAATTATACACGCCATCTATATGAAGATGAATTGACAGCCGCCAAAGCCGAGTATCTTTTTTTTTTTGGCAAAATTTTAGTTACTACCCCTGACATTGATAACAGAGAAATAGCTAAAGCAAGCGGAAGTAAAAAAACAAAGGAGACGAATTTCGGGGGAAGAAAAACATGAAAATTTTATATCGACGGTGAGAAAATGAGAAATGCTAACAGCCACCAAGGTGAAAATGAGCGGCAGTGAAAAGAACAAAGTGAGCGGGAAGACATACAACATGTCCTTCACAAAACTTGTAACTAGGAAGTGTCACGTTGTACTCATGAAAAAACAACGTCGAAGAAATGTACAGAAAAGTGTGCTACACGTGCAAAGTTCTTTTTTTTTTTTCGTCGCTGTCGCCGTTCTGCATTACACGATTATATTTTAATTTGTTTGAGTAAACTATAAGTATATTAAAGTGAGCTTTACTTTTAGCCCTGGCTGAATCTATATGTTAGCATATTAGCACCTGGGTCCACGTGACATGAGAAAGCTTTCATGTCTCCCCCTACTAACTATCTGGAAACTGTAATCCCCCCCTCAAGGAAGCACCTCAAACTTTTCTCCCCCACCCCTTCACATGATTATAAGGATAAATAATGAACACTCCCTAATGAACTCCCACTATTGCGGGCAACAAAGGAAAGAGGGAAATCCCGGATGGCGGTACTAGACCACATATTTGTTTTCCTTAGGTTACTCTTTCCCCAGAAAACAACCCGGATACCCCGGTGTTCACCACACCCGTGGGTGTGTCCAGTTATTTCCAGTTCCCCCCTATACCAAATGACGGCGTGGTTTACATTGTTCGCTTGGTTTCGTCTCTGTCAACCGTGAACTACCAGTACACTCGGCCCGAGTCCACTGTCACTGCTACAGGAGTCCGCGCCCATGTTCCGTTTAACTTCGAGCCCCAGGTAAGATAGTTCACTGATCATTATACGTTTCTGGGAAACTGCGCACCTACCCCTCTCCTAAGCCAACATTAGCACTTACTTCTCACTTAGGGAAAAATGGAGGCTTAGGGGAGGGGTAGGTGGGCAGTTTCCCAGATATGTATAATGATCCCTTCAAAAAATACCATATTACTCTTGAAAAAGTGCACTCTGAATGTATTTAGCACGAAAGTTGTATTTGGGGGCACTATGGGTACTTTCCATTCAACAAAAATTCCGGTTTGAAATTTCGGAAATTCAACTTGCCCAATGGAGCTGTACATTCCGGTTGCACAGACCCGACCCAAGCCACCGCGCGTTTGGTTATTGTTCTTGTAAGCAGGATACAAAAGAGCGGTACCGTGAAATACAATTTGGTCAAATGGAAAGGGACATTTCGGTCCGACCGACCGACCGAGATAACGGGACCAGTCAAAGTGCATCACCTTCAATGCTGGTCTCGAATATTCCGGTCGGACCAAACTGAAATGGTCTGTTCCATCTGATGTACCAACCAAAATTTCCGGAATTTTGAGTTGAAGGGAAAGCGCCCTGTTTTTCCTTCTCCAACTGAAGATTGGACCGCCATTTTACGGGTCCTCCAAGCCACGTGAAGGTCTAGCCGCTTGCAGTGCAAAGGGAGTACCTTCATTTCCGAGTTATTTCAAGACCGTGAGTGTTGGTCCGGCCCCGGGAATCGAGCCGGCAACCTCCCGCTCAGCAGTCAAGCGCTCTACCGACTGAGCTAATCTAGCTGCGGTTAATTGTTCGAGTTCGGCCTTGTTTGGACGTACTTATTCAAGTGGTATTTGTTAAAATGGTACAATGTAATCTGAGGTACACGTAGGTAGCTTGCCTTTATTGGTAGTGTTCTCGTTGACGATTGCTACCAGTGATATGGTCAAGTTAGATTTTGACTCTTTTGGAATTAAAAAAAGTTTCTAAATTTGATCCTTTTTTTTTTTCCTCAGCCACGTAAAGCTGAACCGGAACCCTCCCAAGGATCTTTCCTCACCTTACCCCTGCTTGTCGTTCTCATTTTACTGGTGGTGAATCAAAATAAGGTATGACATTATTGACGTATGCTCCGATTCTATCTTTTACCAATCCCCCGGTCACACTGCCAAAGATTTCCCTTTCTTCCTTCTTCTTCCCTTTTATTATTATTATTATTATTATTATTATTATTTTATTTTATTTTTCTCACTTTGGGGTGTATCGCCGATTCAAACGCATCTGTTTTAGATTTCGAAACATCCATAAAAGTTCGCAGACTTGTCCACGCAGCCAGGCGACATGTTTTTAGAAGTGATTTTACTTTGAAACACTACACACTGAACAGTTATGTTTTTTATTTCCCCATCCCCCTACCCCCGAGACAAGAACACGTGAAGCAATTCCATTCCCCCCCTGTCACAGTGGCAGCACGTTGTTCTGGGGATTACCTTAGGGGGAATGGTAACAAGTAATATTGATCTATACATAACCATATTTTTTTAAAAAAATAGCTTTTTAATGTAAAACGTCACTGCTGTGGATGGAGTATAAGATTCTGGGAAACTCCCCACTGTACCTACTCCTCCCCTAAACCAATATTATCACTAACTTTTCACTTACGGAAAAATGTTGGTTAGGGGAGGGGCTAGTAGACACCTTCCCAGAATTTTGTATTGATCCATTACTATAAACTTATCATTTAATGAGATCAAGTTCGCCATATAGAACTCTGAGCTATGGCTTAAGATGAAAAGGTTTGGATGCGTGAACCACCACACCAATAGAGATTAGTGGGGACCATCATGTCGTAAAACTAGGTTCATGATGGATTGATAGTCCTGCATTTTTTTTGCATCAAGATGTCGATAAGTAGTTAATAATGGTAATAGGACCTAGTGAGGCTTAGTTTGGTCCGTAACCCTACTAGGAATTAAGTTAATTTAGTTGATACCAAGCGGACAAAATTCGTGGCAAGCTACTTATTACGTTTATGAATCGATAGTTTTATCGAAAACATACCGAAGAAAACTTGGTACCAAATTGGAGGTCAAACATCAGCAGACATGCTGCGTATAATTTGATATCTGTAATACCGCATATCACGTGATTGTATCATTGTTATTTCAGGTCATTCCTGTTCTTCAGCAAGTACCCCAGATGATACAAGGAGTTTCTGCTGATCAAATGCAGGCTCAACTTGAGGACCCTCTAAGAAACAAGAAGAAAACTCAACCAACACGAACGAGATAGCAAACCAGAAAACTTTAGGGATTCGGAATTTTAAAAATTAATTCGGAAATCATTGTCTTCAACTCCTAGTTTCTTTATTTAAAAGCTAATTTGAAAATTTGATTATTGAGTAGTTTGATTTTGGACTCGTCTTTTCTTACAGTAATAAAAGTTTTTCCAAGGTCAAATGTGATTTTTTATTTTTTTTTAATTTTTTTGAGTTTTTGGAGTTTTTTTGGAGTTTTTTGGAGTTTGTTTTTGAATTTTTATGCTTGTTTAAGGATAATTTTTTGGACTTGTTTTTGGGGGCCTAGTAGTTTGTTGAATGAGCCAAAACTCTCACTTTGCCCCTACTCAAATAAACAGCCTGCGAAAAATAGAATCTTCCATACGATCACGATTTGGTTTAACAGACCAAAATTCTGAACTGAACTCAATACCAGTAAAACGATTATCCTCACTCAAGTCAGCAAGCTAAATCACTGTCTCTTAAAAAGTCTGAGTCACTATATTTGTGACTACAGCTTAATCTTGAACATGTTTACAAGAGACTGGTCTTTCTGCTGTAATAACTCTGCAGCTTTCTCTGCCTTCTTGGCGTCTTCCATCAGCAAATCTGCTTTGACAGTGAGGCCACCAATACCATGAGCATATGCACACAATTCCAGCGCAGCTGATCTCTTGTTAATTGGCAGCTTGTGCGCATTTTCAGCAAATCTCTGCAAAGTTTTTCTTTGACTGTAAATGTCTTGCATGTCATGATAGCAAAGAGCAAGAAAATAACAACTCCCAGTAACTGAGTCAATAGATACGTTTCTGGGACCTTCCAGGCTTGGGATTTCAACACTGATGAAAATCTCGGTCTCGTCACTTCTTCCTTTAGAAGCCGCTTGAAAATTCGACACTGCCGTGGAATGCGACACTTTGTTGGAATACAGAAAGTTTCCATACACAAAATGCAAGGAATGCGATGGACCATTAATCTTCAAAGATTTCTCAAAATATGTTTGTGCTTGCTTTAATGTGTTTGTCCTTTCTGGAGAGTCCTGTGGCATTTCAGCGGCAATGCAATTGTGCAGACATCCTAGATTTGTTAGAATCTGAGGAAATTTCTCAAGATCTTCCTGGCTGGAATGATCATACATAATCTTGTGCATTGACAGGGCTTCATTCACTTTGCCAGCCTGGACATTCTGCAAAGCTGAAGTGATAAGTAAATCTGGGATGGACTTTGATGTGAAGAGTTTCCCATACTTTGGAAACTCTTCCATCAATGCATTCATGTCACAAATCAGTGAGAAACAAGATGAAGAAAGCAACGGTTTATCGATCAGTCGGTCTACTCCAAGCAGGTACAGGCTTTGATTGAGAACAGTATACAATTCAAGGCATGACACAAGCTCAACCGATTCCTGAGATGGTACGTATAAACCAGCAGGGTTTTTTCGTTTCTCGTAGAGCTGAAGCTTCTGGCACAAAGCTGCCAATGCATTGAATGGCTTCTCAACAAGCTTAGAAACCTCCTTGAGAGTAAAGCATACTTCCTCCTTTGTCCTGTGGCGAATCATGTTATTTCTTCGGATGAAATAGTTTGGAATGTTATGGTTTGCCAAGGCTCGTACAATCTCTTTCAGAAGCTCCATCAGCAGATGCCCTAGCTTGTTACTTTCCCAGATCAGCTGGGATTGACTTTCCACTATATAAAAAAATACATTTTTCATATGGTATGATGACAGAATGCAGCCTTCTGGCAGACCTGAAAAGTATAATCATATTTCTGGTAAGTAGACTTAACAGCCAACAGCTAGGAGGATGTGTGAAGTATTTCATTGCTAGTTTACCTTTGTTGCTAGAATGACTAAGTAAAGTGAAAATATAAGCTACCTAAGAAGGAAGAGGGTCAAAACTGCAGTCTCGAGTTCCTTCCAGTAGGAATAACCAAAATAGAGATCCACACTGTGGCATTTTTAACATGAACCTTCACTTTGTATAACTATTGTTACCAAAAAGATCCAACTACAAGGGTTAGCTTCCCTAGAAGAAAGATTGCAAAAAAATGTGAAAGAAGAACAAAAACCTGTATCTGAAATTGAATAAAATATGTTTGTAATATACAAAGTAATGCTGCCAACGTTTGCAAAACTTATAAACACTGAAAACATGATTCATTCTGGAACACAAGAATCTGACTGTCAAAGGAAGGAAAACAATTGAAGATAAACTACATAATGTACTATTAAAACAATAAAAAAAGCTTCTAACTTGTTTTCAATAACAACTTTGCCAAGCAGTAACAGTGGCGCTGAACACTCGTGAGAGAGCTGGAGAGACGGCGTTCGCAGTGGTTGAATGAAATACGCCATTCAAAAGCACTCTGCTCACTCGTATAATGTCCTACTGGAACAACCATGCACCCATCTAAATAGTAAGGGAAAAAAACCTGAATTAGTGGTAAAGCACATTTAATATAATCGAAAGCAGCATTGGGGTGGGGGAGGGGGGTTTGGGGCTTAGATAACACCGTCAGTAAACAGAACTAAAGCCTGTGCAATTTACCTTCAACAATTTGCGACACTAACTCTTCACTTGGCCAGTAAGCAGGTCTGTCTCTTGTTATCCACTCGGCTGCTTCAGCTGGCCATCCATCCACTGGCAGAGCATACACAAAGTCGTAACTGTAGCCCTGCTTAACTGGAAGAAAATTTGAAAACGCTGGGCCCGACGAGGTAAGATCCGGCAACCTCTCCAAAATTCGTCTTTTCAGTGAGACATTTGTGATAAATCCCTCGGAGTCAATATCTTCGAACAAATAATCACATTGTCTATCTTTAAGATATTGTCTTCCGTACTGGGAAATGCGAACTCTGGCATAGCCAGGATTCTCCGACAAATGCAACACGCCAAAGTAGTCAGGACGTTTTTCTGTTCCAGAATCTCCAGCATCGACCTTTGTCTCATTTAAAGCGATGAGCAACTTTTTGAAGATAATGTTGTAGTCGAAATCGGTGGTTGGAACGAAAATCTGCTCTCCAGATTCTGCCTTGAGTATTCTCGTCATGTGGAGATTATCAAACGAGCTTCCCGATTGTTGAAGTGCAATTTCGTCCGTCAGACTTTCGATTTTCTGCAAGTACTCTCCCATCTTCTCTCGTAGATAATTGTAGAATTGAGCAGTTAGCCTGTGGGAGTCAACAATCGCAACGATAGCACTGCAAAACAAATTGAAACGCTCGTTTCCAGCAGCCATTTCACTTCCGGGTTGCTGTCAGTTTCGATTACTGGACCGTGGGAGACTGGTGACAAGGCTAGGTAGCGACGCCTGGTAGATTTTGATTTAATAAAAAATCTTTCAAGGGCGTTTGTTAAAGGTATCTGATAAACCTGTTCAAACTTTGTTTTTTAAAATCTTCTTTGAAGAGGAGGATGCTCAAACATAGCTACAGGATACAGAGCCACTTGTAGTTACTAATTCACCGAGTGGTTTGGCTCAATTTTTGGACGATAGGCTAAGGCCAAAAAACTTTCGGACGCCTTCTTGGTCCATTTCGGACATTTTCCCCTGAAAATCCAGACATAACAATCCGAGAGGATACAGTGTGTAAAATCATGCTAAATTTATTAATGACAGCTCCGTTTAGACGGTTCACTTTGAACACAACAACCTACACGTCCTGGCGTCGCGAAACTTTTTTAGCAAGACAGCACAAAACAAAGTGAAGAGTGCATAAAACCTAACTTCTAGCGCGATTCATCTATAGTCCATCTTCGATGTTGTTCCATCAAATTTTAAAACTCGCCGCTCGAAAACGTCATTAAACGTCTTAAATTTCCGCATTTTCGCAAGGCCTTGCTGGTTGATAAATGCTTAAACTGCTGTTATTTGGACATTTAGCTTTTATGTTCGGACGGAAAATTTTTCGGAGATTTTTTCGTCCCAAAGTATATTTGTCCGAACATTTTTGGTGATTAAAGTGCCGAACAAAATGTCCTTCTTGATCTCTACATCTACTGACGATCCAAACAAGCCACCAAGAACAAAACAATCTATCTCATCGCTCATTCTCCACAGCTGACTAAGCTTAATAAACGACTTCTTGCAAGTCTGCTTCGCTGTCGGATTTTCAACACTTATTTACATTCACTTTACACCTATCATTCATGATCCATAACACGATGGAACCCTGCCTTAAGACCACTCGACCACTACGATTATAACCTCATCTTTTAACGCATTCATCTGACCGCCCAGTTCCTATGACCCATTTTCTATGCCGCGTCAATGGTCTCATTAACAGGTTCCATACACCTGATGGACTTGCTTCTTCTTGAACTTGGTATTGAATAGTGAATTCTTGTAACAAGACGTCGGAAGGGTTTGATTGGCTCACATTACACTGCAGACTGGGCTTTGCTTGTTTATTTCTTTAATTATTCAAATGTTGAATGTAACAGGTTACATGTAAAGAATCCTGACCCGCTCTTGGCTGTAAAGAGTGTGGGGAAACTGCTTTTTTTACCCTGTCCTCCGGTTGGCATTCTGTATTTGATTACAGTAAATATTTCCTTACCCTTAGAATTTGGCTGAAGTTTTAGCGTTTTCTGCTAAACAGAAAACGCTAAAACGCTAAACGTTGGCAACATTTTTTAATTCGATTTTTGCCGGAACAGGTTTTGTTCAAGTCTTTACATTTCCTCCTCTTTCAGAATTAAACTAGCCTTTTAAGTTCCTCATCGTCAAGTTAACTTCTTCCTTTTCAATAAATATAAATATAGTTGGAAATATAACTAGCAGCAATTATCTGTTTGTTATGATCTTGTGATGTAAATACCCCGATGCTCTTTCAATTACTTGTAATATTGTAGTATGTAAATAAATTAGTTACTGATTTTATGATGATTAATTGATCGATCGATCGATTGACTGATTGACTGACTGACTGATTGATTGATTGATTGATTGATTGATCTGTAAGTTTGCCTGCACTGTAAAGTATAGAGGTGATATTATTCCAAGACAAGCAATCTAGCATTAAACAATCGTCTTTCTTTTCTTAGCACTCTTGAATCGTGACGTCTCCTTACTTTGCTTCAAATCTTCTCTCTCTATCCATCTGTATAAGGAATATTTCAATTTTTTTTTTCATTGGGGAGCAGGGTTGGTGGAAAAAGAGATATAACTGACTACATATATTATCCATATATTCTGTAAAACCAAGTCTCATTATTGGTCGCAAAAGAAGTACACATTTCGTTAGATATTTGCGTTCCTACTACGCACAGACGCACGGAGGTTTCGAATCAACCCAAAAGAGGTGTTATTCGATACTAGGTACAAGAAATACCACGTGCAGTGTCAGTCAAAGTCATAATAAGAAAAAACGTGAATCAAAAAATGTACTTTCCAGATGAACGATCATACAAAACAAAGCGAATAAAAGATTTCATGACACTATTTGAGCACTCTTATTCCATATCGAATTCTTCCCGCTGCTGCAGATAATAAAACGTTTGCAAACGTACAGATGCTCTCTATATCTCAACCTCTTTTCTACACTATTACTTACCCGTACACACATCAGCATCTAACACAACCAAATATTCTCCAACATTTACGACCGGCCTAAAACCAGCGTCAACAGAATCTTCCACAGGTAAAGAACAGCACGGCTGCGCATTGCATTTTCACTAAAGGCTTTGTTTTTGTTTGCTTTGCTTTGCTTTGTTTGTTTGTTTGTTTGTTTTCTTTGTTTTGTTGTTATTGTTGTTGTTTTGCAAGTCATTTTCTCTTCATGCCCCAACACACTCTCCCTACATGGTCCTGCGGAGGGTTGAACCCAGTCTCCACCCAGTCCTACCTGAAAACAATGCAATCTGTACTACGGTAACCCTCTTTGCTACTGACCTAACAGGCTCTCAATATAGGCACTCAATCAGCTCATCCAACCCTGACCTGAATTGAATGGACTCTACACAAAAATGCAAAATGCCACTTACCCCGTGCTTCTTAGCTGCTAATGTCACACTCTGTAATGTTTCTTCATCAACAAATGGTCGAACAGCATCATGGAGTATTACCTGAAACAAACAGATAAGAGTAAACAAAAATACCAAACGTAATTCTACTACTGACAGACACTGGTGTACAGACTGGATATCATTTGAGAAACAGTTCTGAATTGAGTTTTTGACGTAAAGGTTTAAATTGGAAGGATTTGCTTATCACCTTTACAAATGGGTGTGGAGGGTCATTGTTCCCCGAATTGGATGTTGAATTGACAAAAAAAGAAATATTCCTGTTTTAAGGTGCCTTACAATAATTTTCCTGTTTTAGATCATCTTAGTGTTGTTCTATCGTTGTTGTCTTTTTTATTACTTTTTGTTCAAGTTTGGTGTTTTTCGGAAAGTATGGGGAAATTCAGAAATCTAAGATAGCCACTGTTTGGGAATCACGACCGAAATCTCACGTCATATGGCGTCGTCACTTCCCGCCGTGTCTCCTGTATCATTGTCCTTGGGTTCTTCCATTCAGTTCCTATCTTCAAAAAAGCCTAATATTACCAAAGTTAATCTAACATCGGGATCTGTATGAAACCCACCTGAGGATGATGTTGCGTCTCCAAACCTCAAACACGTTTTATTTTCAATTAGTACGGAGCTGCTATTCTGCTCATGAAACCATTTTTAGCAAACTTTGAGTGTTATCAACTACAGTGATATCCTCTAACTCAGTCATGAACCATCTGTACTAAACAGTACAGTCACACTTGTCATAAGGAAACTGCCCTTGGACAACACACATTTCTCTGTGCTGTAGTTCCCAAATTTGCACCAATACCATTAGCACTTACAACAGAGGGAGAAGATCTGCCATCTACAGTGAGAGCCTGGATACCATTCCATATTGACTTGTGCCTAAAGAACAAGCAAAACTGACCATAGGCCTAACCAACAAAGTTTAACTTTAATAAGGGTGTAACATACTCCTTGTACAACATACAGTACCGTTCACTGTAAACATGTTAGGTCACAAAGCGTTCGCCCTGTTCATGCGATGATTCGAAGCAAATTAAGGGTTTTACGCATGAGTATCGTACGTGACATTTTCGTCTTGAGATCCAAATTGCTCCAAATAAGCTCTCTTTTGGGCCAGAGACCGATTATCATGTAACAAACTTCTAACAAAAACTAGGAATTAGTTTCTTACTTTTCGTTTAAACTCAAGTGACCTGCACAAAAGAGGAATTGTTGTTCACTGATTTGTTTTGTTTGCCTCCAGTAATTCTTCGCTTAAGTTGGTTCAGTTTTAGTAATGCGGGTGAAGACAATAGACACAAGTTACTGGGACTTGGTTAAGCTGACCGCTGTTGCTCAAAATAGAGGTGAAGTAAGGGACAATTGAAATGAGGCGATCAGCTTTGAGAAAATAACTACGAATTCAACTTAAACTTTTAATTCCAAACAAAGAATAAGTCTACAATGAAGTTATAACATACATCCTTTATTCAAGATGCAAATATCACAGGACTAAATATACAATTGCAAATAAAATATAAGAAGGCATCTTGAAAAGGAAGTTACAAGGTCACCCTACTTAAAAAGTCCCTGAAATTATGCAATGTTTGCAACGTTTGTAACAATGAAATTGTGCAATGTTTAGTTAAATTATCCGTAAAAAGTCTACAATGAAATTATACAATTTATATCTCGTATGCTGAAATATACTGTACTAAATTCCCCATAAAAAAGCGAAGTCAGTTTCTCACTAGGCATGTCAACTACCTAACATTTATGGGATTCAGTTTTTTACGTCCGCGGTAAACATTAGAGACCAAAACCAGTCACGATGTAGCCACAAGAACTAATTGCAAAAAAGGAAAACATTGGCGTTGCTCTTTCTCTGGTAAATTAATACCATAGAATTACAAAGTATTATTATTATTATTATTATTGTTGTTGTTGTTGTGCTTCAAAGTATAATAGTTATCACAAACATACTTAGATACACACATGCACACAAACAATTTTACAATCGATACAGTAACTTATCCCGATGATATGCCTATATTAATTGACAAATACAGCTGTACAGCAGTGCCTTTTAAGTAAATAAGAGGGAAAAATGCATTACAAAGTCCACTTGTCCATCAATTTTTTTAAACTCTTGTTTTTGGTACAAATGTGTTTTTCTGCTTCGTACTTAATATTTACCTTAACTATAAAACTATCTATATTCGGTAGTACTTCATT